CAAGGCTTACGATGAGTGACCAGGTGACGGGTCAGGCTGCCGTTGTGTCCATTCTTGGGGGTCGTCTTCTGTGAGTGTTGGATGAGGGTGTTTCCTCTGGTGAGGTCGATAAGCTCCGTGCCTGGTGTTCCTGACCTGATGGGTACACGTGCTCCGGGTTTGGTTTGATAAGTTGGCCTCAGTGAGCTGTCCGATGGTCTTTTGCTTGTACAGACAAGGTCAAAGTCCTTGTGCCTTGGCACCTGTATTCAAGGTGGAGTCATTTATAGCAAACTACTGCTTCTCAAGATGGAACTTGGGGTTAGGCACAGCCTGAAAACCAGTCATACGCACCAGAGCAGCTCCAGGTAGGCAGTTACTCTCCACTACCATCTACTATTTAGATGGAGAAGTTTTCTCAAGGGTTAAATTTATTCTTAAAAACAAAGGAAGGAAAAGGACAATAAAATTGATGGTAGTCTACCTCATTGTAGCAAAAAGTCACATCCATCCATAAATACATGCTGAAATTGGAAAAAATTCCATCCCTTCCATTATGGAATGCATTTTCAATAAAAGTGTATTTTCCTTTAGTGATTATCAAGATGTGTTGATTACCTTGCTTTGATCAAGTGCCCGTTAATGATTATAATTGAGATTTTTTCTTAACATTTAGACACTAGGTTACAGGAAATCAAAAGTTTAAGTGTTCCTAAGAAGTATAAAGATGATGCTAAGTAAAAAGAGATGTGATTACATTAGGATCAACTGTGAGAGGAAACCTGAAATGGAAGTAGAAACTCAAAGGGTTAAAGGAGTAAGGTCAAAATTATGTATATGTAATTTTGAAAAACTTTAGGTTTATGCAGCAGTTGTGAAGATGGCTGAGTTCATTTTTTAAGTTATCTTATATAACATGGCACATTTGTTAAAACTAAGAAATCACGTTGGTATACCACCACTAAACTGGATTTCACACGTTTTTTAGCTAACATCCATAGTTGACAGCATTCAGGTGACCACATTGCATTCCTTAATTTCTTGTAGTTTGAGGCAATTTTTCAGTTTTCCCTTGTTTTTCACGACCTACATTTTATGAGTACTGCTCAGTTATTTCATTGACTAGTCCTCATTCATTCCACAATATTTAATATGTATCTTTATCTAGCCTTGATTTTACTAGTAGTAGTAGTTACTTTGGTTAGTAAATGGCCGGCTTTTTGTTTGGGCCACAGTGCTCACCAGCTCATGCAGGCCCTGCTCCCCAGACCCCAGCACACCACATGCCTGGTGGAGGGGCCTTTTTTCTGTTTTATTTCAGCACAATTAGCATGTCAAGTTTAGCACATGAAGGTTGGAGAGAGATGGCATATTTGGAGGACAGTTTTTAAAATACGCTTAAATTTGCACACTGCCTATCTTAGTTTTAATTGAGACTTGCCCAACTTATGCTCTGGGTCGGATGATCCACAATTTGGAGAAATCCCCAGTGAGTTAACGTGTAAAAGGAAAAACAATACTGTTCAATTTTTAAGGTATGTCAGTGTGATTTAAATGATTCATGTTTCAGGATTACTCTGAACATTGCTTATGTACTGGTTTCGGTAAGAAAACCTCAGATTTGACACCATATGGATATCACTATTACCAACTGGGTATATGAAAGTCCACCAGATTCTGAATACTTGCTTCCACATATTTCTGAATACTGATGTCAATGTAGCCTCACATTGAATGGCCCAAACTACATGTGGTTTGCAACATTTGACAACTTGCACTGTAGTGCTCTCATCTTTCATCTTGATGGGACTCTTCCTTACCCTTAGCCAGGAAAATGCAGGGAATTGGACATGATGGTGAATTCATTAATACACACCACTGTCTTTAACCAAGTTGCACAAGCCAAAAATCTAGGTGCAAGCCTGTAGTAAGGTGGTAAAGGGTACTAAGCCAAAGGGAAAGGCGGGGCTCCATTCTGCTGGCCAAGTCCTGTGTCTTGGGAGAGGCTTCCTTAGTCTGAGGAATGGGTGCTCTTCCTGAGATGAATCTAGTTAATATAAATTTTCTGGCCATGTCCACAAATTATCCTTTCTTTCCCCGCTCCCATTCCCTCAGGTAGTTCTGTTGGCCATTTCCACAAGTCCTGAATGTGTCCATTTCTTCCCATTTCCATGGTGACCACTCTCATCCAAGCAACTGTCATTTTTTGCTGGGACTTGTACAATAGTCAGCTAACAGGTCTCCTGCTTCCCACTCTTGTTTCTCCTAACCAACCATAACCCATTTTCCATTTTTCTTTCAGAAGAACTAATAAAAATTACATTACTTAGATCTAAGAAGTGGATGAAGATACAAATAATGTGGACCAGAGTGTTAGATTGTGGTTTATGTGGGTTTTGGGAGTTAGCACTGTTAGACTTGGCTGTTCATTTATTTCCCATTTACTAATTTATCCAATTATTATACTGATTAGTATGGCTACCTTTTGTTCTTTAAACTTTTTTAATATCACTTTGTTCCAAAAAAATGCCTCCCCAAATCTGGTAGGTTATGTGAAAGCTTTTCCATAAGTCACCAGCTGAGCAAGATGTTGGAATATGAGTGCAAAACTTTTCCTGGTTCTGATGCTTAACTCTGATCTAAATAAGTAGACAAAATTCCCTAAAGTCAGACTAGAGTACTGACCAACTGAGGATGATTCTAAGCCTGAAACCCCCGAAAGAAAAAATTAGAAAGTTTCTTTAATGAATTCAGTGAGATTGGTGAGTATTAGCTCTTGGTGAGCAGAGTTCACAGGGAATCTGGGCATGGCACTATCATCTCATAGAAAATGCCCAGTCCACCTAAGTGGCTGGGTTTCTCTTTTAGAATGTTAATAGGCAACAGTCCATAGTGAAGATGGAGAGGTGATTTAAAAGCAGTTCTGTGAAACTGGTTCACGGATCCAGACACTCCAGGACCTGTTCAGAGTTCTTTGACAAGTACAGAAATCAAGAGTATGCCTTAGAAATTTTTATAGCAAATTGACAGACTACTGTGGAACCTAATAATAAAAATTTGAGCTTGTATTATATTTTTTCATTTTGAATAATTCTTAATTATATTTTACAAGGTTATTGCTTTATATCAGATTTAAGTTTTAAAAAATGGTTGTTCACTACAGATTGCAAATTATAGGTCTCTAGTGAACCTAAAAGCACAAGTTTTACATATAGGAGCATTACATTATGGAAATTTTACAGATGATATGGATGTATCATGCGATTCACTAGAATAAAACAAGGTACATGATACTCAAAAAATAATTTTAACGGCCTACCTGAAAACTATAATCTACACAGCTGGGTCTATGTTGCTTTTTGCATTTAAGAGTAAATCTTAAGGGGCTGGGGCTATGGCTCAGTGGTAGTGCACTTGCCTGGTATGTGTGAGGCACTGGGTTCGATTCTCGGCATATAAGTAAATAAAGGTCTTCCAACAACTAAAATAAAATATTTTAAAAAAAGAGTAAACCATACTATTCCGCTGAGTGGATGTGCCAGTATTTAACCTGTATTCTTGTTGGACATTTGAATAGTTTCCAGCCATTTATTACAAAGAATATTGCTATATACTAAATATTCTTGTATAATCATTTCACACATATGAAAGTGTATCCAGTGAGACTGCTTTTATTAGGAGATGACATGCCTTTGTGGTGTTAACTGCTGTCCTTCAGAGGGGTTGTACCAAATTATATTCCCAACAGCACTGAACAAATGTGCTGGTTGTCTCAAAGCTTTATCCAACAGAGTCATAGGTCTTTTGAATAAAGATTTTATTATTTTTTATTTGGTGCTGGGGATTGAAACCAAGAACCTCAAACATGCTAAGTATGTGCTGTATCACTGAGCTACACCTCAACCCAATAGGTTTATTTAGAATTGCTCTTCTTTTTATAGCACTTTTAATAGGAAGTGCCAGATATAGGATAAATTTATATTTATTATATTTTGGTGACCATACCAATAATATTGAAAGCCACAGAAAATTATCATTTAGAACTACTGGCATTCTGTTTATCTTTGAAGCAGAGAATTAAAACCTAAAAATGATACTCAGGGTACTAATTTCTTTAACTAACCTCTAGTTTGTTTTATGAAGTAACTTTCTGGCAGTGTTTTCTTACATCAAGCAGTGAGCTTGATGAATGAAGTATGCTGGGGTGAGCAGGGAGGATGCAGATGGTAAGATGATACAGCATAACGAATACAGAATCAGGGGCTGATTCTAGGACTTCAGTTATAGTTGAGTTACCACATGGCTGTGAGTGTCCAACCTTTGAGTCTTAATTCCGCTACTCATGCTTACTAGACGTGTACTCTTGCCAAGCACCTTTGCTCCTCTGGAGTTTGTTCTAATCTGTCAGAAATAATACTGTCTGTCTATCTGTGCAAGGGTATTCTTGAGCTGTTCCCTGGCTCTGGGTTCTGCAGTTCTACCATTTACTCAATTTTTTAAATATCTTTATTTTATTTATTTATTTTTATGTGGTGCCAAGGATTGAGGCCAGCACCTCGCATGTGCTAGGTGAGTGCTCTACTGCTAAGCCACATCCCCAGTCCCCCATTTACCCAATCTTAAAACTGACTGCACTGACTTAGCTAGAGTTCCAACCAACCTGAGTTATGGTCACTATAGCTACCTTTGAGTGATTGGATATTGCCACTCTTTTTTAAATTACACATGTACATCATACATGTATGTACATTACATATAACACTGCCTCCGTATGCAAAAAAGAATACATACAAACGTATGTCAGGAGCACAGTACAATAATAACAGCTGTGAGCAGCTGGCTCTCACCCATTACTGGAACAGCAGCTGCTGTCTCTGAAGCCTCTGTCGGGCCCTGCCGACTTCTTCCTTGAGCTACTTACTATCAATCAGTCACCTATAAAAATATTTGATGACTGTGACACAGGATGGACCTCTATTAATGATAAACTATGAAAGGTGAGAAAGATCCCCAAACCGTTGTAGACTGAAACCATTATTGTGACTTTATTACAATAATTACAAACAATATTTTAGTGGTAAACATCATAACACAATTACTCAAACTATATACATACAGATATTTATACAAGTCTACATTTAAAAAAAAGCAATTAATGTCCTCCCATCACATTATCAACAAGAATTTTTTTTCTAAAAGTTATGGCCAATAGCAAGAGAATTCACAGTTATTCTGCAAATATTTTAAGGATGCAGGAATCATATTGCACATAATACAATTATAACTCCTAATGATCAAATATTTATATATTTTAATCTAGTTCATCACAAAATTTACATTATCATGCAATAATACTTCACTGTACACAGAATGTTGGAACTAGAATAAACATTAACTTGCAAACTTTTAATACAATGGCCACAAAATTAGAATTATTTTAAAGTTACAATTTAAATTAAAAAAACACTCCAGTGTAGCAGAACTTAATGGACACACTCAAATCTTTTCATGGATCAAGTTACTCTCCTAGTGTTCTTCTTTGTCTTTTCCTTTCTTTTCCTTTTCGTCCTGTAGTGCAGTGCCAAGCTTTTTGATAAGGACAGACAGAACCTTGTCCAGTGGGTCCATGACTCCTCTCTGAAGCCATTTAGGAATGGTTGTCCTGGCATGATGAAAGCCCAATTTTTGAAGAATGTAATCAACACCTACTGGATCAATCTTTCTTCCAGTCCAAGAAATTAATCTAAAATAATTATAAATGATAATTGTTAAGGGGTAAAATGCCCTAACATAGTCCTGATGGCAGGTCCAAGAACATCACTGACCCTCCCTAATATACTCAGGGCATTTGAATAACTGAGCCCATAATTCCTGTACTTACTTAATATTAGCATTTGAAAATAACGTAGTTGTAGTAGGTGTACAATCCTTGATTGCCTACTATAGCAGACAATAGTGTTCTCAGTCATTTTAAATGTTTAAACGTGCCTCGGGTTAAAGATTTCACAAGCTTGTAGCATGACAAGGCAAAAAGGCACAACTTACTGAGTGCCATGTGCAGAGTGGTTTCCCCATGCCCGGTACTGCCCTCCACTGTGTGGAGAACATGATAGTTGCCTCTGAGTGGTGAGACACTCAGAGCTTGCAGAGGAACTGCATAGCGCAGTTCAGTGCCCTCCTCCCTGCTTTTCTCTTGAAAACCACTGGTTTTAGTCATTTTCTCTCTGTTCTAGGTTTTTCAAGGACAGCCCCTAATAGACAGGTTAGCCCCAGGTGTTGGGTGCTTTCTTGGCGAGGTAAGTACATAGATCTGCTGACTATACAAATCCAAGGCACCCCTACCCCACCTCACCCGCTGAGCTCTGCATCACTAAAGCCTTGGAGGCAAGTTCATCCTGGACTCTGCAGTAGAAAGCCACTTGCTGGCAGACATCCAGCAGTGGCTTTCCACTGTTTCCACTGTTATCGGCTCCATCAGCACCACAACTTGCCCTTTTGTTTCCAACCATGCTCCCCCACTATCTCAGTTGGCCCTGAGCTCCAGTGGTGGATAGCAAGCAAAGATCTCCTGAAACTCAAACTGTTACAAGCATTTTGCACTAATTAACTCATTTAACCAGTGTGACCACTCTGCTGAGGTTAGAGAGGAAATGAACAAAGAGAGGAGAGGATAGGTTTTTGTCCCTAGATCATTCCATTACTATGCTGAGCTTACAGCAGAGCTGTTAACCATGTTCAGTACCACTATACAAAATTACTTAATTATTGTTAGTTTGTTTAAAAAAGAATATGGCAACTATTTTTATAGTGACTTGAAAATTCGTATATAATCTATTTAAATACACTCTAAAAGATACTTAGTCAATTATCAATTACATTATATATTTAGACTTGCAAATAAAACCAGATTTTTCAGATAGTTTTTTGCACTAGGACTTTTGCAAAATTTCAATACTGTTCCTGCATGTACAGTTTGGATCTGGAATGTTCCCCAAAGGCTCGTGTTTTAAAGGGTCGGTCCCCAGTGCAGCAGTGTCTGTCTCTGCTTCCCAACTGACATGGGGGGACAGCTTTGCTCTGTACAACCTTTTCGCCATGTTCTGCCTCAGCATCAGCCGGTAATAGCCAGCTAACCATGGACTGAAATGCTGAGAACCTGAGCCAAAATTAAATCTTTTCTCCTTTAGGTTGTTTTTCTAAGGTGTTCTGTCACAGTGACAAAAAGGCTAAAACACAAGCAATGACAATGTTAGTTTCTCCCGTCAGAGTGTTCTGCTATTTTGGTTATGACAGATTTTACTGAATGTGTATTACTTATTAGCACACAAAGTCAACAGTTTCTGCTTATACAGATTCCATTATATAATATAATTTAGTTATTTTGGAATTATTATTCAGACATTTATGGCACAAAACAACTGCATAAAATCTAAATCATTTTTTTAGAATATTTTTCTGGGGTGGATGGATTTTTTTTGGGGGGGATAGTTATAATTTGGTTAACAAAGCAGATGGGAGGAAAGGGGAAAAAATAGGAAAGAAAGTGAACTCATAAAGCAAGTACCAGTAGTGATATGACTATTATCAAAGAAACTGCTTTTAAAATTTTGATATGAAAACAAGTTGATATAATTGGAAACATGACAATATGAGTCAGTCAGGGAACCTGTATCTGACAGCATTAAATTCAACATTTTAGACCATGGTTTTATACTGTTTAATATCGAATCAGGACACTGTGACGCCGGGTTCTACTGCATTGTTACAACATGTGTGCAGTAGGAAATCGCAATGATTCCTTAATGATGATGTATGCTTTGACTGCATCTGCAGCTACCTGAAACACCTGAAAACAATATCCTGGTTGAGAAACTGAGATATAACAGTGAGAGTGGGAGATGTTCCCAAATGTCACCAGCACACCTGATAGCAATGAGCTTTCCTCAGTGTTTGCTGCCTATGCTTCACACAGAATCACTTAGGAAAGCAGGATCGAGGTGCTGAAGTCACCATCAGAAGTAGAAGATCACCAGTGACCAACTTCTCCATGTACTGCGTGTGTGTGTGTGTGTAGTTTCAGATGGACAGTATGCCTTTATTTGTTTATTTTTATGTGGTGCTGAGGATCGAACCCAGTGCTTCACACATGCTAGGCAAGCGCTCTCCTACTGAGCTACTCTCCAGCCCTCCATGTTTTTTGGTAACCATGTTTGACCTATGCTATGGTCAGCCTTTTCCTTGCAGTGTTGCCTTAGGTAAGGGTAAAACATGCACACCCGTTACTTGCCTAAGAGTGGGTTCCAGATGCCATGTGTTGCACATAAAATCTCTCCAGTCCACAGTGGTGTAAGAGATGCTATCTTCTCGGTCTTTGTCAGAACTATCATCATGCATAATAATTGGGCTTTTCTGTCCTGGTCGAGTAGATAAAATCCGAGGCGGAAAGATGGCTGTAATGAAATCATAGGTTGATATTACAAATATGCATCTTACGAATCATAAGTCCCCATAGGAACAGAATAATTGGCTCCATCTCTGCTTGTATGCATGACCTTGACAAACCTCATTTAATCACATTTCTTAAAAAGTAGCATTTCAAGTATATCATAAAACAAGGACCAGTTATAAGTACTTCTTGAAAGAAAATGTCAACACCCATGGTGAAGCTGTTTATTTGACAGCAGGCACAGGGCACTCAGATTTCCTCAAGGTGGCTGGTGATGGACGACTGCTTTTTACAGCTTGAGATATGCACATACCACACAATAATTCTATAGTTTCTGTATGTTGATGGCTACATATATATTTGAACAGTGGTACTAACCTAGGAGCTTTTCATGTAAGTAGTCTTTTTATTTTTTATAGTGAATGCTCAAGGAAATGTTTTATAAAAGATTAATTTTAGGTTGGCTGTCATAAATCAAATATATATACAATCAAATCTAAGACAGGTAACATATAATAAATATAGCATTTTTATTGGAGCACAAATTTCAAGACACAAATGACATAAAAAAAATTAGTTAGGTCATTTGATATGCATTATGCAGCCCCAGTTACACTTCTGTGGGGAATGAGCTGTAGGACCTTCCCATTATGCCAGAACGTGGGTGGGTGTCTTCACTTACTGCCTGTCTGATCCCTGTGCTTTTATTATTGCTGGTGGTTACAGGACTACAATTTATCTTGATGTTCTAGAACCAGGATGATTCTTCTGGTCCAGTCTTACATGCTGTTCAGTGTTTTCTCAGGAATGTTTATGCTTTTTTTGCCCAAACGAATTACTTCCAGTTTATAATAAAAAAAAAATATACTTACAAGTATTAAAAGATGTTTATAATTGCAATCCCCACAGATAATAATACTGTTTTGTAAATTGATTCCCATTGAAATCATGTTTTACAACAGTTTAAATTAAAAGAGATTTTTGTTTTAGAAATAGTTGATGACGCTCTAAGAACAACACAATATTTCATAAAATGCCAAAAGGTTTCACATAGCACCTGAGAGACATAAGTTTGGCAGGCTTTTAAATCTATGTAGACTAGAAATTCATTCTGAACTTCACAAGTTTTATAATCTGTTTTACTTTATCTAAAATTTAAATACCAAATCAGAGGGAAAAACAAAAGGATTACCAGTTACTGGTGCACATTGGTGGTGCATGTGAAGACTGGATCTGCTTATGTAATGCTGCCTGTTATGTGATTTCAGTCATTTTACTCCAAGTTGCAACTGAGGTCTGACAGACTGCTTCCAAACACCTTATTGATTTTACTCTCTCACTGAATTTTGGCACATCTTGACTGAATAGTAATGAAAGAGCAATTCAATTTATGCTATGCTAACTGTGCACTTTCAATGTGTTCTTTTTATTCCTGAAATATCTATAGGACAAATTTTGCATAATTTCTTCATGAAAAAAATGAAACATTATAGTGTGATCTGAACAAATTACATTTATTCCAAGATAGAAGCTATTGTTTTATTATTGTATATATTCATATTTGAACTGCAACAATTGTCCGATGAATATTGGATGAATAAATGACTACATATTTTGGAGAGCATTACATATCACATTTCAAATTGCTTCTTTTTTTTTTTTTTTTTTTTTTGTGGTGCTGGGGATTGGATCCAGGGCCATGTGCATGTGAGGCAAGCACTCTACCAACTGATCAATATCCCCAGTTCCTACCTTGTTTTTTAAACAACTACAAGGTACTATAATACCAATTCCACATAGATTTTATTTTAGGGTTGTTATAGTTTCTTCATGAGCAAACTTTTAAGTTCCCAGTGAACAAGCCCATGTTAGCAAGTTCATGAAAACAGAACACCACCACCATTGGGTTCCAAATAATTTGTTTATAAAAGTACAGTGTTCTCAGTTTTCCAAACAGATCAATCTAATTCAATGTGTTTTTTCTTCTAGTTACGTACATAACACATACTATTTTATTATGTAGTTGTTTCTTTTTAGTCATTTACTTAAACTTACAATATTTCCTACTTTGCAGAAATCTCTTATAAGGACTAACTGAAAATGTGTGAGAGAATGTACAGGAAAACACTGCAAAGTATAAAACATCAGTCAGTGTCAGATACAGTTAGAAAAAGTGCATGTGCTAGCAGATACTTAGAGCCTGCACAACAGCCATGCTAAAGCTGTTTACTGATATTTGAGGAAGGAGATATAGTCCACCCTTTTAGCACTAGACCATAAAAATCCATTTAAGTGGCATCAATAGCTGCCTTTGCTGCAGCTTGAAAGAAAAAAAAAAAAGAACATGCGGCCCACCTTTTTCTTTTTCTTTGAGATAGGCTGACACTAAATCATGGAGAAACATGATGAGCTCAGCATCCATGGTCACACAGATGTGGTCCGTGAATTCTGTCACCACGCTGCATTCCACCTTTGGCTTTAGGCTGGCATCTGCAATGGTGAAGTTCTGTTACAGTGAAAGTCTTGGTGACACGAGTCCTCTTCCCTTTAATAATGAGGCAAGCAGTGCACCTGCACGTGCCCACTTGAAATGCAACTACATATCACGAGCAATCTGCATGTGATCAACAGAAGGGTGGCAGTCTATCAAGCAGGTTCCTTACAAGCCTGGTAATGAAGTCCAATTATTCCCCATTTCACTTGGGAGAAACAGGCACAAACAGGCTAAATATTTGTCAGAGGACATGTTATGGTAAGAATATCAATGAATGTGACTTTTAAAATCAATTTCATTAAATTTCTGCTAATATTACCAAATAACCTGTTAGAAAAACAGCTTGTTCCTTCAGGATTTTCTTAGTAACCTTAAAAACTGAACATTTTTTCCTCCATTTACCTTGTAATGAAGGTTCTTGTGGTTCTTGAACATGGATGGACTTAAAGTCAAGCTGCATCCTTGGTAGTGCAAAGATAGTCTCTGTTTCATGGTTGTAGCTAGAACCTCCTCTGAATCCACTCAACAAACTGGAATTCTTCACAGTAGTGCTATTCTCTGTGTTATTAGCATCAACGTTGCGGAGCAAGTTTAGTTCTATGTGCAGAACATAAGGATAAAAAGTCAAACCAATGGGCACTGAAGAGCCTCTGGCTTTCAAGAGACTAGAATACACGGAATGTCAGTCATTTCAAAAGCTGCAAGAATCAAGTTTAAAAATGCAGCCATGTATGTGTGTGTGTGTGTGTGTATCACTTGTCAAGACCAAAGCTTTGAAAAAACCTAATATATTTTTGTTTCTCAAACTTTAAAATGAATATTATTTTCAACTGAATTTCACATGTCTGAACTTGAATTTCATTAAGTCCAAAGTATCCACAGATGCATTACCTCAGAATTCAGGACTAAATATGATCCTGACCTTGAAATTAGGTACAAGTTCTAGTACCTAATAATAGCACATACATATGCTATGGGTTACACTACTGCTGTCTTATAAAAGTATTTTTCTAGGTACACAGACATCAATTCAGTACGCTAACAGTGCCATGGAATATCCCAGTTGAAAAGAATCCCATTCCTTTGGAAGGTAGGATAGTAAACACAGACATAATCTTCTAATTTACTTTTTCACCTTCATTTGTATTTTGATTTTGTAACAGTATCTATTTAATCCCTAGGGTCACTTATTTCATGATATCTATTCCCCATGGGATCCAAGTCAAATTTAAGTCAAACCTTCAGGCCTCAGTGTGTTTCAATCTATTCAGTTTTCCAATATATCAGATGATTGATAAAAAGAATGTGGTAAACATAAACCCCAAAACAACCATAAAGGAAGAGCTACCTGACCATGTTACCACAGGACTAGCATATCTAATCAAATGGGAAAACAAAACAAAACAGAAACCACTCACTAAAGCACCTCTTCAAACTGGAGACTTAGCTGGGTTGGTGGTACAGGCCTGCAATCCCAGCAACTCAGTGGCCTCAGCCAACTTGGGAAAGTGTTCTGGGCTCAATCCCTGGTACCAGTAAGTAAGTAAACAAAACTTATGACTTAATAGGAATATTACACTAACTTCTGTTTTGTTCTAGCTATGTAGAACCTGAGTTTGTGACATTTTGTTACTTAATTATCAATTCCCAAACCTCCAATTTTTAGTGTAAATATAAAATATATTTCAATATTACTTTCCAAAAATATCCCCCAATATAATAAACTTCATTTTATTTGTTTAAAGCCAATCTTATTTTGAATGTTTTCAGTTACATTTAAAATAATTTGATGCCCCTGTGGGCTGCTCTGGTGCTGAATGCCCTTAATTGTCCATGCCCCACCTGAAAGAGAACAAGGACTCTGGGCCACAGCCCCCAGCTTTGCCTTCTTTCAGCAGGAAGCACTTTGGAGATGTCATCACCTGGTTTTCCACGGAAATGGAGTGCAGAAATTGACAGTGGGGAAGTGTAACAGAGTCCATTTCATGCTTCAAATATAACCCTGGATGCTCTGCCACTGCAATTTATTTTTAAAATGGACATTTCCTTCTTTTCCTCTCTTCCTACTCCTCCCTAGTCTCTCCCTTCCTAATCTCAGGGGAAATAGGATTATCCTCTTCCATTAGACAGAGTACACACCCACCATAAGAATGAAATAATCCACACTTTGGAGATGGCACCAGAAGATCTCAGAAATGACTGTCTCCCAAATTAACAAGTGAATTACAACTCCAGACAGAGCACACATGGAATGCAGCCTTTGAATCACCATTTTAAAAGCCTCTCTTAAAAGTTCCTGCTGATGAGCAGAATCACAGCCTTTGGCTTTCTCCTTTGCTAGCAAAGCAATGAACCGTCTTCTTTTTTTTTCCCCCCCAAAAGATAAACAAGAATCATAAAATAATTTGAGCCCATGAAATGTTACACTACCAGGTCAGAGGTTCATGTACCAAACAGTCACCATGTTGACATAAATGAAAAGTGAGAACTGTGTAAAGAAATGAGAGCTCCACCTCCTCTTAAGATTCTAAACACAGTCAACCAAACACCAGAAGGAAAACACAAAGGAAATCCCTCTCCAAGACAAGCTGTTCACCTTCATTCCTGGTGGCTGTAACATAATTGAACCATTCTTTCACACTTGCTACTCCATGGGGTGGATTTTCATGGCGACGCCGTGTGATCTTGGTTATTGTTGCCATAGGACTTTCCAAGGCACCACATGGTTTGGTAACCATGGTGTTATGGCCCAGATGGAAATCCAAGGTTTGTACAATATATGTAGAATGATCACTAGAACCTAGAACAAAAGAAAAAGGAAACTTTTTTTTAAAAGTTGTTGATGGACCTTTATTCTTTTATATGTGATGTTGAGAATTGAATCCAGTGCCTCACACATGCTAGGCAAGCAATCTACCGCTGAGCTATATTAGATTTAAGAAATAGTGGCCTTGCTATCTTGTGGCCTCAGAGCAACAAACTTAAAATCATATGAAGACAGGGAAGGCCATAAAATGAAGAATAAATGAGAAAAAAAAACAAATAATTCTTTTAGTTGCAACTAGATTTATTCCCAGTGAGATGAAGAGTATCAACCATTTTTTTCCCCTTTCATCCTTCATCATTAAGAACCACTGAGTAGAAAAAAAATCAAAGTCCAAAAGAACTGGGTTTTATCACTGTAATTAGAGAGGTAAAAGCACAGCCTTCCCTGCAAATTTTAAAATATAGTCTTTAATGGCCAAGAATTTCTTCATCCTACCATGTTTGATTTTTTTTTTTTTTTTTTTGCAGGGGGTTACTAGGGATTGAACTTAGGGGCACTTTGCCACTGAGCCACATCCCCACCCCTATTTTGTATTTTATTTAGAGACAGGGTCTCACTGAGTTGCTTAGCACCTCATTTTTACTAAGGCTGGCTTTGAACTCACGATCCTCTTGTCTCAGCCTCCCAAGCTGCTGGGATTACAGGCGTGCACTAACACTGATCTTGTTTTAATAGGAATACTTATAATACCTATTATCATGACTAAGGCCATACACAGCAGCACCAACTTGAGGAAACAGTAAGATAGTAAGATCAGAAATATGTCATTGACATGTTCCAGACTTCACTGATACACTGGCAATGAACTCCTTAATATTCCAGGTACATGATAACACACAGAGATGGACTTCAGAAGTATAAAAAAAATAGACAAAAGATTTGAGAATGGAAAAATGGTTTGTTATTTATAATCATATCAGAAAATCATAGTCTGGAAAAGTATACACAGGTATACAGATGCACAGAAAAATATCAAAAGTATATGTCAGTTTACCATCTTCCCAGATTTTCTGAGCCTCAGTCCAAAAAGCAATATTTGGTTCTTCTAAATGAAAAAGGGCCCAGGATTTTGAACGGAAATTTGGACCATGAAAACAAGCCAGTGTCATATGATTTCCATGTAAGCTCATTGATCCTCCAAACTGCATTCCATCTTCCGGTAATGGGATCTGAAATAAGGATATGTGGCATCCTGATACCACCTTCAATACTCCAGGCCAATGTCGATGATGAGCTGCATCAAGCACTGCAACAAAACCAAAAAACATTGACCTTGAATTGCCTCATAAGCATCCTGGATGGACCAGGCAGGCAGCAGGTGGCCCCTTTCTACAGATGAAAGTGACTCAGATAATGAATGAAGATACAACACCGGGCCATCATTAAGCAAAAGTGGAAAAGATGCTACATGAGGACGGACAGAACCAAGGAAAGCAGTAAACTGCTAACAGTAATTACAACTCAGATTTCTATAATGATTCACGATTTACAAAGTGCTTTTGCAAAATTCTCACACAACAACTAAAATAATTCTATAAACTCAGTATTCCACCTTGACCCTTCAGTGAAGAAGCAGGACTGTGGAGAGTCCAGTTCTGCTGTTTACTCTTCCTCACCCTGCCTACTCTGCTTGAAGTGAGGCTAGGAGTAGGAGCATAGGGAGCTTATTAGAAATGCAGATTATCAAGTCTATTTCATGCCTACTGCTTCAGATCTGCATTGTAAAAAGGTTTTAGATGCAAATTAAAATCTGAGATGCACAAAGAAGACACCAAATTCATATTTCTATTTTCCACTTATTCTAGGATGTTCTTTTTGCTTGTTCCCCACACCTTTCATATGGGATTTAATGAAGGATCATGCACTGTATTTAGTTTTCTTTAATCTAAAATAATTGCCTATACCTGATGATTGTTTTTCATAACAAGGACATGTTATAGAACATCCCCCAATTGGTAAATGCCTGGTATCAACACTAGTTTATATAGGGATTAGAGGACAATATTAATGCAACCACAAGAAAGACACTGACAAAAATCTAGAAGTAGGGTATTCTGAAGGACAAGTAGCCAGGTCCCTTTAACAAGCTGGGTCACACAAAAAGCAACCTTACCAAATGAGAGAGTAAAGGAAGAGAACAACCAGATCCAAACTCATATCTTGAACTGGATATACTGACTTGGGTGGACCACTTGTAAAAGGATTTTTTTTTTTTCAGGTCAGTCACAGAAATTTGAATGTGCCATAGGACATACATAATAAGCAAAATGGAAAGTTGGAGACTGTTAATTAGGAAAGGGTAATAAAACAATATTAATGACATTTTTTTAAAACGTATACATAGGTACATAGATGCACAGAAAAATATCCAAGTGTGTGCTCTAAATTGTTCACAGAGTCAATTTGTGTGTGGAATACAATGTTTTCATTTTTTGATTGTAGTTTTCAGTTTTATTTTTTCAATGCTCATATAATACTTCTGTGATAAAAAGTTATTAGCTACTTGTCCTACAGAATACCCTACTTCTAGATTTTACCACTTTTTCCTTTTACCACTGTTAGCCCAGTTAAAGTCACCATCACCTCTTGCTTGGACTCATGCAGTGGCCGCCTTAAGGTGGAAATAGGAGTACGCACTTAACAATGGTAACTACTGAAACCTCTCCTTACTGTCACTCTCAACTGCTCCACACATGGCCAGAATGATGCTTTTAAAGGCATATTTTAAGAAGTGAAAATACATATGTTCAAAACTCCAACAGCTTCCAATGACTGATGACTGACAATCCTGTCTGTGGTCAACACCTCTGAATTCATGTTCACCATTCTCCTCATTGCTCACTGGCACTTGCCACAGTGCCTGCCTTAATGGTTTTCAAATGAACCAAGTCTGTTCACATGATAGGAGCTTTAGACCCTCCATGAACCCTGTGCCAAGAACTTTCTTCCTCCAGATCTCAGCTTCACTCTTTCATTCATTCACATTTCTACCAAAATTTCACTTCAGAACAGGCTTCCCTGATTGCCCATTCTAAAGTAGCTATCCTTATATCTTAGCATTTTCTTTTTTAAAACATTATTTATTTATTCTAATTTGTTATACATGATGGCAGAATGCAATTAATTTCATATTAAACATAGAGAGCACAATTTTTCAAGTCACTGTATACAAAGTATTTCCCCACCATTCGTGTCTTCATACATGTGCTTAGGGTAATGATGTTTAACTCATTCCACCATCATTCCTACCCCCTTGCCCCCTCCCTTCCCCTCCCTCCCCTTTGCCCTATCTAAAGCTCCTCCATTCCTCCCATGCTCCCCCTTCCATTGCCATTATGAGTCAGCCTCCGCATATCAAAGAAAACATTCAGCCTTTGGTTTTTTGGGATTGGCTAACTTCACTTAGCATCATATTCTCTAACTCCATCTTATTTACCTGCAAATGCCATGATTTTAGTCTCTATTTCTATATTCTTCCCTTTGTTCTTTTCTCAGCACTTCTATCTTAAATTATTTCATATATTTAATTAGCAAATTATTTATGGTCTGTCTCTCCTATTACAATATAAGCTTCATGAGGGCAGGGATTGTACCTACTACTAGATCTCTTGTGACTAGAACAGTACCTAAACACATGTTTTTTGCTTAATAAAATATTTGCCAATTACTGAATTACTGAGTGAAAAATATTAATCTAATATCAGTTAATAAATCCAAACTCAGCTATTTTGAATGCACAGCCAGTGTTCCAAACCAGAGCATGACATTGTCATAAACAATACTTAGGGGCATGGGGTGGGCAGGACTGCAGATGAGCTGTGACAGGGAAAGGAGACAATAAGGACAATGACTTCCCAAGTGGCTTCTCACTCACTGGCAGGTAGGAAGTCAGTCTCTTTCTGAGTAAACGGGATAAAGAGCTACAGGATACTTCCTAAATATGGCTTATACATTATTATTATTTTTAATTAAGAATACAATACAATGTATGTTTTTGGTGTGTTTGGTACGATAATTGTATTTATGTGGGTTTGTCTCTGTGTCCTCTATTCTGTACCATTGGTTTACAGGTCTATTTTGGTGCCAACACCATGCTGTTTTCATTACTATAGCTCTGTAGTATAGTTTAAGGTCTGGTATAGTGATGCCTCCTGCTTCACTCTTCTTGCTAAGGATTGCTTTGGCTATTCTGGGTCTCTTGTTTTTCCAAATAAATTTGGAAAGTAGATTGCTTTTTCTACTTCTATAAGGAATGTTGTTGGAATTTTAATTGGAATTGCATTAAATCCATATAATGCTTTTGGTAGGATGGCCATTTTGACTACATTAATTCTTCCTATCCAAGAATATGGGAGATATTTCCATCTTCTAAGGTCTTCTTCAGTTTCTTCAGTGTTCTGTAGTTTTCACTGTATAGGCCTTTTACCTCTTTTGTTAGATTGATTCCCAAGTATTTTATTTTCTTTGAGGCCACTGTGAATGAGGTAGTTTTTCTAATTTCTCTTTCAGAGGGTTCATCACTGATGTGGGAAAAAGGTACACTCATACATTGCTGGTGGCACTGCAAATTAAAGCAACCACTCTGGAAAGCAGTATGAAGATTCCTTAGAAAACTGGGAATGGAACTACCATTTGATTCAGCTATCCCACTCCAAAGGACTTAAAATCAGCATACTATAGTCAGGCAGCCACATCAATGTTTATAGAAGCTCAATTCACAATAGCTAAATTGTGGAACCAACCTAGATGCCCTTCAATAGATAACTAGATAAAGAAACTGTGGTATATATACACATTGGAATATTATTCAGCATTAAAAGAGAATAAAGTTATGACATTTGCACGGAGTTAGAGGATATCATGCCAAGCAAAGTAAGCCAATCCCAAAAAACAAAAGGCTGAATTGTTCTCTCTGAAAAGTGGATGCTGACTGACAATGGGTTGGGGGAAGGCATGAGAAGAATGGAGGAACTTCAACTGGGCAAAGGGGAGGATGGGGGAAGGGGCATGGGGGCAGGAATGATGGTGGACTGAGATGGACATCATTACCCTAGGTACATGTATGACTGCACATGTGGTGCGACTCTACATCGTGTACAACCAGAGAAAGAAAAGTTGTGCTCCATTGTGTATCATGAATTGAAAGGCATCCTGCTATCACGTATAACAAAGTAGAAAAAAATAAATTGAAAAAAAAAAGAATACATTTAGTGAAAGATAAAGCATATACAAAAAATTAATTCTAATTCTTACATTGTTCTTGTGAACTTTTCTCTAGGTTGTTAGTCACTGTCTTTGGTGGAAGATAAGGAACTGGTCCCCAAGTAGACAGAGCTCGTTTGCTGGTGTCAAACTGTTGTGTGAAAAATTCCTGGAGCTTCATGCCTATTTTTATCAGGTCTGGTGTTGTTGATCTTGATATCATTACTTGGAAAATATCCCATTTCAAATCTCCATGGACAAAAATCTCACTAGAACATAAAACATAATCTTTATCATATATCCCACAGAAGATAACTTAAACATATAAGAAGAATTATCTTTCCCACCCAACTTTTTCATTTGTATTAGTTGCATAATATAAAACTATTCTGCACAACATATGAAGTGCCTGTGTTTTTCTCACTGGGTGAAAAAAAATGCATTAAAAACAGTCACAAAAGTGTTCCGAGCTGGGTGTGATGGTGCACGCCTGTAATCCCAGCAGCTCACGAGGCTGAGGCAGGAGGATTATAGGTTCAAAGCCAGCCTCAGTAACTTAGTGAGAATCTAAGCAGCTTAGCAAGACCCTGCCTCAATAAATAAAAAGGTGTGGGGATGTGGCTCTGTGGTTAAAGACCACTGAGTTCAATCCCTAGTATTTAAAAAAAAAAAAAAAGAACAATATACCTTTTATCAGTCAGGCTTGAGTCCAGTGTGTTATATAAGTTTACTTTCCATTCATCTTGAAGCTTAAGGTCAGCATTGCTGAAGATGCCCATGAGGATACTTGAGCCCATGTAGTCCACACGAGCTTCAGTGGAACCCATGGTAATCTGAATTTTGTGACTGGGTTGCTGATTTGGGTGTTCAGAAATATGAGCTAAAATAAAAACATAATTACTTTCCACAGAAACATTTATGGGAAAACGGAAAAATCAGTTTTCAAAAAGCATTTTTCAATGTAATTTTTAAAAGTATGCTACATGAGTCGAGAAACTTCAACATACCAACCATCTCCAAAGCATTGACGTCAATGGTCCCTCCAACTACTCCTCCTTTAGAATCTAACTGTGACCTCCCCAGCCCAACAGACATGCTGATCTCCCGATCGCGATTACTTCCCACTGACAGACGACCTTGGCTCTTCAAACCACTAGTTGTCCAACTGAAAAAAGGAAAAAGCATTGTTAAAGAGATGGTTGCCAATATGGTAAATTAAAAAGGGAGTCAGATTAATAAATAAAAGATTAAGTTTGACAATGAAACAACAGTTCTTAAAAAACTATTGGTAACAGTGATGGTGAAGCTTTCTTCCTAGGTAGAAATTGACTCTATTTTCCTTATAATTTCCACCCCCTTTTGGAACAGGTTTTGTGCTGTTTTATACTGTGGTATCCTTACAATAAAGCCATTTTCAGGATGAAAGCATTTGTATCTCTAGCTGGTGTCTGCACTGTCTCAAACTCTTCAGTACTACACAAACGGTGGAGCTGCTTTACTCTGAGGACAATGACAACGACTGCATTTCTCTCTTGATAGCTTACGTGGTATTTCCCATCACGTTACTCATATTCATTTGCACGTTCAGTTGTTTCAAGTTGATGGCAAACACGACAAGTGTCTCCCACGGGGTCCCTTGCTGGCTTGCTGCTTTGTTTGATTTGTTAACAGGAGTTGATGTTTTCGAAAGTGAATCTGAATGAAGATAGAAAAATGAAATACATGTTCGCTCCTATATGTGCCAAGTCCATTACAAAGCAGAAACCGTTCTCATCTCCATGATCCAAAGGGAAAGATGTGACATTCCTATACTGAAACCTAATGTGGATTAGCTGTCACACTGCCTCTGAAGTAACAACACGTTTGTGAAATGCTTACCAAGCCCAGCAACCTTGCTTCTTGGAAGCTTACAGGACTCTATGGCCCGCTTCACAGCAGGAATGTGGCTGTGTGCAGAAGAGGAGCACACACCACTCATCACCCTCGGGCTTTCTTCAGCAAGGAGAAAAATCCTACGATGCTGCTGTCGAATAGAGTACTCAACAGCAGGGACCGTTCTGAAATGCAGAGGCTGGCTGGGAACCTGCCTTCTGCATTCAAAGTAACTCAATATGTAAAAGAAACCCTGTACTTGCTCATACCTAATCTGACCTGGTGACAGAACTGCATCTCCCATTTTTATATGTTGAGGTACAAGTACAAGGCCACAGCCCAGTACATACAGTTTTAAAAAGTACTGATTGAATGAAAGAATGACTAAACAAATACAAGGATTAACTTTTAACATCCAAGCATCTTCTGGGAGTTTTATGAGACTATAGGTGTATTTCTGAAAACAACTGTGCCATGTGGAACACACAAATATAGTCCTCCTCTCTTCCTAGTTCCTTAAGGAGCTACGAGCCATCTATTGATCTCTTCTGCTGGCAGAACTTTCAAGTATTTGGTATTTGTTGTTTCTGTGGATTTTTTCTCCCTAACTTCTTATCATAAAAGCCTCAAGAATGCATCCCCCACCAACTGGGGCAGGAGTCTGTGAGTGACTAAGATTTTTATCTGGGAACACTGGAGGGCTACTGTAATAAAGAGAGCAGTGTCACCTCTTTGAGGAACTGAAGAATCAGACACACTTCTTGACCTTATGGAAGCAGGTGATTTCAGGCTCTGTGCTGTAGTCCCTGGTGACATGCTGCTGTTCGTCATATGCTCATTGAATACATTAGGTGACTGAGGCATGTGGGTGAAGGAGGCTGACTGGCTTGGCTGTTCCCACGTCCTGCAGTAAGCTTTTCTTGATGATTCCGGGGAAAGGTGCTGGCTTACGCCTTCAATGGAATCAGGTGTTCCAGGCCCAGAAGCTAGTGCAAGAGTGGAAAACAAAAGCAAATACAAAAGTAACAAAGCAAAGTTACTATGTTATCAAATAACTTAACTCATCCACCATCTCTAGCCACATTACACATTCCTTCTAGTTCCCCATTTGGCAAGTAGATGGCAATTTACAGTTTGTAAAAAAAAAACAACAAAAAAAACCAGTACTGAATTCTCACATAACTCTATGAAAAGTGCAAAGAGGTCTTCTGGGCCCATTATACAGGTGAGGAAATAGACCCAGTCCTAGCATTTCTTGTATTTTCCACTATATTAGGCTAAACATACTCTACACTTCTACAAATCTGCTTAAGCAAAAACCTACAACACTATCTTAGAACAAGAGACAAGCGAAAGCATAGCAGCAGCATGTTCCCAACACTTTTTTGTTTTCCATGCCTTAAATAACCATAATTAATTTGGATAGTTAAAAAATATATTTCTGCATTTCCAGAGTTTATAATGATTACAGCATAATTATTATAGAATATAAAATGTCAGCTACACTGTGATTTGAGAGGGCAAGACTTCTGTTTGATTCTATGGTGCCCCTGGTACCTGACATGTTAGAAGGGCCCAACAGATGGTTTTCGAATGCCTGACTGCATCACATGGTACAACTTACCAAGGAGGACAAAGTTTCTGTCATCAAGGATGGGTCTTACTACGATTATAACCAAAATTAAAAGCAACCTAATTATAGCCACACAACAAGCTTACTTGGCAAATTTATTGTTTGATCTCCAAGGAACAGACGTCTTGCAATACTTCTTCTATACCAGGCTCTCGGAAATGCCAGAATTTCACTGAGGCGGCGCATATCATATTTAAAGGAGGCAGACCCTATATCACAAACAGCTAATACATAAATAAAAATTGTTAGAACTTACAGATTTCCAAGACTTTCAATATTTTTACATGGAGGGTATCAGATATATCATACAGATGAATTATGCTTAATTTATGAAAATATCAAATTATCAATTTATGAAATATCAAAATAAGCTATATATTATGCTTAACAAGTTATTATATCCTTCCACCAATTATAGAAATAATGCATTATGGGACTATTAGCTCCACTTCCTCTTTTAAGGTGATAGCAAGTTGGATTATATTATCACTGTCTTGATGTTCTCAGAAAACAGTCTCAGCCAGCTTTACACTTTAATCTAGGACTTATCTCAAATATGCAAAATGTACCAACAGGATGAGCTAGGATATCACCTTCCTCAAAGGGACCTGCAACCTAAAGAGCTGTGCGCAGGGACCATTAATTTCCTTCTGGAGGGTTCTTCTCTGAGCACTCCACTCCTAATGTACGTGTTCCTCTTCCCTTTCTGCAGCTTCTGCAGGACACATGTGCCCACGAGGCCCTGAGCCAGCCTTGGCCCCAGCCACTCCAACCCTGCCCCTTATATGTCCCACAGGAATTCCTTCTTTTCTGTCCATTTTATTTCAATCTAAGTTAGTGGTATCAATACCCCTTTTAAAAAATATTTTAGTTATAGATGGACACAATATCTTTATTTTATTTATTTATTCTTATGTGGTGCTGAGGATTGAACCCAGTGAATCACATGTGCTAGGCAGGTGCTCTACCACTGATCAATTTCTTTTTGATCACTTGGGCTTAAAGCCTGAGGCTCCCCATCCCCTCCACTGCTCCTTAGCAGCCTATCTTCAGGCTGAAGGTTCTCCTGCATCCTCCTGAGCCATTCCCTGCTCTCCGCTCTCACTGCCACAACTCAGGCTTCCATTTACTATTGTTTGGTGAGATTCAATAGCCTCAAGCAATCTTTCCCCTCCCGTCTTTCTTGCTACCACAAAACTCTCTAAGATCATCCCATTTTGTAAAAGCCTCTAATGTGTTCTCACTGCCAGGATCAGAACCTGATTCCTAATGATCACCTTCCAAATTCTGATCTTGATCTACATTACTGACTCTATCTCTATCCAATCCTTTCTCCTTTTGGACCTTAAATGATGAGTTTGCCCTGTGCTTCAGTCACAGCAAACAAAGTATGCTCCAAAGGCATCCTATTCTGATTCTCCTGTGACACTGAATACTGTGTTGCTTCCTTTGAGAACATTTCTCAACTTTCCAGGTCTTGCCCCAGTATCATTTCCTTAGTGAAGCCTCCCTTAATCACACATAAAAGAGAATTTATTGTTTCCTCCTCTTTGTACACACCTCTGCTATAGCATCACTGTCCTGTGCTGCTGTCTGTCTGTCTGCATGAGACCTTGCTCTACTCATGCCTGCTCCCCAGCTGCCCAGCAGAGTGCCTGGCCAACAAACCCTGTGGAACACAGGCTTGGTGTTTGCTGAGTGAAGACTGGGTTGCATGCACACATCACACTGAGATCAGTAATCACAGTTTTCTGATTTTTTCAAAATATTCCATATGCATTTAATTTAAAATACTCAAGTCACAATTTAAAGAAAATGAGTGGTCTCCCATATACTATACTATAGCTAGTGACTAAGCTGGCAACACCCATGCTCCCAAGTCGAGACCCTGATACCAAGGAAATGTTTTAAGCATTTACAATTAGAAAATCCAACGAACAAATGAAAAGTCAGAAATGTTACCAATTCATGGTAGAGAGGAAGTGAAGAAGCATTTCAGTTATCTAATCAGGCCTATTTTGGCTTTGCCTAATGTCTTTTTAACTAAAAATGACAGTGCCAATACTGCCCGCACTGATACACTTGAAGACAGCACTGGGGTCTGAGCCCATTTCCCCCTGAGTTTGCCTTGCCCTAAAGCTTTCTATTAAGCATGTTTCATTTTTAAATGGTGAAAGCAGAGGTCACTATTAATTCTGGAAAACAATACCTTAATTAAATTTTAAAAAACTATATACCAGATATATTTATTAGCGTAGTGTCCATTTTGCTTGTAGACTTGCTTATAGATTGACTTTCAAAAAATGAGGCACCTCCTGAACGCCTTATTCGAGACAAACTCACTTTCACAAATTCAAGGTTTATACTGAGTGAGTCTTTTCGACCAGTGACTGAAGTGGGCTCCTCATCCACGTTACCTAAAAAACGACAACAAAAAAACCCCACACCTATATACACACAAGGTCATCCAGCTAGATGAAGCCGATCCCCCACACTGCAGTATGCCATCAACCCCAATCACTTAGATGAGATAGTGGCTGTGGCGAGCATCAGTGTCCTCCCAGCAGGCGCACAGAATGAGGGACTCTCAAAACCCCTCCTTCAATGGCAAAAGTTGGAACTGACATGGAATGTGTGTCTTCATTATCTGTCCAAATGTAAGTGAAGCAATCGTAGCAAAATTTTATGCATTTTTAGTGTTTCGACTGCACTTGAAAATGTCATTAAAATTTAATTTCAGTAAATAATTGACTTAATTAATAATTCTCATTTTAAATTAACAAACATGACCGAGGCACTTAAAATTTTACTTTATTAAGAATATAGTTTCCCGTACAAATGTGGATTTGGTAAGATTTAAACATAACACGTAAGCTCTAATTTCTGAGTAGATTACTGTACTGTGTAGAAAATATTTTCAATTTAAAATCCACATATAGTTAATTTACTCAAATTCCTTATTTCATATTTCTACAAGATGTGAAATAGGGACAAAATTAATATTATCAAATAGATAAAATATAAAAAACTTCTGATCTTAGTTTATATCCATTATTATGATTTATGAAAAGAAAGCTTGAAAAGCCTGAAAAAGCTTTTGAAAAGATGCTACAAATTTGAAAAAGATCAAACATGCATAGTTCACCTAATCCTCCTGATCCAGGTGTGAGGCCAGAAACAGCAGTTTTTTGTTTCCCTGCTCCATACGGATGGAACACGTACAGGGAGAAGTCGGACATGCACGCAGTGAAGCTCAAGCCAGAGGAACTGCTGCTGGAGATGGTCAGATCCGACTGACTACTGCTGTGCCGACTTCGGCCCAGAGGGCTGCCTAATCCTGATGAGCCTAAGGTGAACAGAAAAGTCCAAAGTGTCTTTAAGCCATAACAATCTTAAAAAGCTACTTATTTATTTTCAAGATACCAAACATGACAGGAAAATAAAATGGAAACCTTCAAACGCTAATATATCAATAGACTTAAATCCCTAAAACAAAATGAGGACTTAGACATATTTTCCCTTGACTTTACAATGTAAATCAAGGCGGGTTACTCTGTTCATCTTTAAAACAACAATTAACATGTGTTTCTGGCAGATTATACAGTTTCCTATTTCTTAGCTCCACTGGAAAGAGGCAACGGAAGAGCCCCAGAGTTGAGTTTAAGCACAGAGGGAGAGCAAACTGGGAAAAAATCCATATCATATAGCTGGAGTCCACATTTTAGTAGCTAACAGTGGTCTAAGTACAGGACATGCAAAGGCAGAAAATAAAAAAGCTCTTTCTCTTAGACATTTACCAAGGAAGGATAGGATAATTCCAAATATGCTTTAAACATGAAAATATGAAACAATACACCATACGATTTGGTTGATGACTCCAAAATCCACCTCCAGACCAGACTTCTTTCTGACTTTCCAGAGTTCCTTCCAATTTTCCAAAGTTGCCAAAGGTCCTTCCTGCATCATGGACTAGTAACTCTCCACCTGCAGAGCTCAGTCCTCCAACCTTCTGCTTGGCTGAATCATATCTGCTTCACATTTCCACCTAAAATGAGCTTGTGTGCTTGGCTCTTATCTGTCCCTTCAGCAGGACCATCTCAATTAGCTGTGTTCTGTGTGTACATATAATTCTTAGCACTGACCTGCACACACATTCAGTAAAGATCCTTTCAAGGAAAGGATTTCATCACACCTACAATTTACTCTCATCATCATTCCTTACTGAATGTTTTTATAAAATGAGGGGTGGCATTTCATTTTTGTTATTTTCTAAAGCAACCTAAAATGCAGGCATAAACAGAGTTGTTGCATCATGGTCCTTTCTCTATACATTCTTGGCACTGTGTGTCTGTACAATACTCCTGTAATAATTTCAGTGCTTATGACATTGTCACGAAGAAAGGTGAACATTCTAAGAGAAATAACCTGGCACTTTTTACAAACCCCTCCCCCATGGCCAATAAAGCAATATAATGCAAATTAATATAATAAAAATCCCATTTTACTCCATCACACTGACAATGATTAAAGATAAAAGCTTTGGGAATAGTACAGTGAGCTTGATATTCTCACACATGTGTTTTACTGGACAGCAAAACCTATCACTTAAAAAATGTTCACACTGTCCAACACAGAAATTCTCCCTTTAAAAATTTGTTTGTAAATATTCGTATGCAAAAATGTTCATTTAAATATTATTTTTAAAATTCAAGTAAAACAAGAAACCCAGGGAATCTCAAACATATCATCAAAATTATGGGATATCAACTAGCCATTAAAGTTACTTTAGAGACAAATGTTTTGTATTTGGGGAAAATGCCTCTGATATTTCAAATTTTAAAGAGTAATATAGAAGAAGAAACCATATCTCACTTTTGCCTGAGAAAAAAGATAACATCCTTCCAACAGTGTGGGAGAGAGAGTGGATGAGACACAGATAACCTATGATCAAGGGCTGGTACTTCCTACTTTCATTTCATTGGTAATAATTCTGTTTTCCCCATTATTTTATAAAGAGTAATTACATTTATGAAAATATGGTTTAAAAAGCCAACACTACCACTGTAACATCTCACAACCGCAGAAGAATTTCAATCTAATGGGTGACCAAATAGCAAAAACCTTGCTTCTAGGAAATCAACTGTTTAGTTTCCTTAATTTGTTGTAAAAACTTTCAAAGATTCACACAGCAAAACAAATGTTTGTTTTAACCCTTTCCCCAGTATTGTGGGTAAATACTAGAGACAAAGCATTTTCCTATTGATGCTTGATACACTATTTGGGTAAAGTTCTGAACCTAAGATAACTGCTCAAAAAACAGGACCCCCAGTTTGTTGTTGTTGTTGTTTTTTTCCTTCAAAATCAGAAAGCTGTTTCCCTCTCTGTGGAGTTTAGTGATATAAATCATGGCCTGTCTGACTCCCATGGCTGCATCTGTACTGGTAGCTACTTGTGCAAAGGTGCAGGCCAGGATGTTCCGGTTGCTATGGCAACAGTGGCCAGGGGTGGCTACATGCAAAGATGTGTGGCTCTATCAGTCAAGGCCTTGAGTTCAGCACATTGTCCAGGGGATAGAGGATTCTGAACAAAACAAGATGATCCTAATGTCTTGCCAGTCCTGCGTCCTTCAGATTACCGGCTTTGCTGAAACTTTCCCATAATTAACCTTTTGATGAGGAAACTATATAATAAACATGCTGAGCTATCTCAGAGTCAGTCAAGCTTCACCAGGGCTTGGTCACCCACCTGGCCCCGGCTTTTTCTCCCTAGGTGTGTCTGTTTGTCTTGTCTTTATCCCCCACCACCCCTCGGGTTTCTGAATTAACGGCGTGCTGGACGTGGCACCTCTCCCCTGTCTTCATGCCGTTCTCAAAACTGGAGAATAGGTTTTTATACTTTTTACTCTAATGCATGCTTTCTTGATGTTGACATTACTGACATTTGAGACCAGATATCTCTCTTGGAGGGAGGAATTGTGGTGACACTACAGGGCATTTAAGCAGCACCCCACTTCCCCACTAGCTTCAAGTCAAAGGCTGTAACTAAGAAAATTCATATTGCCTCCCACACTGCCAAACATCCCAGACCCCGTTACGAACCACTGTGTAAACAATATTTCAATTCTCCTATCAACTTTCATTCAATCTGGTCTCTTGCTTTAAAAATGTTCAGTAAATTCTTTATCATTTACATTTGTGACCACTACATAATTTTTAGGGTAGAAATGGCACTGAGATTTTACTGAGGTGTATCTATCTCATCAGGAAATCATCAGTCATATTTTAAAAACAAAAGTTTTGGGGCTAGTAAAGTGCTTGCCTCACATGCACAAGGACCTCCATGCCCAATTCCCAGCACCACAAAAAAACAAAAACCCCAAAAAAACACTTTTGATACAACAAACAAGAACCAGACAACACAATTTGCCATTTAAAAAATATGTTACCTAACACAATTTTGACACAGCATGATAAGAAATCTTTATAAACAACAGTATGTCTCTTATTTTCCATTTGTAACATTGACTATTCTTAAATTAAAATCTAACTTGGCATCAAAGAAAACTTTCCAAACTTTGAATGTGTGATGACATACTAGTCACATCATAGTGCTTATAGTGTGTACATTTAAACCAAAACCAAAATGCTATCTAATTGCTACTTAGCTAAAAACATAAACTAAACGGTACTCAAGTTCTACTAACACATGAAGTATACTTAAAACTTTGGTCTACTATATATATATATTTTTTAGAAATATTCTAATTCTTAAATAGTCTCCTTTTCAAAATTTAAAACATGTTAATTACTATTATAACATTGATTCAAATGTCATATTTGGCTTTATACCAGAGAAATAAAACAATGTTTGCTTACCTGGTATTCCAGTTTTGCTAGCAGAAGTCTTTGTTCCACTCTGAGGAGCAGTGCCCCCGGGGGACAAGGTCTCTGTGGGATATGCTGTACCCAAAGTCTCCAGTTCCCCTCGGTTGGAGGAGAACACCAAGTCCAGGGACGGCAGCTTCAGCATGCACTCTACTCTCGACACTGGCAAGCAGCTAAACTTGATCTGCGAGGGCTACCAGCAGCAAAAAGCCAGAAAAGGTTTCCAGGAACCATATAGTTAAAAAGTTTCCTGTTGGACTCCAGATGTCACATTCAAATTCCATTCTAGTCCACTCACACCAAGCTTATCATGTCTACTCATTTGACACTTACAAGGGTTATGTTTAACATCATCACTTTTTCAGAAACATGATCCACGAGCCAAAGTATATTCACAAAATGGTGTCATTTTTGAAAAGCTAAATATCGGAAGAGTCATCTCTGAGCAATATTTAGACATCGAGATAATTCAGAACTCTTGAAAATATTTATCCTTATGTTATACTTGCTCTTAATCCAGTCTTTTAAAAAAGAAGTAATCTCATTTATATTAAAATTTGAAAAAAAAACCCACCATTTTATTAGTAACAAAGGTTTTATTTACCCTAAACTCTTTACTCATGTGTTTTCTTCAGACCTTCAAAAAAGTGAGTGCAAACCTCCAGAATTACACACTGAAGACCTTTTGGCCTACTGCTATTGTAAGAAACAGCTGGAACAGATCACCTTCAGCATTGCTTTTCTTCTTTAGCTTGATTATAAAATTTTAGTTGAGATAAACCAAACTGAGAGGTTTAGAGGTTTTCAACTCCTCCTCAACAATTTTACTTCCAAAGGAGTAAATTTGCTAGGACTGTGTTTTAGAATAAAATATTAAATAAAATGACCTAACTCAGCAGAAATCCAAACAAAGGTACTGTTGTGACCTTATATCTTAATAGTTTGTATCACATGATAAGAACTAAATGTGTACAATAAAAAGGCATAAAATATTTTAAAGGGATTTTAACGTGTATTTAAATTTTTGCCACAAAAGTATGAGATCTAAATTTGAAAAATCCAATGATCTATGAAACATTTCAGAAACAAAGTAGAGTTACACATAAAATTTTACATACTTCTCAAAGTTCAGGCAAACTCTAAACCATCATAAATTTATTAAAGGTCCAAAAGCCTATGGCTAAGAAAACTTCAAAGGGAAATAATGTTGAAATAAACTTAAGGAAAACATTTTTCTTTGAAAAGCCATAAATGAAGCTTATCACCTGAACTCGCACATACACCACGACATCCACAGGGAAGGAAGAGTATGCTGACGTTGAGGATGACACTAGTGATGTTGTTGACTCTTCCATAGGATCTGGTATTTCAAAATGCCCCATGTCTTCATCTTGTGAGCTAACAGCTGTTAAAATATTTAGTTTTAAGTTTTATTATTTGATCAAGAGCCAACTATTGTAAGATTCTTTTCTCTTATATTCATTGCTCAGCTCAGAGGCCAGAATACCCAGAACGTTTGCTTTTGAAGCTCACCATTCTATACATCTTCCCCTCCTCAAACCTCTTGCTCAGTCTCCCAAAGAAACTCCCCTGCCACTCAAAGTACACAAAGGAAATAGTTATTATACCTTTGCCCTCAAGGACACTCTAACGTAGAACCTGAGGTTGTTTTTGTGGACCTTGTCATCCATTAGCTGTGGCCCTGGGGAAATCATAAAACCTCATAGGACTGAACCATTTTCATAAGGAAATGAGGATCAGATCATCTCTCAGGGAATTTTTCAGCTCTGTAATTCTTTTATCTATTTAATTATAACTGAATGTATTGTAATATGTAATAGCATTAACAAACACTGCTAAGCAATGGGGTCCCAAAACACAGGTAACATGAAGTGAGTACATAAGGATGGTGCTTACCTGTATAATTCCTTTCGATTGGTGTAATTGGGATTGTTTCTAGAGCCTTCTCCAGGAAGTCCAACAAGCAGGGACTAATAACCATTTCCTCCGGCAATGATTGAAGTGCTACCCAGGCATAGAGCTTGGCTGTTTTTACTCCTCCACTTCCTTTTCCTTTGGCTAAAACATTTGTAAATATTAGGTACACTTAAGGAAATTTAATAAAATGTTCCAATAAAAGATATGAATTTTGTGATACAGCAGAATTATATGACAGTTTAATCAGGTAAAGTACCTTATTTAAAAGCATAGAAGAAAACAATAAAAATAGCAGGTTGATGGAAATGATGCATTAATGTTAGAATACAATGATCATTAATGATGCACAACACAATGGTTATTCTTACTTGCTCTAGGTCACAAATTCTGGTTCAATTTTTCAATTTTATACTTTGCTATGTTTTTGGTTAGATTAGTCCTTTTGTCTATTTAAGAAGATACAGAGAAACTTGACTTACAATATTTAGTGGCAAGTAAGGAAAAATGTCACTATTTTCAGGCTTTCCTATGCTTAGCCTGTATGCAGTTATAAAGCTTCTTAACATATGATGCTATCTTTCTTTCATTCTTCCTTAACTAAATATTTCCACTTCGGTAGAATGAGTAGGAATATCTAATAAAGACTTAGCTTAGGTTTCCACTACAAACATTTACTAGCTGTGTAAATTTAGAACAGATGTTCACAACCCAAGCCTTAAATTTCCTCATTTATAAAACAGGATTCTAATATTTGCAATGAATACAGATGAGACTTGGCAACTGAAAAGTGATATAAAAATATTAGGCATTGTCATCATGATTCTTTACTGACTCGTAAAAGGTTCATATATCGAGTTGTCTTCCCAGTGACAAATGTTTGGTAGTCCCTCTTTTGGAAATTTTACCATGGATCTAAGGTATCATTCGTGTGCTATGTGGTAGGCAGACTCCAGGATGATACGCAACTATCCTTGCTCCCAGTGTTCATACCCTTGTTCCCTCGCTAATGACCTGTCTCATCAGTAAGATTGCAAAAGTGATGTTGTACGGTTTTTGAGGCCACACCATAAAAGATATTGCACACTGAGCCCTGCTCTCTTCTGGATCATTTTTTTTTTGAGGGAGATTAACTGCAACGTCTTATAGACACTAAGCAGCCAGGAGAAAGGCCTCAAGGCGTGGAATCAAGGTGCCTATTAGCTGCCACATGACTGGAACATAATGGGAGCAGATTCTCCAGCCCTAGACCCCATTCAGGTGACTGCAGGCCTGGACAACATCTTGACTCCAACCTTATGGAAGACCACATGTCAGATCCCCCAAGCCAAACTGGGTGGCATTGCTCATCAATAGAAACTGTGTTTGAGATTATAAAATCACTAAATTTGGGGTAATCTGTTATCTCATAACAGATAACTGATAAATGCAGTTAAATCAAATTGTCTTAAATTATTTGTTTGATAACTTACCAGATCTCCCAAATCTGAACTACACAGAACCACTCTTTCCTAAATATATACTGAACAAAAATTTGAGCTATTGAACTACCTCAAGATTAAAACTGATGTTCTAAAGTAACATCAAATTTGAGAAACAGCCACAAATAGTTGGCCCAGATTTCTATCTGTGAATTTTGCACAGTCATTATTTACAAGTCTATGTTCTTTTCCTTAAATGTGAATTTGAAAGTCTCAACAGAGCAAGTAGGATGACTGAAAATTAAGAAAAAAATGATTAAAAAGTAGAGTATATTCTAAATACCTGAGGGGAGAGGTGGGGGTTGGGGAGGAAGTAAGGTGTTAGTCTTGCTCTGGACAGTGCAAGGTAAAGGAGGAGAAGGAGGAGATGTCGCGCTATCTTTCATACCATACAGCTTGGACTCTTTGGAGAGTGTTCTTGGCAAGGAAGACCCTCTGGAAGCATTAGGTGATTCAGTCTTTAGCGTCTTAGAATTGTAGTGCAACTGTATTGAAAAAAAGATACACTTTCAAAATTGAAACAGTATCAGATGAGGAAAAACCATGAAATATAAAAAGGTAGTAGAAAGAACACTGGCTCAGGAGTCCAAAAACGCAGTTCTAGCTTTTACATGTGAGATCTGCAATCCTGGAAAGACTATATGCCTTTTATTTTTAAAACTGGAAAGATCACTTTAGATCGTTAGAAGTTCTTTTCAGTCTAGTAAACTACAGTTATATAATTCTAGAATCTAAAAAAATAGTTGCTCAATAAAGTTGCACTAGGCAAGGTTTAGCAAGTATGATATGATACTGATATTTAAAAAAAGATAACTAACTTCTCTCTGCCAAATTTTCATGGAAAAAGCTGTAGAGATGAAGCCTATAACTTAGATGCTCTTATGTTCAGAATACATTTTAAGCAAAAAAAAAAAAAGTCAGAAAGTCTCATTAATATCCAGAGAAAAAGAAGAATATAAATAATAGAAAAAAAGTACCACTGTCATCCACTTTGATCTCTTGTCCTAAACATCTAGGTTTTTACCTTCACATCAACTCCAGGAATGTAGAACACTGTTGTTTCCAAGTCACTGGGCTTGGTCTGCAGAGAGGATGGCACTTTCTTGCCAGTCATTAGATGGGTGGTGGAAGCATAATTAGTTTGAAATTTCTTCTTTTTTGAAGGAGAATCCTGATCTAAGCTCCTGGAACTTCGATCATAACTCCTATGTGGGAAAAAAATGTTTTATCTTTTTAAAAAAGGACACATTTATCTCCTCCTCTTTTGTCAAATAGAAAATAAAATGCTATCCTCCATTTAAGAAGCAAAAGTATGCTCATTCCATAGCCACAGGGGGTAGTGACTTCTTTCCTAGGGTCACAGCTGTTTCATTTGAACACATCAGGCTGAACCAAACGACACTGCCCATATTTATATAGGCTGAAAGCTAATTATGGATTAGTTTATTCCAATAAAAGTCATTCTTTTTATAATTACTATTACATCTGTAACAGATTTTAACTGTTTAAAGTTTCTATTTTGGGCTGGGCTGAGGTTGTAGCTCCGTGGTACAGTGCTTACTTAGCATGTGTAAGGCACTGGGTTTGATTTTCAGCACCACATATAAATAAATAAAATAAAGGTCCATTGACAATTAAAAAAAATTAAAAAATTTTAAAAAAGTGTCTATTTTCTCTCATTTTTATAAAAGCTTAATTAGATAATAAAAGGCTTTTAAAATGTTTTGCTTATGAAAAATTTCAAACAGTAAACAGGACAGTTTACAAAAGTGAACATGGTATAATGAAATCCCACATGCCCATTATCCCATTTTGACAGCTGTCAGCCTTCTGCTATTCTTGTTTTTTTTTTTTTTTGTTGTTGTTGTTGTTGTTTTTTAAATAGTTCATTTTTAGATCAGGGAAAAATGTAAAAAAAAATAATCTAATGTTAAATCTGTTTATGTCATCATTAGTTAATGACTGGAAGCAAATGGTAAAATTACAGTTATACCCTGAACTCAGTCCAGCCTAATGAGGCCTTACTGCACAACTGTTTTCCAGTCTTTCTTATTTTCTTATGAACTCATCAAAACTCTCACTAATCCAGTGTTGAACTGTTCTTTAAAATAGAAATATACACAGTACAAGGACAGACACTAAAAAATTCATGCTTATTTAAAGAAGAATCATAAAGGTACAACTATTTTAATTAACAGATTTGCCAGACTCTAAATCAGACATTCACTTCCAGTTGCCAGAAAATACTATGCATTTAATTTTTTTAAATTATATGTTATGCAAATAATCACTTGGCCTCTACAATTATGATCACCTACTTTTATTTATTTATTTATTTTTTTTGCAGCTTCTTTTTTTTTTTTTTTAATTTTTTATTGTGGGTTATTCAAAACATTACAAATTTCTTGACATATCATATTCCACACTTTGATTCAAGTGGGTTATGAACTCCCACCTTCACCCCATACACAGATTGCAGAATCACATCAGTTACACATCCATTGATTTACAAATTGCCATACTAGTGTCTGTTGTGCTCCGCTGCCTTTCCCATCCTCCACCCTCCCCCCTCCCCACCTCTCCCCTCCCCTCCCCTCCTCTCTCTCTACCTCCTCCACTGTATAACCCTGAGGGTCTCCTTCCATTACCATGCAATTTCCCTTCTCTCTCCCACCTCTCATCCCTGTTAAATGTTAATCTTCTTCTCCTGCTCTTCATCCCTACTCTGTTCTTAGTTACTCTCCTTATATCAAAGAAGACATTTGGCATTTGTTTTTTAGGGATTGGCTAGCTTCACTTAGCTTAATCTGCTCTAATGCCATCCATTTCCCTGTAAATTCTATGATTTTGTCATTTTTTAATGCAGAGTAATACTCCATTGTGTATAAATGCCACATCTAGCTGTCAGAGAAATGCAAATCAAAACCACCCTAAGATACCATCTCACTCCAGTAAGATTGGCAGCCATTAGGAAGTCAAACAACAACAAGTGCTGGCGAGGATGTGGGGAAAAGGGTACACTTGTACATTGCTGGTGGGACTGCAGATTGGTGCAGCCAATTTGGAAAGCAGTATGGAGATTTCTTGGAAAGCTGGGAATGGAGCCACCATTTGACCCAGCTATTCCCCTTCTTGGTCTATTCCCTAAAGACCTAAAAAGAGCATGCTACAGGGACACTGCTACATCGATGTTCATAGCAGCACAGTTCACAATAGCAAGACTGTGGAACCAACCTAGATGCCCTTCAATAGACGAATGATCACCTACTTTTAAAATCTGCATTTTGAGACTGGGGGAAAAGGTGGGTGTAATTCAGTGATATGTGAATAGATTTTCTAACACATGAAGTCATATGTACCTCTTTCAATCAGCTTCTTACCTTCTCAAACTTATGTCATCATGTTCTTGTAGAAGGGTGGTTGGGTGGAGTACACATTTTCCACTATCAATTTCAACCCGTATATCAAGTTCAAAATCAATATTTCTTTCAGTAGCTGTGCCACTAAGACTTCGGTTGACTGGTGTTGTTGGCCAGCGTTCCGTAAATAACTGATGAACAGCAGCAAAGCCTGTTGCTTTTTTACGAGAAGTGTGTCTAGAGAAAAAGAAATCTGATCATTACATTGTAGTAAAATGGGAATTCTTTTTAATAAACCACTTTCCAGTATGTTAAGCTATAGTACATAAATAATTTCAATATTTTATAAATTCACACAAATTACTCAACCAGACGTACTAACTGAACCTTTTTTCCTAGTTTGAAGGAGACGCTTTTTATTCAATAGGTGCTGAGTAACTATGACATGCCAGGCAATGTGCTAGGTGACAAGGACACAGGCATAATCCCTGTTATTAATGATTTTATTACAATGTCTGAACTATATTTGGGAGTCTTTATTTTCTCAATGATAAAATTTAAATGCTACTTTTCTGCTTTTAATAAAAGACAGAAAACTGGAAAAAAATAATGCCAAATGTTCTTCCTGTCTCAAAATTAAAAAAATAAAAAGGGCTGGAGATATGGCTGAGTGGTTACGTGTCCCTGGGTTCAATCCCCAGTACCAAAAATGTTGTTAGGGAAAAAAATGGATATCCACATGTGTAATCTGAACTGGTGCATGTGTGAGGCACTGGGTATACCCGTAAGCTGTACCATACAAAAAGTCAACTCAGAATGGATTCAAGATTCTGAGCCACAACCCCAAGCCCTTTTATTTCTTTCTTATACATCCAAATATTCTCATCCCGCTTGAGTGTATGTGTGTGTGTGTGTGTGTGTATGTAATATACACATATGTGTGTATACACACATTTGTCACATCTCGTGACAATTTGACAATATACTGTAGTTTATCCTAAGCATCTGATAGAAGGAGATCTGCTTATTGTTCAAACTCTATCCAGAGTGAATTTGAACTGGGAAGATAATTTCCCCATGGAATAATGAATACATAGAAATGATGGCCATTAAGAGGAATTTATCTAACTTAATATGTAAATATAATTATTATTAAGTGGCAGCTTTTGGGACCAGACTAGGTGAATTTGTTTACATGAATAACATGTACTCCTTTCTTATTGTTAATATAGATATTTCTTATTAGATTTAAAAATAATCATGTCTCTCTTAGTCTGCACTCATATTTAGAATGCTAAAAATCAGGATGTTACAAATTGGAAAGTTATATACCAAAGAGTATATAGAAAGTTATATTGGTAAGAACACTTAGTGATATCTGTGGGCACTGTGTTGCACAGCTGATCTCCAGAGCTTGTCTGCTCCCTGCATAAGTGAAGCCTGCTCCCTGCTGACTAGCAGCTTCCTTTGCAGCCAGTGCTGTCCTGGCCTCTTGCTGTTTCAGCTGCCTGGTACAGGCGGGCTCCTATAGCCTTGGGCCTTCTCAGTGGTAGAGCACTTGTCTAGCATGTGTGAGACACTGGGTTCAAGTTTCAGCACCACATATAAATGAATGAATAAAATAAAGGTCCATCAACAACTAAAAATATGTATTAAATATTTTTAAAAAATAATAATTGTCAAACTAGAATTCTGCACTGAACCCAATAATCAATCAAATACAAGAATTAGCAGTAATTTTAGATATAAAAGATGAAGAAAGTAGATCTGTATTACAACTTTTCTTAGAAGCAATTTGAGGATGTATTACAGAAAGATAAGGAAATAAACCAAAATATATTGATAAAAGAGATTTAAGAGTTAGTGGTTTCAGTCAACGAAAAGGAGGAAAGGATTCACAAGGCTCAGAATTGTCAAGATTGAAGAATGCAGACATCCCCTAATAGACCAACTTTTAACTATATTCCTCTTGTGCCTAGTAATTTCCCATTATTACTGCCACTTCAAACTTTTACTGTTACTGTTACCACCTCATTTGAGTGGTGGTCATACATGCTCATCATCTCAGCTTATTTCTTTCTTCCAAGAATTGGCTGAATCTTTCATCCATTGCTAAACATTTCCCCTTTACTACGTTTCTTTTCTATACTATACTATACTGTACTATATTTATAGTACCTCTCCCTGCAATTTGTTACTCTCTAAGGTCAGGAGAAATACAGCCTTCTCCTTTAACTCATAACCACATCTTTACTACCATTTTCCTGATAGGATTTATCTTGAAAAATATTAAAATTTAAATAAACCCATTTAAATTAAAAATTTAGTTCTGAAATCTGGAACACCACCTAAGGATTTTTAAAAGGCTACTCACGAGGGTTTTCGGTAAATATAAAACCTTTCCCTCTCCCGGTCTTCATCCTTTTCATCCTTCTCTGAGTCTTCACTGGTAGAAGACAAGCTGTCATCTCTTCGACCCTCTTCAGGTTGGAAAGGAATGCTTGCTGGAAAGCCTCCTGGAGTTTTGGGAGAATTGAACACGGAACAGGACCCTTCACTGTTTGATGAGTAGTGAGATGGACCTTCAATAGTTACTGACAAAAGGTCCAGTTCTGTCTCTTCTGGAAACTGATTATAAAAAAAAAAAAAATCATATTTCAAGCCCATTTTTAATTACAACAAGAAAAAAACATTTTTAAACATTTTTATTTCCTCAATATCCTCACTCAACTGAAAGAAAGGTCAGATTTATGAACACAAGAAATGGCACACAAAGGAAGAAAGTGGGTCAAACCACAGAAAGTCATGCCACCAGCACTTTAAAAATTAGAGTGAAGTTTCACTTTACAGGAATACATTGCATTGATTAGTAACACTGGATTTCTTTAAAAGCAGAAGTTAAACATATGGACACAAAAGAAACATGATCGACCAAAAATCAGAATGGCAAGCTCAATTAGTAAGAAGAACATGCAGACACAGCGTCACTCTGGTCCCTCATGCTTGTGAGCTCTCTGAGGGTCTCTAAACAACAAGCCCCTCATAGGCTGAGGAAAGGCACATACAGAGTTGAATATTAAAACATGTACCTGAACCCAACTTCAGGATGCTGTATTTTAACATTGTAGTCTGTATAAACACCATGTCTCTAACCCAGAATTTAATTTGGAGGCCACTGTTTTTAAGTGAGTCAACAAAACCAACAATACTTCCTATGACCCAATTTTGATTCCCAGCTTCAGAGAGCTGAGCATCATTTAAGAATGATCAGCCTCTTTAAAGTGTAATGTGCAAGGTGGTGTTACTTGTTCCTAAAAATTAGCTTTCAGTAGTTTTTAAGAGCAAATTACCTAAAGAAAATTCATAATGCAATCCTACAATGAAAATGTCAAATATCTGCAAAGACCAGGAGTTCTTCACTTTATAAAATAAATATGTTGTCAAGTAACCAAATACATCAGGTTTGTGTTTGTTGGAATTATCTTTCAACTTTTAAAACTAGGGTAAGTTTATGTAGAAAACAATCTGTTATTTGTATTTATATGTAGCTATACCTTAATTACTTCCCAATTTATAATTAGCAAATCTAATACCTAATCTTATATTTATCACCTAATTTATGATTTTCCATATTTTTTACAAGCAGAGTATACACTGTTATTGAAAAACAGGATGAATCATTTCAAGTATTAAGGCCTTCAAGAAGCACACAGTTAGGGCTGGTATGTACCTCAGTGATACAGCAGTTGTTTAGCAAACATGAGGCCTTAGGTTTGATACCCAGCATGGCAAAGTAACCAAAAAAAAAGGGCTGGGGTTGTGACTCAGTGGTAGAGCACTTGCCCAGCATGTGTGAGGCCCTGTGTTTGATTCTCTGCACCACATATAAAAAAGATAAAGGTCTATTAACAACTAAAAAAATACATTAAAAAGAAAAAATTTAAAAAATAGAATAACCTGTTGGATTCATTTAATTCACATAAATGATTTGTTTTCAAGCTTTTAGTTTTTTAGAATATAGGAAATATTCATCAAGCTTACTATAGTACAATTATAGTTCTAAAACAAAATCCAATTTGACTGAATTTAGTATAATTATGGGATATATGTTGAAACTCCGAGCTTGAGAGAGGAAGGAAATGCAAACAAAATATATTTGGAATAAGTGCCAACTTTTTAAAGTAATTTTAAAGAAAAATTCTAGAAGAAGACTTATATATCTGGTATATTACATCTTTCATTTTTAGTTTTGTGATATATTTTAGGAAAATACTGAATTATAAAAATGTTACATTTTTGAATGATTGTGTAGCACATTTTCACACTGTATTGAACATGAGAATAAATTTTTAAATGGATCATTTTATAAATACTTGTATATCAGTCATTCAAAAGAAATGTCATTTGATGATTATTTTGTTGCCCTGAGTTAGAGTTGATTTTAGTTTGAACTATTAAAGTTTTCTTTTTTAAAAAAAACACACATTCACTTTGTAGTTGAATGTAAGTGAAAGAGATTTTCTTCGGGATTAGCAAATAACTAATAAACTGCAGTTCTGTGTTTATGATTTAACTGAATTGATTTGATAAACTGATTTTAGTTTTTTTAATTTTGAAGATCAAAACAATATTAAACTATATAGAAGAACAAAACTAAAGTATATGTATGCAAGAGCTTATGAGATATATACATGATAAAAAATTCAAAACAATTTTATGTAAAATAGAAAATTTTTGAGGTCTGAGTTTAGCGTGAAATGAAAGGAAGACATTTTGAAAGCAGATTTTCAGGGTGGTTGATTAGTTTTGAAGCAAAATTTATGTTGATCTGAATAAGTACCTGAAAATACCCTTCCCCAGGAGAGCTGGACTGTGGCGTACTTCCCCACACTGTATTTTTCAACTTAGTTAAAATAATAAGAAAAAAGTAAAAAAAATTGTGAACAAGAAACAATGGTTTAAAAGTAAACAAATACACAAAAAATATAAAAAAATTTAACATAAAATTTAACATGCTATGAAATTACAATGCATCTCTGAAGCCGACTGCCCCTCTGGTTTCTGCCACCACCTATATACACATTTTGAATACATAAATAAGTACTGCACACAAATACATCACAATTGTGTAAAACACATAGTTCAATGTGAATTCTTGTTTGCGAGAAAAAATATTCAACAAAAGCCTTTCTGTCTCAGAGCAAGCAGTTAGGACTCTTCACTGTGCAGGTAAAACTCTAAGGCCCACAGTGTGACTCTCAGCTCATACAGCCAGACACTTCACCCAATACCATCTTCATTTCACATCAGACAAGAATCAGTATCTTGAAACTGCATTAGTACTGCCATTTTACAATTTGTAGAAACTATTCAGTAATGTATGTTTCTAACAAATATAATCTCTCTTACTGTATCCTGGATGTTAAAAGTTACTCTGGGCCCAGGAGATGCTGCATCCACTCGGATTTCTGGGAGCTCTTCAGCTTCTCCTACTCGAGAACTGTAAGTAAAATATAAAGTCATAAAACACTAACATTCTCGAAAAAATTCTTGGATTTCATAAAAGTCTGATTAATGATATTAACATTCTAGTTCTAAATATTTGCTTTATTAAAGGACTGAACTACTGGCATTCCATTTCTTAACCTTTATCATCCTGTGAAAACAACTCAACGTGTTGATTAACTCAAGATTATCTAAAATCAAACCATAAAAAGGATGTATCATTCTTATTTTCATAGTGATTTAGTATCGAAGCAGTATTTAATTCAATAGATTCAATTTCCATTTCTTCACATGCTGAACAGATGTGCAGCTGTACATTTCTTATCCCGACAGAGAGCAGCAGCGGCTAGTGTGCACATTCCCATTCTCTGGACAGTCTAAGTTTGCACATAGGACTTGTTAAAATGGTGGAGCACTTCATTACTGAAAAGCATCACTGCACTGTGGTGTGTGACAGAGGAACTCCTCAAATAAATGAAATAAGACCATAACCAGGATGACTGCTATTTTACCAATGAGATCCATTTATATTATGTTAGTTTTGTAATTTCTCCAATTAGAATACGGGGGTGGGTGGGGGGGAAGCAGTGAATCTTTGTAATAGACTCAGTGATTTTATTATTTGTTTCACTGGTTGAAATACTTAATACCTTGTTCTTTCCATTCGCTTGAGAGGTGGTCTTCCAGAGGCAGAAATGCTTTTTGATCGGCTATAACTTGGTTTATAACCCAATCCCCACTTATCCTTTAAAGAAGCAGCCTAATAAAATGGGAAAGGAAAAAAAAGTGACTATAGACAAGTGTTTACTGTTAACATTTCACTTCAGATAAGAAAAACATTTGACTTCATGAAATACCCTGTTTCCCCTTAAGTGACTTTAAATGCCACTTAACAAGACAGTGAGTCAAAGCAGAGCAGCACCCAGTTATCTTTAGATTCTAGCACCAACTGGGAGGACTGTGCAATGCAAACAGGAGCCACTGTCCTCTACTCCTCTTAGCAAGATCTGACTCTGGGAGAAGCCAGTCAGCCAGGGCCCAACCTGCCCTGGGGGTATTATCACAGCTTAACTGACCCAGAAGAAGGAAAATACCAAGCTCCAATCGGCTCTAGCCACATTGTTCCTCCTTCAACTAGAAAAACAAACTTTTTTCTTTTTCCTTTGGGGTCCCAGGAGTAGAACTCAGGGGCACTCCATCACTGAGCCACATGCCCAGCCCTATTATGTATTTTATTTAGAGACAGGGGTCTCTCTGAGTTGCTTAGTGCCTCGCTATTGCTGAGGCTGGCTTTGAACTCAGGATCCCCTTGTCTCAAAGTTGCTGGGATTGCAGGTGTGGGCCACTGTACCTGGCTGGAAGAAAAAAACTGACAAAGTTGTTGATGGTCCAGTCTCTTAGGCTCCAAAAAACACTGAAGCCTAATCAGAGGATGATAAAACACTATGCTCCCGCTGACACCCTACCACTGCATCACCAAAGGCCAGTTTATATAAGTTTCTGGCTATTGAGAAAAAAATTACAGGATTCCTCAAAAGACTAGGCATAGAACCACTATATGATCCAGCAATACCACTCCTCGGTATTTATCCTAAAGAATTAAAGTCACTATACTACTGATAACTGCATACCTATGTTTATGGCAGCATAGTTCATAATAGCCTAACTGGGGAACCAGCCTATATATCCATCAACAGGATAAAGAACATGAGGTTCACATACACAATGGAGTTTTATTCATCCATAAAGAAAAAATGAAATTATGTCATTTGCAGGAAAATGATTTGAAAATTGAGACCATTATGTTAAGTGAAATAAGCCAAATTCAGAAGGTCAAGGGTCAATGTGTTCTATCATTTGTGGAAGCTAGAGAGGAAAAAGGAAAGGAAAGGTAGGGGTTGGGATTTCATGAAAATCAAAGGGAGATTGGTAGAGCAGAGGAAAGGGATTAGAAGGTGGGAAGAGGGGAGGAAGGGGAAAGTGTTGGGGAGTGATATTGGCTAAATACATTGTTACACCACACAACAAATGCCATCATTATGTGCAACTACAATGCACCAATAACAATGCGGGGAGGGGGGAGGGGAGAAAACCTCACAAGGCTTACTAAAATGCAGAAAGAAAGAACACTCTGGAGAAGAGAGTGAGCAGCAGAACCAGACACACGCCCAGGGCTCAGGGCTCGGCTGGATGAGGCCCACTGCAACAAGAGCTGCGCAAGGTAACCAGACAAAGGTGAATCCCGAGGGACCAAGAGGCACTGTCAGGGTCAGAAACACTGACGGCAGCGAGCGCTGTGTAGATGGGCTGTGTAGACTGGATACCACTGAGGAAGGAATCACGGAGTTTGAGGATGTATCAAGAGAATCCTGAAAAAAGTGAAAAGCAAAGAGAACAGAGACAAAAGAAAGGGAGGGAGGGAGAGATAGGGAGGGAGAGAGAGAGGAAGGAAGGAAGGGATGTTTAAAAACTGTGGAATAAATGCAAAAGGTATAAATATGTATTAAGATGTGGATCTTGCATGTACTCCAAAGGTTCATGTGCTGAAGGCTTAGTCCCCAGTGCAGTGATGTTCAAGGGGGGCTGTGATAGGACATCAATGGAGTAATGCACTGACTGGGGAGTGACTGAGTCATCATGGAGTAAAGCACAGATGGAGTGACTGCTGAATGGACTACCTAGAGGTAGGGAAACTGAATGAGGTGGGACCTAGTTGAAGGGAGTAGATCCTTGTGAACATGATTTGAGGGACTATATTTTGTCCTTGGCTCTTTCTTTCTCTTTCCCTTTTTCTCTCCCACTCCTACCCTTCATTCCCGGCTGCCATGCACTAAGCAGCTTTGCTACCTCTAAAAACATGAGCCAAAATAAGTCTGTCCTCCTCTAAGTTAATTTTCTCAGGTATTTTGTCACAGCAATGAAAAGATGACTAACACAGTATGTGTAATAGAAATACCAGAAGGAGAAGAAATGGAGAAAAGAAGAAATATGAGACCAATTATGACTGAGAATTTACTCAAATTCATATCAGACACCAAAGCATACACAAGAAGCTCAGAGAACACCAAGGATGGTGGAAAAACAATCCCAAAAGAAGCCAAAAATTTTAAATACCTTACCTATGTAAGAAGAAAGCAAAGAATTACATCAAACTTTTCTTCTATCATCCATGCCAGCAAGAAGAGAGTGAAAAGAAATATTTAAAGTGTTGAGAGCAAAAATTCCAATAACCTAGAATTCTATACTCCATGAAATCATTCTTCTTCAATAGTGAAGGAGATATAAAAAAAATTATTCAGAAAGACAGAATTTGAGGGGATTTGTTCCTGCAGCCTTGCATTGCAAGAAAAAAAGAGTTAGAAACTTGAATACCAATAAGGAAAGGAAAAGTGTCAGAGAGAGGAAGTGAAAGTAAATAAAAACACTTCTTTCTCTAGTCCCAGTTTTTTGGTGCTTGAAATCAAACACAGGGTCTCACACATGCTAGGTACTCTATCACCGAGACATAACCTCAGCCCAAAACCTTTATTTTTCTTATTCTTAACTGCTCTAACAGATAATATAATACTACTAATGATTGTTCAATTATATATGCTTATATGTAAGAGAAACAAGTGACAGCCCAAGATGAGGGACAGAAGACAAAATGTTCACACTATCTGTAAAATGCTAAACTGTTATTTGAAAGCTCACTTGGATTAGCTGTATATTATATTCCAAACTACATGACAATCTCTAAAATAATGTTTAAAAAAGGTATAACTGAAACGCTAAAAAAGGAGAAAAAAATGTAATGCAGTTTCACTAACCACAAAAGACAGAAAAAAAGAGAAAACAAAAATAGGAACTAGGAATAAGGGCAATGAATAGAAAACAGTAACAAATATAGTAGATGTTAATCAAATGATATCAGTAATAACTTCAAAAATCAATTGTCTAAAATGGCTCAGCATTAAAAGAGAATAAAACCATGGCATTTGCAGGTGAATGGATGGAGCTGTAGAAGATAATGCTAAGTGAAGTTAGCCAATCCCCCAAAACCAAAGGCTGAATGTTTTCTTTGATATGAGGAGGCTGACTCATAATGGCAATGGAGGGGGAGCATGGGAGGAATGGAGGAGCTTTAGATAGGGCAAAGGGGAGGGAGGGGAAGGGAGGGGGCAAGGGGGTAGGAATGATGGTGGAATGAGTTAGACATCATTACCCTAAGCACATGTATGAAGACACGAATGGTGTGAAAATATTGTGTACAATCAGTGACTTGAAATTCAACTGTGCTCTCTATGTGTAATGTGAAATAAATTGCATTCTGCCATCATGTATTGCTGAAGCCATTGCCAAGTAGGTATGACGCATGACATGACCCAGGTCATTTGCAGCTACATTGCATGTAAGGTGACCTTGCTCAAGGACCAGGGCAGATCCGGGTTTAGGGCGTTCCGGGTTTAGGGCGTTCCGGGTTTAGGGTTTAGGACAATCCGGGTTTAGGGCAGTTCCAGGTTTAAGGTGTACCCTGCTGGGAATAGGGTGTATCCTGCTGCCTCAGGCATGCCCGCTCCTTGAGTTCCCGTTGAGTTTTCGCGGGATTCAGAGAGTATTTGGGATTTCGCCCAGAACGTGAATTGGGCAGAGAACCTGGATTTCCCCAGAACGTGTTTGTAGAGTGCCAGTGTGAGTTCGGGAATAAAGAGTTGCTGTTTGAATCTACAAGGTGTGTGGTGGCTCGTGATTTTGTGCCCAGCCAGACTGCGGCAATGTATAACAAATTAGAATAAAAAAAAGAAAAAGACTGTTAGACTAGATCCAACAAAACCCAACTAAATGTTGATACAAGAAACCCATTTACACAGACAATTTAAAACGTCATGCACTGCATAAGGACATTTCAGTCAATGATCTTTATGTACTTGTGGACAAGCCGACTGAGCTGCCAGGAGTATGAAGGCAGAGCACGTGGGATCTTATGCGTATATACTACTAGGTAATGACAAACACCCGTGTTCCTAGTTCCTGTGACTGCGCTTGGCCATCATTGTTTAGAGAGCTCCTCTGGTGCTGAAATCCCGCTGGGAAGCAGCAGCCTCCACACACCTCGTGCTTAGTGCAGCTCTTCACTGCACCAGGATTCATGTCAAGTGAAAACCAACACCACCTATCTACAGAAGTCCACTCCACGATGTTTACACAATGACTAAATTACCCAGCAATGCATTTCTCAAAATATATCCCTGCCATTATGTTACACAAATGTGTAATTATTTAAAGATACATATATACATACATATATATATATATATATATATATATTTAAACCAAATGGATGAAGAAAAAAATACTATGCTAATCAAAAGAAAAAGGGAGTAGCTGTATCAATTTTAGACACAGCAGTCTTCAGAGCAAAGAAAGTCATTAGAGATAAAGAACTTACATGCTATTAAGAGGGCCAATGCTCCAAGCAGACATCACAATCCTCAGCATACATGTGCCTAACAGTACAGCATAAAACTATGTGAGGCAGAACTAACAGAAATATGAGAAGAAGCAGACTCCAGTGCTCCTTTATCATCAGCAGTCATTGATGGAACACAAAACTGTAAGAATGGACATGGCTGAGTTCCACACTATTATCAATCAACTGGTATAGCAGGTTTACTTCATCCAATGACAGCAGAATACACATTATTCTCAAGTACAAACAGGACATTTGCCAAGACAGACCACAAGATTGTAAGGCCACAAAACACACCTAAATTTAAAGAACAGAAACCACAGAGTGTGTGTTCTCCGACAACAATGTAAACTAGAGAGACACATGGACAGAGATATGGAACAACCCCCACACACAGGCGTATATAATACACATATGACATATGCCTATGTGTGTGTCCCTTCAACTCTCAGGTGGCTACCTGGAAAATCCAAAAATACACTGAGATCAAACAACATACTTCAGAATAGCATGGGGTTAAAGAAGAAATCGCAAGAGACATTTAAATTTAAAATATTTTAAAAATAAAATGAGAACACAATGTATGAAAATCTATGAGACGCATGGAAGGCAGAAGGAAGATCTAAAATCAACTGTCACTTCTCAAGCAATACACACACACACACACACATATATATATACAAGCAATCAACAAATATATGAAAAAATGTTCAACTACTCTAATAATTAGAGAAATGCAAATCAAAACTAAGATTTCATCTCACTCCAGTCACAATGGCAATCATGAAGAACACAAGCAAAAATAAGTCTTGGCGAGGATGTGGGGACAAAGGCACACTCATACACTACTGGTGGGACTACAAATTGGAGCAACCACTTTGGAAAGCAGTATAGAGATTGCTTAGAAAACTTGGAATGGAACCACCATTTAACCCAGCTATCCCACTCCTCAGTCTATTACCAAAGGACTTAAAATCAGCATATTATAGTGACACAGCCACATAAATGTTCACAACAGCTCAATTCACAATAGCTAGACTGTGGAAACAACTTAGATGCCCTTCAATAGGTGAATGGATAAAGAAACTGTGGTGTATATACACAATGGAACAGTACTCAGCCTTAAAATATAAGAAAAATTATGGCATTTGCAGGTAAATGGATGGAGTTGAAGAATAGTATGTTAAGTGAAATAAGCAAATACCAAAATCCGAATGTTCTCTGATAAGTGGATGCTAAGTCATAATGGGGAGATGGGGGGAATGGAGGAACTTTGGACTGGGTTAAGGGGAGGAGTGGGGAGGGGGAAGACATGGGGGCAGGAAAGACGAGACAGACATCATTACCCTAGACTCTACATCGTGTACAACCAGAGAATTGAAATATTGTGTTCTATTTATGTACAACAAATTGAAATGCATTCTGCTGTCGTACGTAACAAAGTAGAACAAATTAAAAAATGGGGAAAAAAATCAATTGTATGAGCTTCCTCCTTAGGAAACTAGAAAAGCAATTAAAAATTAAATCCAATTAAGAACAAAAAAACATTAAAAACAAAAAGCAACAAAACTGAAAGAGGAAATCGATAGATTAATAAAACCAAAACCTTGTTCTTTAAAAAGATCCAATAAAATCAATAGGAGAGGCTATGAAAAGACTGGATTACTTAGAAAGGAAGGAAAGAACATAGTTACAGACTATGAACATTAAAAGTCAAGACATACTATGAACAACTTTATGCCTCAAAATCTGATAAGTCAGATGAAATGAACCAATTTTTTGAAAGATATCATTTGTCAAAATTCACACAAGAAATAGAAAATCTGAATGGGCCCATATCTATCACAAACTAAATTAATAACTAATAACCTTCTAAAACAGAAAGCAACTGGTGCAAGTGACATTTAAAGAAGAAATGTAAACCACTTACCCACGATCTCTTTCAGAAGGTAGCAGCAGTGGAATAAGACCTCACTCATCTATGCGGCCACACTGCCTGATTCCAAAACCAGGCAAAGACATTACAAGAAAGAAAAACAATAAACCAGTATCTTCTCTAAATATGGATGAAAAAATCCTCCATAAAGTTTTAGCAAGTCAAGTCAAACCCAACAAAGAGAACGTACAAAGAGAATAATACACCACAATCAGGTAGAAATTATCCCAAGTATGCAACAGTGGTTGAACATTCAAACATCAATCAGTGTAATCCATCCATGTTAAAACAGAAAAGTCATGCAGCCATAGTAATGGATGCTGAAAAATATTTGCCAAAATCCAACATGAATAAAACCTTCCACCAAACCAGGAGCAAAGGTAAACTTCCTTAATTTGATAATGAATATATACAAAAATCCATACAATTAACATCATAGTAATGGCAGTAAATTCAAAGCTCTTCCACTAAGATTAGGAGCGGGTAAGGAACTCCTCTTCTGTAGCCTGGATCTGGACTGCAATGTCCCCCAAAGGGCCTGGTGTTGGAGACCCGTGCCCAGCCTGGACCACTGGGAGATGGTGTGACCTTTAGAAGCTGAGGTCTAGTAAAAGTTAGGTCATGGGGGCAGGCCCCTGACGAAGATGTTGGGACCTCAGCTCTCCCCGCACTCCCCAATTTCTCTGCCACTAGCTTCTGCCATATTGTACTGTGACTCCACAGACCCAAAGCAATAGGGCCAAGAGGCCATTTACTGAGACCTCTAAGACTCTGAGACAAAATGCATATCTCTTCCTTTTAAGGTGATGACTTCAGGTATTTGCCACAGTAAAGGAAAGCTGACCAACAATAGCCTTTCTTTTTGACACTGTTTTGGAAGGACTAGCTAATGTGCTGAAAGGTACACAGAATAGGAAAGAAGAAATAAAACTGTCTTGGTTCACAAGTGACATGATTGTCTATGTAAAAATCTACAAGAATTGACAAAAATGTCCTGGAATTAATAAGCAATTATAGCAAGGTTGCAGGACACAGAAGTTAATGTACAATTGCTTTCCTATTTACCAACAATGGACAAGTAGACTTTGCAATTAGAAACATAATTTACTCTTGCATCCACAAAAAGGAAATACTTAGTTATAAATCCAACAAAACACGAACAAGATCTGTATGAGGAAAACTATAAAATTCTGATGAAAGAAATAAAATGGGGAGAGAAATATTCTATGATCATGTTAGAAGACATAATATTGTTGGGATGTCCATTCCTTGCAATTAATTAGATTCAATTCCATCCCAATCAAAATCCCAGCATGCTGTTTTGTGGATGTACACAAGAAGATTCTAAAGTGCACAGGGTGAGAGAGAAGACCCAAAAATAGTCAACATAATACTGAAGAACAAAACTGTAATATTGATATTACCCTAATCAAGTAGTGTACTTTTAGCAAAAGAATGAACCAACAGATCAATGGAACAAACCAGACAGAATCAGAACCATCCAAGTGTAGTCAACGCATCTCTATGAGAGAAACAAAGGTAGCACCCTGAGCACAGACAGTCTTTTCAACCCATGGTGCAGGAATAGCTGAGCCTCAACATGCAGACGCATGGACCTGGCCGCAGTGGACCCGTGTTCTTCACCAGGATCACCTCACATGACTGTAGACCTCAGTGGAAAAGAGACACTAGACACTACCTAGAAGACAACACCACTCAAGAGGTTTCCATGTTCGAGCATTTTGGATTTCAGATTTTCCAATTACAGATGTTACCAGGAAAATCTTTATATTTACCTGTTAATTTTCCTGTGAACTTAAAACTGCTCAATAAACCATATTTATTTTAAAAGGTAAATAAAGCTGAAAAGGGGAAAGTGATGGCTGAGGTAAATTCAGATAGGAAAGAGGAGACATCTCCAAAGAAATTCATATTTTTCACAGAGTTCACACTAGCGACTAAGAAGCAAGTGTGATATCATGAAGGGCAGGGAAAATCCAGGGACAAGGGCCTGACGTAGATGGAGTCCCACCACCTGGGTTTCACCCCGTCCCCCCCAGGTCAGTGGTCACATCGCCAGATTACATACACTCTTACATACCTTACGTGAGACTGTATACTCCTGGACAAATTACCTGACCTCTGTGCCCCCGTTTCCTCATCTTGAAAAATGGGAAAATACTAAGAGCCACTTCACAGGACTGTAGTGGATTAGGATGTTCAATGGGAAGTGCTTTACTAAACAGTGCCTGGTTCAGAACAGGTCTGAAACGTGCACACCAGGTGGTATGGCCCCCAGCGGTGCAAGAAAAGGGAACTTAGGCTTTGCCATAGCTATGGTAAAAAAAGTCTAATAAAATTCTTTTTAAACATTTAAACATTTACTCACTCTCATACTGGACCTCCGTAATTTTTTCCGAACATCTCTTCGAATATCATTTACAGCCACAGATTCTAACTGCTGGTAACGTTGAATTTCCTGGTTTATGGTTCCTTCACTTGCACCTAATTTTCTAAATGCCGAGCAAATATGGCCATTATTATAAAGAAGCAACAAAGTAAAACTGACATTTACTTGCTCTTTTTTCATTCTCTCACTTGTCAGAATACCAATGATTATGTATGAACAGGCTAAAACTGTAAAACGAAACAACAACCCATATAACAGCTGAACAAATGCTTCCCATCCCCCAACGCTGGGGACTGAACTCAGGAGCACTTACCACCTAGTTATATCCTCATTCCTTTCTTTTCTTTCTTTTTTTGAGATAGGGTCTTGCCAATTTGCTAAGGTAGGCTTTGAACCTGAAACCCTCCTGCTCAGCCTCCCAAGTCACTGTGACGACAGACATGTACCACCAAGCTCAGCTGAGGAAATGCTTCTTACCCACTGCTGTATCAAAAGTCTCTACAGGGATGGGGTTGTGGCTCAATGGTAGAGAGCTTGCCTAGCATGTATGAGGCACTGGGTTTGATTTCCAGTATCACATAAAAAATAAATAAATAAATAAACAGACCACTCTGTTTTTTTAAAAAAAAAAAAAAGTCTGTGTAAAATTCTACATAAAATATAAGCCTTTGGTAATATTTTGGAAAAATGAATATATTTTGCTTCAAGTCATTCCCCTACCCCCTGAGAATAAAACAAACTGTAATGAAAGTCAACAGGAAAATGTGAATCACCGGCGGGGTGTGGTGGCATACACCTGTAATCCCAGCAGAACAGGAGGCTGAGGTAGGAGTTCAAAGCCAACCTCAGAAACTTAGTGAGGCCCTGAACAACTCAGTGAGACCTGATCTCTAAATAAAATACAAAAAGGGCTGGGGATGTGACTCAGTGGTTAAGTGCCCCTGGGTTCAATCCCTGGTACCAAAAAAAGAAAAAAGAAAGAGAAAAGAAAATGTGAATCAGTACATGGTAATTTCCAGACAAGTTTTTAGGCAACACTTTTCACTGTATAAAATGCATCTGTGAATAAGTCTTTGAATGCACAACAAACAACCAAACACAGGATACAGATGTATGAAGATTAGAAAAGATGAGGCATGACCATTAACTTTTGGGAAGATAAAGTTCCAAAGTTCAGCAAAGAGAATATTTACTCTTATAAAGGAGGTATTACTTAGTAATATTCAGTAAGAAACAGAAAAGATTACAACTACCTACTCATTCCTACTCCTACTTTAATTCTAAAGAACTGATAATTCAGGCAGGCAAGGAATGGGACGAAAAAATAAACTTTCAAATCAGATACACCCAAGGTCAGGTTTCAATTTTTTAATTACTCTGAGCCAATTTTTCCATCAATAAACGTGGGTGCCATCTTATCTCACAGAAATGTTGTGTGAATAAATTGAGATGACATATCAAACTCACAATAGGCAGTTAACAAATGGTAATTTTTTTCTTCTCTAAAAAATTTCATTCCAGGGCTGGGGTTGTGGCTCAGTGGTAGAGTACTTTCCTCACATGTGTGAGACACTGGGTTTGATCCTCAGCACCACATAAAGATAAATAAACAAAATAAAGGTATTTATCCATCTACAACTAAGAAAAATATATACTTAAAAAATTTCATTCCAAAAATAGTGCTAGCAATATGTAATGCATACATTTGTAAATGCACGTAAAGACACAAGAGAGTGTATATGCACATGTGGCAACATGTACATGTGATACAGTCAGTCTAAACTGGTCAGAAATGAGTGTGAACAGCAGGAGACTAGGATTTTAGGTCTCATTTTATCACCAATGAACCTGTGATCTCAGGCAAATTATTAAACTTCTCTGGAGCTTGGTGATCTTGCTAATGAACTAAAGGGTTTGTATTACCCTAAATCAAGTTTCCTCCATATTTAGTATCCTGTGGTTCTATTATTAGAGAATACTGCATTAAACCAAAAGTCAAAACACATACTTAAGGTCATCTATTACTTTGGCCTGTTCATTCAGTTCTCTGATATCCACTAAACGCTTCATAATTTTTCTTCCTCTGAGCTCTCCTGGCTGGCTGGAGGATGCTCCTTGTCTTCGATAATCTACAGCTTCCTGAAAAACCAAAAGCATATGTATCAACATCCCCAGTCAGTTCACAGAACAAATCTATACTACAAAATTAACAACCTAAATCAAAGAATGCATGCAAGAATCAAAGCTGTATACATTAAGATGATCGGCATTCTTCATTGATTTGAATCCCTTCATTTTCATAAGCAATCTAATTGCTACCTACATTTCCCCATGAATGTGCTCTGCATGCTTTCAAATGAGACTGGCTAGACTGATGGGAGCCCCCCATCTCTGGGTCACACAGAAACTCTGCAGGAACAGAATAGCGCTGATTTGGGGGCGTCAGACCTAGTAGGTGATTTACAAGTCGCTGCCCAAAGGTGAGCTTGTGGCCATCTCCACTTACTGAATTTCCATCTGAACTCTAAATAATAAACAATAATATTAATTTTTAAAGAATTTATTTCCAAGAACAGAATTATTATGTGGTATAATAGTTAAAAAATGCTTAAAATAATTTCTAAAAATCAATACCAGATTGAAAGCAGAGTAGTTTAGGACAACTAAATAATTTACTACTATAGGTTGTATAGTATAGACGGAAATGCGTATTTTTAAAATGTATACTTTCATTTTGTGTGTGCACTTTGCTTTTTTTGAGATTCTTATTAAAAATCTTCATTACAATATAATTCACATTCCATTTAAAATTCACCTATTTAAAATGTACGATTCAATGGGTTTTAGCATATTTACAAAATTGTGTGATCATTATCACTCTCTTGGCTGGGAACATTTTCATCACCAAAAAACCCCACAATGTCTATGAGCATCTCTTCACACGAGGCAGCCAGAGAGCCTAGACACCCACCCATCTCCTGGCTGTCTCTAGAGACTTGCCTGCACTTCACTTTACAGTCATTACACTCCTGCAGGTGAGGCACAGCTGGATGACAAGTCATCATGAAACACAGAACTCAAAGGGCAACATTATGAAATGGAGACACAGGGCACCACCACTCCCTTCTCTTCCTCCATAAATAGCAACGATGATATAAATAACATTGCGCTAATTATATCCCTGTGTCATGTAAGAGCCACTCCTGCAATTCCCAACAAGGACTTTACTTACAGAGTGGATAGTGGGAGACATGGTATCGACTTCATCCTCATCAGACAGGTCAGCTATGTTCATTGAATTCAGGTCAGCAATGTCATCGATGTCCTCCTCACCAGTCAGTGTTGTGAGGGTGTTGCCCAGGGCATTGAGCCTCTTGCCGATGTTAGGGTCCATGTGGACATCGATCCCACACATTTTCCATAGCACGTTGAGCGTCCAGGTCCCAGCACTACTGCTCTCTGTTCAGGTAAAGAAGGGACATTTATGGAAATACTGACTACAGGAATTTAAATAATCCTACGTGTAAGTAATAAAGTACATGCTGGCCACATATTGTAACTAGTATTTTTCACCTAAATCTGTCATAAAAATTAGGCTATTTATGCATAATTTCCATTACCTGTACAGTACTAAGTGGACACCTACTGTCTCTTCCTTGATCCTGAAAAGTACAGATGTCCTCTTCTACCCCTAAACTGCCCTTCCATGGTGATATCAGGGACTGTCATGACCCTACTTCATTAGACAGAATTAACAGGTAATTAGTTTAGGTAAATGTCAAAGCTGGAAAAAGAAAAATCTTTTCTGAGCTTGAGCTCTCTGATGACTGAGAGTGGAGAATGGAGGTTATCAGTTAAAAAAAAAAATGATAAAAAAGAAATGAGGCAGACAGAGAGCAAGAGCCAGAGCAAGCTATATGACAGCTGGATCTAAGTCCCAGCAGTTTCTGAGGGTCTCTGAATTGACCGCATTAATTTTCTTCCCTGAGATGGCAATTCCTAAACCTAATTCTAATCTGCAAATATCCTTTTGATAAGCTCCCCTCTTGGTTCAGCTAGCTCGAGTGGGCTGTGGTCATTTGTGGCTACGAGTCCTGACAAATGTGTGTGCGCGCGCATGTGTGAGCTTCTGTGATCACCCTTTCCTCCTGAGAGTGCTACTGGCAGGTTCCTAACTTCCAGTTCTGAAGTCACTTACTCAGGATCAGCACTGAGGCTAAGGCTGGGGAGGACAACAGGACATAGCACCCAGAGAAGGCAAAGCTACTAACCCATCAGTTTCCACCTCTTCAACATTTTAAGGGCCCTTAAATAAACATCTACCTTTAAGTTCACCCTGCCCAACTTTATGAAAAGAGAAATAAAAACATACACACTTTTACATGACATATGTAGCAAAAGTAATACTGATTATGAACCTACCAGCTGCTGCTTGTCCTGTGGTCCTTGAGCATACTTCATAGGTACCATCTGGAACTACACCTACAAAAAGACCCCAAAATAGTTTTCAGTAAAAATAAGCCTGTGATTAAACAGCATATCCAATGACCAAATACAAACAAGGGTGTGAGCCCTGTGGGTTCAGTCCCTCATTTGTGGGATGGAAGGCTCCTGAAATGACACAGCAGACCTATTCCACAACCGACCTGCAGCTGCACATGATTTCCTCCTCAGAGTCACAACATGTGGTGGGCTCTGAGAGTCTAGATGGCTTTCCACCAACATCCAGGATGCCAGGACAATCTGTGCCAGCATAAATCAATGGTACCTTCAGAATGCAAACAATTTAAACGTGACTTTTTAACAGCAGAACTCTGTATTAGGTCAAAGACATGATCCATCAGTTTGTCTTCTTTTTATGAGAGAAAATGACTGCCATGATGTCAATCTCAAGGTCATGGAGCTACTCTTAGAAGATAACTGATTCCAACTAGGAAACATTTAATATCACCTATCTGTTAACCTAAAAGAGAGGTTGGATAGATTCAACAGTTTTCAACCATAAAGGACATATCATGCTTGAAAAATTTTTTAACACAGTAAACTCTAAAGATAGAATTAAGGCTTTTCTTAGTAATCCGTATTAGAAACTGAATGTCAATCTAAACTTCATAGTACATAGTCTAAAATGAAATGTCCTCTTATAACTCCTTTTGGATCCTAAATTGGAATTCAAGTGTTTACTTGCCATTTGTTTTCTAGGAACTTTGGTATTGAATTTGACATTCCTTAAATTTTTTCAAAATAGAAAAATCTTAACTTAGACATGCTACAATTCAGTTAGTAAGAAAGGGTCTACTTATTATTAAATGACAATTTATATTATGTCTTTAAAAATATTACTAATAACTTTACAATCTATATTTTTGAACCATATACTACCTGTGTCTCGCACACAAATTCTACATTAAGAAAATCCTAGATTTGGCTTTCAGGTAAAGATTTGCTTAATTTACTTCTATATTCTACAGGTACAAATCAGAATTTACATTAACCTTTCAAATCCAAGAATGCTAGAATGAAAACAAAACCCTTTGAAATGTTAACAACATAACTGAGGCCACATGAAATTAAGAACAGGTAAATAAAAAGGACATAGAAAACTTTAGGAAGTCCTATCCCAAGAAGTGGCAGATTATTTTTTAAAAATTATATAAATTCACAGGACACAGAGCCATGGTGAACTTATTAATAAGGAGTTTTAATTAAACAGGAGTTTTGGGGAACAAAATCCTGAAGAGGAGGGCTAGAAAATGTGAGGCTCCTCCCCTTCATGCTCAGGTTCTCTGTGCCAGAGACACAAAGCTAACAAGGGCCAGTGACTGCAGTGCCTGGGATGGCAATTCCTGGTGGAATTGCCCAACCTGGCCCACATACATGGTAATGAGATGGGTCTAATCTAACTATTTACATGGTCCTTGGAACTCTTCTTACAAATTGTCCTTATTTTTGTTGATTTCTCCCCCCAAAATCACCTAGAAAGCAAATTTCACTGGATCACTTTTTTTTTGCTAAAGTATGTTTTTAAAACAACCTGTGTAAAAAGCAAAAATTCTAAGGCATAATGTGATCACTACTTATTTCTCTGTCCTATATTCATCTTTCTTCAAAAATTTTAAATGAAAGTTATATCCAAATATACTTACTATCAATAAAAGCTAGACACTAGTCAACTAACTTATCCAATATCATTTATAATTTTTATATGTCAATAACACAACTATCCCCTTTAACATCCTCCCAAGAAACCTGATCAACAGCGGGTTAAAAAAGACTCTGAAACCGAGTCTATGATACTACTACAATGCCTAGGATGTTAGTGTTCTGTAGTGTTGGCAAAAAGTATACGGAGGCCCTGAATATTATTTATTAATTTCTAAAATACGTGTTTTAATTCTGAGTCTAAGGAATATTAAAAAAATTCTTTTAGTTGTAGATGGACATAACAGCTTTATTTTACTTATTTTTATGTGATGCTAAAGATGGAACCTAAATGTCTCACATGTACAAGGCAAGCATGCTACCACTGAGCTACAACCACACCCCTGAGAAATACTTTTTATTTCATATTTCTTAAGCACTTTAAGAAAAACCATTTTTAAATATTTTTTTAGTTGTAGATCAACACAATATCTTTATTTTATTTATTTATTTTTATGTGGTGCTAAGGATCAAACCCAATGCCTCAAACATGCCAGACAAGTGCGCTACCACTGAGCCCACAGCTCAGCCCTAAGACAAACTATTAAGGAAATGGTACCTTTACTTTTCTCCCAAATACACTCTATTAATTTTAATTAATTCAAGGATGGTAAAGATAATACCTTAATAAAAATTGACAGGTTTAATTTTTGCCTTTAATAAGAACCGCCCCCCCCCAAAACAAAAGACATAAATATGCTATAATGATTCTTAAAACCACAACTATTATATAAAATGATATTCTGTAAAGATTTCTAATGAAGGCTATTTTTGGTCTTTTTAATAACAGGCATGAGTATTTGGTATCAAGTCTTAGAAACCTGAAGTATTTCAAAAAAATTCCATGGTTAACCTATGAATTATTTAAATGCAAAATACTTAAAGTGATTCAGGACATACTACCCCAAAATATGATAGCGGTGTACACTGACTACTCAAAGCTGAAGGGATCTGAGCACCTGGCAATGCAGAAGTGCTCAGCTTTTCCTCTAAAGCAGGTCAGCAGTCACGGGGAGGTCCTTCCCTATCCCTGCAGGAAGGCCCTTATCTCTGGAGGCAAAGGTAGGGACACAGAGAGGACTGTGCACACAGGGGCCCTGCTGAGCTCTCTGTCTACCAAACCGAGCTCATCCAATCTACCACAAGAACACTCAGGGTGAGCCATTTCTTTGGGTCTTCATTTCCTTATAAAGGCTCCCATGTTGCATAGAACTTACATTAATACATTTGTATGCTTTCTGTCATTGGTCTGTCTTTTGTTATAGGGGCTCAGCAGAAAACCTAAATGGGTAGAAGGAAAGATAACTTTCTTTCCCTACACATCAAAACCAAGAATTTCACCTGTGATTTTATCTAAGTCTGAGTCAATATTGAATGCAGAACTGCAATTATCAGCATAAAAATGAGAAGTTTCCCCATTCCTCAAAAAAAAAAAAAAAAAAAAAATACAGATCTGGAAAGATTTTCCTCCAGTTAAAGATGTGGGAGTCCACAGCATAAATGATGATGGCATATCACCTAAAAAGTAAGTACTGCCTGACTTACAAGATTGGCTGGGGATTTTATTCACAGTCCTCTAATTTCTCCAGTGTATTTTTTTTTCATTATTAAGACTAATGATGCTATACTAACTCTGCTGCAATATAATTTGAAATATTAAAATAGACAACAAATAAATGATATAACTCCAAACTAGCCTATAACACAGCACTAGTTATATACAAACTGGAAAATGATGGAATTGGAGAAATTCATACATCACACTATATTCCTAAAAATTTGGATGTACAGATTTATTCGCATCACTATGAATCAAGGTCTCCTAGTCTTGGAAATGTACAACCTGCTCTGTGTTTTATGAGCTGGGTCTCACAAAGCTATTACTATCTTTCAAAATTCCGAAGGAACAAAGAGGCTTTATTTGGCTGCATTCATGAATGGACACCAGAAGACTCAAATGTCATACCACAAAAGGAATGCTACGTTGGTTTATTTACCCAACTACTTTTCACAAATATGTTTTGTCACCTTTCACTAGAAATAGTCCTTATTTCACAAAGTCAAAAACCATTCCTATACTTAGACATTTCTTTATTTAAAAAAAAAATAAGGACTCTGCTTTATTTTTTAAAACTCTAAACCTTACATAGAATATGAAAGACACTCACAGGCATTCATTACCAGATCCCCACGGATTTCTGGTTTCCAGTCATCCCACGATGTCTCAAAGCCATCAGCAAAACGAAGGCAGAAGTTTTTGAAATGCCCTTTGCTAACCAAGGACTCTGAAGAGCAAGCAGTGATGAGAGTGCTTTCGATGGTCAATACTAAGGCCGAACCAGTGTCCAGGTCCCCAGTGTGATTAGACTGCGAAAGACATTCAAGAAAAAGTAAAACAAAGGTGATGATTTTTAAATTCAGAAATCCTCAGATCTTTAGGCCCCGACTTCCTTAACAAGACTCCTAAAGCACAAGAAATAAAATCCAGAATTAATAAATGGGATGGGCTCAAACTAAAAAGCTGCTTCTCAGCAAAAGAAACAATCAATGAGGTAAATAGAGAGCCTACACTTTGGGAGCAAATTTTTTCCACATGCACGTCAGATACAGCACTAATTTCCAGGATATAAAAAGAAGTAAAACAATCAATCAAACAAACAAACAAAAAAAAACCCAGTCCATAAATGGGCTAACAAACTGATATTGTATATCTCAGAAGAAGATATACAATCGATCAACAAATATATGACAAAATGTTCAACATCTCTAGCAATTATAGAAATGCAAATCAAAACTAAGATTTCATCTCACGCCACCAGAATGGCAGCTAATAAGAACACAAACAACAATAAGTGTTGGTGAGGATGTCGGGGGGAAAAGATACACTCATACAGTGCTGGCAGGACTGCAAATTGGTGCAGCCAATATGGAAAGCAGTATGGAGACTGCTTAGAAAACTTGGAATGGAACCACCATTTGACCCAGCTATCCCATTCCTTGGTCTACACCCAAAGGACTTAAAATCAGCATGCCATAGTTAATGCAGCCACATCGATGTTTATAGCAGCTCAATTCTCAATAGCTAAACTGTGGAAACAACCTAGATGCCCTTCAGTAGATGAATGCACGTATATACACAATGGAATATTACTTGGCTTTAAAAGAAAACAAAAATTATAGCATTTGCAGGTAAATGGATGGAGCTAGAGAATATCATGCTAAGTGAAGTGAGCCAATCCCAAAAAAACCAAAGGCTGAATGTTCTCTCTGATAAGTAGATGATGATCCCTGATGGGGAGGGGGAATGGAGAAACTAATTAGGCAAAGGGGGGCTAAGGGAGGGGAGGGTGCATGGGGGCAGGAAAAATGGTGGAATGAGATGGACATCACTACCCTAGGTACATGTATGACTGCACATATGGTGCGACGTTACATGGTGTACAACCAGAGAAGTGAAAAGTTATGCTGCAATTGTGTACGATGAATCAAAATGCATTCTGCTATCACATATATGCTTAATTTAATTGATTAATTAATAACTTTTAAAAAAAGTAAACCCCTAGGGGGAAATACCTGAAAGCCTTAAAAGAAAAAAAAACGCACAGAGAGCTCAGTTAATTGCCCAAGTCCTACCCACTTTAATTGACAAAATCTACTTCCCACCTATGATGTCCTTTGCATTGAAATCAGTCACTTTTCACTCCTTTGTATATCTAGAAAAGAGCTCACTGCAATGTGCTCTGATTTTCAGTACATGAATTGTTTGATTCACTTAAAATGTAATGTTATTGCATGAAATTAACTTATTATAAATTTAATTGCACATATATTGTCTGTGTTACACATAAACAGATACATAAAATAGAATTATTAAATGTGTTCAATAATATTATGCTACTTAATACTCAGTAAAACTTATTTTTAAAATGAAAAAAAAATAATATAGATGAAAATCTAGAAAGGGTCAAGTCTAGAAATACTTATTATAAAGCATCCTATAAAGATACTTCCAAAAATTAAATTGTTACTGCCAGGTATAGTGGCCTATGCCAAAGATCCCAGTGACCCAGAAGGCTGAGAAGGGAGAATTGCAAGTTTGAGGCCAGACTCAGAAACTCAGACCCTCAGCAGCTTATTGAGAACATAGAAAAATAAAAGAGGTGGGGATTTAGCAAAGTGGTAAAATGCCCACCCCCTAGTTCAATTCCCAGTCAATAAAAGAGAATAAAATTATGGCATTTGCAGGTAAATGGATGCAGCTGGAGAAGATAATGCTAAGTGAAGTTAGCCAATCCCAAAAAACCAAATGCCAAATGTTTTCTCTGATATAAAGAGGCTGACTCATAGTGGGGTAGGGAGAGGGAGAATGGGAGGAATAGATGAACTCTAGATAGGGCAGAGAAGTGGGAGGGGAAGGGAGGGGGCAGGGGGTTAGCAATGATGGAGGAATGTGATGGACATCATTATCCAAAGTACATGTATGAAGACATGAATTGGTGTCAACATACTTTATATACAAACAGAGAGATGAAAACTTGTGCTCTATATGTATAATAAGAACTGTAATGCATTCTGCTGTGATATATAAATTTTTAAAAACTAATTAAAAAATAAATTAAATAAATAAATAATTGATGGATGGAAATGCATCTGCCATGTTCGTTTTTTCTTTTAATTTGCAAAGTTCTAATGATCTGTTTTTATATACGTGGCTGCTCTTTTATTTGTTGGGAGCACTCTTTTACACCCACTCCTGGTGTGTATAGCCTGAGCTCTTCTGTCCCTCATGCCATTAAAAAAACTACCGTATTTCATAAGTCAGACCCGGAAAGTCCAGGGTTCAATGTTTTCTCTCAAAGATGGGTAACCCCTTTCTTTCTTTGAAAAATAAGAAAAAGCAAGGGGTGGGGACCCAGTGAAAACAGAGGAACAATCAGAGGAGTAGAGGAGGGGACTGAGCAAGAGGGAGGAGGGACAGGAAAAGGGAGGAATGCTGGCATGAAACTGACCAAGCTATCCTATGCACACACATGAACACACCACAGCGAACTTCACCTTTACGGATGTCTATAATGCACTAATTAAAAAAAAATAAACTATAAATAAATGGGAGAAAGATCAGTAGCAGAGGAAGGGGAACAGGGGAGGAAGGAGGAAAGGAAAAGGGGAAGCACTGGGGACTGAATTAGAGCACATTATATTCCATGCTTGTTATGTTAAAATGAACCTCAATATTATGTATAACTATTATGCACTAATTAAAACCACTTAAAAAGTGATTACATTTCAGTTCCTAAACACAACATGTCAATGTTACCCATCTTTAGTCCAAAGTTTTTCTTAACACTATTGGCCAAACAGAATTCTAAAAGATACATTCATCCAACACTGGTCATAGGTTATTTAAAGTAAATTAAATTATCATAGTAAATATAGATTTGATGGTTATAACTGTGACTTCCTGCCTGACATGTGCTCAGAGCCTTTCCCCATTCATACACATGAATGTATTTCTGAGACTTGGTCCTAAAATTACAAAAAGAATATCCCTGCTTTATCCATGTATACATATAACTTGGAAGTTTCATTACCATTAAACCTTACACAGTTTAGAAGCATTTTGGAATTTTCTGCTCTATTATGGGTATGTACATGTGAATACACAAAGTATATTCACACCAATTCATGTCTTCATTCATATACTTTGGATAATAATATTCATCACATTAAATAATATTTTTAAATTTCCTTTGTTTCCATTTTATAAACAAGTCTAGAAAATTTCTTTGCTAAAAACAACAACAAAAAAGATTCTAAAAACTATTTATAAAAGTAAGGATTTAGAATTATTAGATGGGTGTCAATTAATCACTATTCTGAAGCATATCAGAGTGCTTCAGGGAAGTCCTTTGCAATTCAGAGTATAAATGAATAAAGGCTGAAGGAGTTCAGACTTACGAGTTCAGACTTACTTGATGACCATTAACTCAAGCTGCAGACTGTTCTCCATTAAAAAGATACTGCTTTACTCAGTACTCTTAGAAATGGTTAGTTGAAATGCCTGGATTTTAGTCCTGAATAAAAGGAAGATGACCTGACTCCTTGTACCTGAGCAGTGTTGGTGATAGGCAGGCAAATTCCCAGGTCATTCACAGTCAGCTGGAGAAAGAGAGTGCCAAAGGCCTGGGCTGATGTTTGCTGAATACCAGGCAGCATGTCTACCACTTCCTTTGTGGCCATGTGAATGTCCTTGTGCAAGGCCATTCGCTGTTCATTCCAGTTGTCATAGGCAGCCTTATAATTCAGCCAAAACAGCACAGCTTTCAAGAATTAAGGGAAAGCAGAAAGAAAAGTTAGATCAGTGCTGGTAAAGGTTTACTATGGTAAGTAAACCTCAACAGTTGCACAATCCTACTGAATAATAAAAATCATTCCCAGAAAACTATAGCTTTAAAATTAGAAAGAACCTAAGAGGATACGTCAACAATTTTTAACGTATCCAATGAAAAAACGAAGCAGAAAGCAAGCAGCTGTATAATGGCAGTAGAAAGAAGAAAATCCAGGTCCATTCATTTGCTCTAGATTTGTATACTGCCCCTTACATGCCAGGCCCTGGGTGGAATAACAGGTAGAAATAGACATGGTCCTTGAACTCATCTATAGGGCTTACTGTTACTACTTTTAAACACTCACTAAAAACAGAGGTACATAATGCTGGGAATACACATTAAAATAATTTAATTTAGAGAGAGAGGTCAAAGACAGTTTAAGTTTGTTAACAAGAGATCTTAAGAAAATTCTTCATTTCATGGCACCATACAGAAGGAGAAGTCTAAAAAGATAATAAAAATGGAGGGGCCAGAGAAGCAGGAGGAAAAGGAAGAACTGTGCCACAGACACCAAGCACAGAAAGGACTTTGAGTTGTTGGTGAAAGCTGACGAAAGCCTGGTGAAATGTGACATGAAAAACATGCATAGAATTTACCAAAACAGAATGTCATCCTAACACTGTCAAAAGGGCAATTCCCTAACAAACATCTCATCACCAGTCTAAGAAGGCTACTACTGAATGAAATCTTACTTGGCTTCACAAATGGCTCATTTGTAAACAGATTAAACATACTTGCTAAATCCACACTAGTGAGACTCTACCTGTTCAGCCTTCTTTCCCATTATTTTTGTTTAAGAAAATCAATGCACTATTTTCCTAGACCCCAGTGCTCAAATACATTCATTCATATTCTCTTCTGGCAAATGTACACTCGTTCTTACAATATGCCAGGAACCCTGCTAAGCCTTGAGACACAAAGGCACTTAAGAGCAGCTCTCCTCTCCTTGTTGGCCTGGAACAGCACAGCTTTCAAGAATTAAGGGGAGGCAGAAAGAAAAGTTAGATCAGTGCTGGTAAAGGTTTACTATGGTAAGTAAACCTCAACAGTTGCACAATCCTACTGAATAATAAAAATCACTCCCAGAAAACTATAGCTTTAAAATTAGTGAAGAACCTGTTTTTTCTCTAAGCACCACAGGAAGACTCCCTCACACCTTAGAACATGCCATCTCTAACTCCAACTGTGTCCACTTTGGTCTCGACTTTCCACTGAACTAGGTTTCTTGAGGGCAGGAATCCTATTGTCTAAATGTAGATAGAATAAATGAGTAAATACAGTGCCAAAACATGTGAGTGTATTATTTACTTATACTAAAAATTTCAGTATTAAATTTCAGAAATCAGACACTTCTATTTATCCATATAGAAAGCAAAAAAACTTTAAAATGTAAAATAAATTAAAAACTGAAGCATAAAGGCAAGAAGTTATTTTTGGATGTTCACCTTTCAGAATTAGGAGACATTTAGCTTTTGAGCATTCACATTGGTAAATCACAAATGATTTTTTAAAATTTGTTTTTAGTTGTAGATGGACATAATACCTTTATTTGATTATATATAACTTGGAAGTTTCATTACCATTAAACATTACACAGTTTAGAAGTATTTTGCAATTTTCTGCTCTATTATGGGTATGTATATGTGAATACACAAAGTATATTCACACCAATTCATGTCTTCATTCATATACTTTGGATAACAATGTTCATCACATTAAATAATATTTTTAAATGTCCTTTGTTTCCATTTTATAAACAAGTCTAGAAAATTTCTTTGCTAAAAAAAGGATTCTAAAAACTATAAAAGTAAAAATTTAGAATTATTAGATGGGTGTCAATATATCACTATTCTAAAGCATATCAGAGTGCTTCAGGGAAGTCCTTTGCAATTCAGAGTATAAATGAATAAAGGCTAAAGGAGTTTTTTAAGATGCTGATGGACCTTTATTTTATTTGTTTATTTATACATGGTGTTCAGAATTGAACCCACTGCCTCACACATGCTAGGCGAGCGCTCTACCACTGAGCCACACCCCTAGCTCACACAGATCATTTTTATTGAGCATCATCAAAACATTTCTATGATAGCAATCACTAACTCAATCTCACCTCTATCAAAGGCCACAGGTTGGGCATAAACAATTGGTCTGTTCAAAGTAATGAGCACGGCTTCTCTATCTGAAGAACCACTGATTTCTTCTCGAAGGGCATTCCTTAATCCAATTCTAGTTTTAAAATAGGCAACTTGATGAAAATCAGAACCAGCTTCCTCATAAACCTAAAACAAATTTAAAGCTCAATAAAATCAAATAATTAAAAATGTTTTAATAAAACTAAACATAATTATTGATATTGAGCACCAAAAGAACTTATAGTACATTTTTCTCAATTTCATCAATGATACAGTCCTTATATTTGGTATATTTGAATGCTTGTGAAATTAATACACAGCATGAATAGCCATACTGGAGGTAATTAGGCTGGGGGTATGGCTCAGTGGTAGAGCACTTGACCAGCATGCATAAGGCCCTGGGTTAACACTGCAAGGAAAAAGCAAAAGCAAATACAAAGTCATGAAGTTCATACAAAAGCTAGGATGAGGTTCATACTCCAAATAGCATTTATTAAATGTCTCAAAATAATCAGACACTCTTGCTCCCAAAACATATTTGCATTTGAAAAAATGTTTTTCTAGAAACAAAATGTTTCTGTTCATTTTTTCTCCACATAATCTTGAATGTAGCCATTCAATTTTCAAACTGTGGTTGGCATTTTTTAATTGGTCCTTCAAATCAAAGAGGTGGAAAATGGTTAAAATGGACATAATTTTCAGCAAAAAAAAAAAAAAACAAATCTAAAAATATCTCCAATAAGCATCAAAACAATTTTCATCAAATAAAAAATCTGAGTAACTGATCTTTTTAAAATAATTTTCCTATCCAACATTACTATATGTAAAAATATTCTCAGGGTAAACTATAAACTTGCAAACACTGAGGTATTGACTAATTTTATAACAAACATTGAAATAACAAATGTTTAACAAACTAAAAAAGAGAGAAATATGTATGAAGATACTAAGATTCAATTTCATGTGACTACACTTGCAGCAATATACTTTCCACAATACTTGATGAAACACCACAGAAAAAATGTAGGCCTTTAAAACAAGTTAAAAAAGAAGAAAGCCTTCATTCGAATTTATAATCAGAAATTGTAGAGAATTATCTAAATATCTTTATAAATACAGTCATACATAAGTTAAAGTAGTCCCAACTGATATGCAAAACTCAAAGGCCACAGTACTAATACCAATAATATGTACGCACCTGATGTTTGACAATTTGTCCTAATGCCAGATTTAAATCCACTTGACATTTACCAAACAATTTCAGATAGCTACTACTTCCCGGTGAAGCTTTAGTTTGAAGTCGGTTAGATAGCTCCAGTTCAATCAGTCCAGTTTCGAATCTCACAGCTCTCATTGATGGAGTTGTGGCTGTTACTTGGATACCCTAGCAGATTATATGTTATGGGGCAGGGGGAAAAGAATCTTAAATCAATAATGTAGTAGACTCACTCAAATGCAGTCTTTCAGTATCTGATAGATAAAACAGTGGTGTTCTAAAAATATGTACAGGATCTGTCCAAGGAGCTGATAAGCCAGCAACATCCTTTTATTTTTTGGTAACAGGGATTAAACTCAGAGGCATTTGACAACTGAGCCATCCCCAGCCCTATTTTGTACTTTATTTAGAGACAGAGTCTCACTGAGTTGCTTAGTGTCTCACCATTGCTGAGGATGGCTGTTAACTCAAGATCTTCTTGTCCCCACCTCCAGGAACATTCCTTAATTTCTCATGTCAGTAAGATTTTTTGAGTCATTAAATTTCATTATAGTATTTTCTATTTAAAATTTAGAGAGTTCATTAATATACTAAAATTAAATAACTATTTGGTAAGAATAATTTTTAAGAATACTAATATTTTAACTGTTGGAAATATTAAGGTTTCAATTAAAGTCTTTTTTTCTCCCCTATGTAGGGGACTGAACCCTAGACCTCATGCATGGTCGGAATGCACTCTATCCCTACAGAATTGTAGGGATCTATCTCCTATCTATCTATCTATCTATCTCTATCTATCTATCTATTCTCCAAGACTATCTCTTGGAGAATAAATTACAACTACATTAATTAGAAAAATCAAATGTTGATCAGAAGAGGGTAGTTAAGTTTGTTACAACTGTAGAACATATAATACAGCTGTTCAGGAAGATAAAGTTGATCTAAAAATTCTATTATGGATAGATACCCAAAGTTTTTTAAAATAGATAAATATGTACATATATAAAAATACTAATAGAGGGACTGAGGCTGGAGCGCAGTGGTAGAATGTTTGCTTAGCATGTGTGAGGCCCTGAGTTGAATCCCTAGCACTGGAAAAAACAAAACAAAAAAAAGCAGGAAAAAGTCCTAGAGAATATTCAAACAATCATTAAACCATTTTTCTGAGTTAATAATAATAATAATAATAATAATAATAATAATAATATGGTTTATTTTATTTTCAATTTGGTAATTTATGTATTAAATAATTTTTTGTGAAAAGCATATATTAAGTAATACAGCACTTCTAAAAGTACCATTATAATTTAAATTTACCTTAAACTGCAAGTTCAGAGAATAGAGGAGAATTTTAGGCTTATCTCCATCTGCTGCTCCATCGTGTTCGTTCCAGAGAGGAATAGGCTGCTCCCCACCTAAGAGAGATTAAGAAACTAAAGGTTTGGGTTACTTTTATCTACAAGGAAAAAATACATCTGTATCTTGGGAGAATGTGTAGACAGGACTCATCCCTGCAAGCCTCTTCTTTCCTTGAAATATTTCACTAAATTTACAGCACCCTGGTACCTTGTCTTCTACTTGTAATCAGGTACTCCCTCCACCTCCGACTTGGGCTTTATCCAGCCAGCTACTGACCACTCCTCCCCTTCTCCTCTCCACCTTCCTCCAAAGCCAACAGAGCTCCTGCTGTCCCAGGCTGGGCTTACCATGTCTCACTCCCTCATTTCATTCAAATGTGCCTCTTTCTATTGCCACATCATTCGGAAATCTTGCACTCCCTCATCTCAGCGGATGGTGTTTACTTTCCATTGCTTTTCTCTAAACACTAAATCCTGAGGCTCAGCTTTCTACTGAATTCTAAATGACAGCCCACCCTGGTCACTGTTCCCTGAACTCCCTTTTCTATAACGATTTTGGCAATTCACTCCTATCTGCTCTTAGTCATTTCCTGCCTTCTCAACTAAGCACATACCTCCATCAACCCTGCCACCTAGACAGAGTGAGTTGATCTGAGTGCTTATCATGTGCCAAGTGCTCTTCATAGTCCCTTGTTGCATATCAGCTCATTCAAAGCCTCCTTGATGCATCCGTTCTCATGTGACATGTGTCAAAAAAACTCACACTTCTGTTATATAGTTTTTTTCTTGACTTCTACCTGTTACCTCATCAACTGGACTAAGTTCCTCAGTGCAGGGACCATCTATCTTCATATTCCTGCAAGCAGTAACTGAATGGGCCCTCAGTCTTTTTCCTCAACGCAGTTAGACACCAGTGCTGCTTGTTGATCCAACTCTCCACTTTCTGTCTTTTCTCCAACACTCCTCACAACTAGTGGCATGTCTTCACAATTTTCTTCATACTCCCACAATTCTTTTCTTAAGCCAGCAAATAAATATATCATTCTCTCCCAGTTTCTTGCAATTTTTCCTCACGGTCTCATTTTCTTTTGAAATGTACTCAACTATCAAAAGTAAAACATACTCAAACCTCAGTTCAAATCATTCCTACACCATTAGGGCCTCAGTGATAAGCCCTCTTCCATGAAGTGTTCTTTCCCCTTCATACCTTTAACACTTTCTCTCTCGTTCATTCACACTTTGTATTAGCACATGTAAAAACATCTAATCTTCCCAACAAGATACAAGTTCCCTAAAGCCTGCTAAATGTATTATCCACATTTGTAACTTCCTCATCATCTTGCTTGGGGCCATAAGTTTTTCAAGCTTTGAGTAAGTAACTACTGAGTTAGTTAATTGTCTCTCTTAGATGTAATTTGTCAAGATAATTTGGGCTGGGGGTGTAGCTCAGTTGGTAGAGTGCTTGCCTCACATGCACAAGGCCCTGTGTTCTATCTCCAGCAGCAGCAGCACCACCACACACACACACACACACACACACACACACACACACAAAAGATAATTTATACAGGGTCAAAATTTCCACTTGGAATTATATAATGAATTAAGTCATGAGAGAAAAATAGTAAACAGAATAATAACTAAATTTTATAAACAGAATAATAACTAAATTTTGAGGATTTTTGAGAACATTGCTATTAAACACTGTTCAACAAAAAGGTGATACCAGCCAGGAAAGTTCTCAGCTTCTCCTGTGGCTCTGCAGACAGGGCCTGCTCAGGTGATATAATCATGAGGTTCAGCAAACACACAACATTCGATCAAGCACCACAGGCGCTTACTTTGAAAACTGGCTGTTTTTTGTTTGCTCAATGAAATAAAAAATAACTGGTATTTTCCCTATGTAAGTAGTAAGAATAAAATTCCCAAAAAATCTGCTTTTACAATTAATTGATGGATCTATCTAATTTTGCTCTTGTTCTGCCTGTTAGTTGCAGAGCAGGCTGAACAAATGTTAGCTTCAGGGTGGGCTGAACACTCGACCCCCATCCGTCTGGTTCCTTATCACGTGTTTGACCCAAGGTTGAACACTCAACCCCACTCAAGGCTGGACACTCAACCCCCACCTGTCTGGTGCAATGGAGACCCATATCTGACCCCTGCCCCATCTGCCTAAGGGCAGAAGATGACACTTTTAGCAACCACTGTATGATCCAATCACTGCTCACCAATAAGGCAGCTTGCAGACCCAGAGACCCCATTAGATTTTGGCTATAAAAACTCTCTCCTGCCAGAACTCTCTCTCTTTCTTTTCTCACTTTCTCTCTCTTGCGCTTTGCTCGACACCTCTCCCTCTCTCCTTCTCTCTCTCTCTTTTTCCTGGCTCTCTCTCTCGCTTTCTCTTTCTCTTCCCTGTTGATCAGACACCACCACAATAAAGATCTCTTGGTTGCTCCAAGGATCATGGTCACTTTCCTTTCACTGCCAATCAAGTTTTATTTCAAACCTGCGTCTATACTAGAGGATACTAGATCATCTTACCAGAAACTTTCTGTATTACTTCATTGACTTCCTTCATGAATACCTTCTGTACAAACACCAAGTGGTTCAGAAGATCAGTTGTGAGATTATGTTCAAAGGAACCAACCTGCCAAACAGAACCAGGGTATCAGATTAACAATAGACTAACAATACCATCTTAGTCTACACCTTTTCTTAAAACATCATCCAAAACTTACAAGAGATGATTAAATACATACTATTTGAGATCAATATATTGAAGAAAGATTTAAAATATTCAGAGTCTCTAATACTTTATTGGCCTAACACTGATATGGGCCATTCCCAAAATGTTATTTTTTTAAAACCAGTAATTAAGGTGCGAGAAATATTTTGAAAACAAAAAATATTCTAACTATATACCTTTTTCAAAATTAAAATTTTGCCTAGAGGAAGATTTTTAATGATTCATCTTTGTGATCTTAGAACCACAGACAAGCATCATTGTAAATAAATTTATTTATTCATACAGTGATGTATTGACTGTCTATTCCGTGTACCACATTAAATTCTAAGGATACAATAATGAAAATTCTGCGTCTCAGGATTATGCTTGAGTGAATTAGCAAACTGGAGATGCCAGAATTAAGTTGTGCCCTATAATTACTACAAGGCATTTAACTACTGGCAGGAATTAGCTAATTAACAGATTAAATAGAAAGCAGCAAATAATTGAAGTTGAGTATTATAGAAAAGAGTTTTAAACATCTTTATGATTAAGAAAAATGTTTCATCATTTGTCACTCTGATAGGCCGAATATTTTGATCAAAAATTAAAAGAGCAAAATAGATTTGGCACTATTTTTTTTGTTTTGTGTTTTTGGTGATGCTGGGGATTGAACCCAGGGCCTTATGCATGAGAGGCAAGCACTATATCAATTGAGCTATATCCCTAGCCCAATAGATTTGGCACTTTTAGGTGAGGAATTACAGAAAGTTTTATTGCTCTGGGCTAAGACAAGTAGAGTCTAAAGACGATACATCAATATTAATACCTATGACTAATATTTCTATCAAAGAATCCAAACAGCTTTCTTATAGAATTTTTAATCAGATGAAAGACACGTCCACGTGCTTCTGAAACTTTTGCTTGTACAGATACAAGCAAAAATGAGGATGATGATGATGTAATCAGAGACGCCATCTTTTATATGAGCTTAGTAAATCTTTTTCTAGGACTCTTTATCACCAACAATCACATATATTCATGTGAATCGTGTAACCTCATTAAGATTCCGTTTCCTAACTTGCAAAATTAGAACAAATATATCTACCTTACAGGGTTGATTTAAGGACTACAAAAGTCAATAGATATAAAATCTCTTGAATAATAGCTGCTAATTTGCCTTCAAGAAGCAAATATGCCATGAAAATAATGCCAAGATTGACATTAAACTCAATGTAAGAAATGTAAAATTCAAAGATGACTAGTATGTTTTAAAAAGCATGTTTCAATTAAACTACAGGGAAAGAGAAAAAAACAAGACATAGACAGACATGCCTCTACCCATAATTTCATGGAGAAGGCTTCTGTGGGAACAAATGATTTCATGCTTAATCTTAAGGTTTGCAACCTTAAAAGTTGGATCAACACATATTTTGGTATATCTAAATCTTGAACTTGCAAATTACAAACAATAATAAAAATTTAAAAGCAAACTTACTTCTGCCACACAACGTAGATAATTTCCCTGTAAGTAGTACCCTTGTTTAGAAGGCAGTTCATCTATACTCCACACCTGATCAGAGTAGCTGTCATGTTCTTCCATTATGTACTTCCCTGACATAGTAACAGGAGGAAGGTTAAGACTGGCAGAAGGAGGAATGGTTGACATATCTGTGGCTGAAACTTTTGAAGTAAAACGCAATCTGTGATTTGGCAGCTCAAATGTAAACCTTGTCTGTGCACCTAAAAGAAATAAGAAAAGTTCTTGTTTGTGCAGGTGCTCACTGGCTCACCAACTCCTCGCCTTTGCAAAAGCGATGTCTAAGAAAAATGTAAGGACCTTTCACAGTCCTTGAAATATATAAAAAGATATCTTAAGTTTGCTCATAAAATACTCCCTTATCTTTAAACATATGTATGGTTTCTACTGGGTCAATCAGCAAGTAGTATTAAGCCATGAGTAGTAAGCCTTCTAGTTGCCCAACATGATATCAGGTGGCAGAGAAACATCTATAAATGTTCTTTATATCAGAGAAGGCCAGAACAGAAAAAAATCTGCCCTTATCACAGAGGAGTTACAATGAGAGAAACTAGTCCAAGTTTAAGGAAAAAAAAAAAAATCCACATTCCCACAATGCTTCTTCATTCACAGACAAGATTAGCAGTCGACAGCGTATCTCCTAATCCCTAGTAAGTGTGGAAAGTAGTGAAAACTATCAAAACCAAACCAGTTAAACTAAACACACTGAGAACATTCATAGAGTTTAAAGTACAAATACATGTATCTTTGACCTTAAGAAATAAGGATATGATATGAATTTTCATTTACTGTTGCCTTACACATTAAATCAACTACGGTTGATAAATAAATATAGAAATGTTACTTCGACCATTACTCAGCCTGCATGTCCCTAACTGCCCTGGAGGTCTATAAGGGCAGCAGAAGCCTACCACAATTGAGACTTGCTACTGCCCATTCAGTGTATGACGTGTTTACATGTGTGCACTCCTGCAGACCAGCACAATCTAAGGGCATGCCTCCAACTGTCCCCACTCAGACATCACCACACAGCCCATGTGACCCACACAGACACCTAGTGCTCTCCCCTGAGCACATCCGCTACATCACAGGCCACATCCACTACAGTCACTACCCACACGACAATGCTTACACGTGGAAAGAGCCATAAGCAGGAAAGCGCTCACTCACCCCCAGCAGCACCTGGGATGGCCCTGACCTCCTCCCGCTCAGCACTGCAGCCAGGCACACTCCTGACTTCTCACCTGCCAGCTGCAGGAGGGGGACCATCCACACCAACCACCTCCCTTGCTCACACAGTTGGATGAAGATGTGGAGCAGCTCAGGCTGCAGCCATGGCCTACCACCACTAGTGCAGGTGCTCTGCTACTGCTTTTGTCCTCCTATTCCATCTCAAAAGAATCTGGACTTCTTACCTGTCTGAATATTTGACAATACATCACTTTGCTCTTAAAATATTTCAATTTTTCTAGTTGTAAACTGCCCTATCTGATTTCTGACTTGCTTCTCGTATTTCATGGTTGATTCAAATAAATGATGAAAACAAGTCTGACTACCAGTTATTAATGGCCTTCAATAATTGAAAGCCTAAGACTTCTGACTCTACCAAATCTGGAAACTCACTTTACAGTACTTCTGTTTCTGAAAATACGAAGGTCTAATTGGTTTTAGGAAAACTCCTCTTAACAACCAAAGCTTGAAATGCTAGGGGTAGGCATGCACACACTTTTCTAAATGCATGTATTCACATATGTATGTATTTGTGCTTTAAAAAATTAATTTATCATGTGAACAGAATACTTAAATTCACCAATTATTCTTCAGAGACACTCAGCACACTAGGGGATGAAGCACATTTTCTTAATCTGATGGAGCAAATCTAGCAAACATACACAGCAAACAGGAACTCACTGGTAAAATGCTGGTTTCCTCAAACAATGGGAATAAGACTAACAAAAAATAAGGCAAGAAAAAGGACATAAAAGACATAAAATGCAGAGAGGAGTAATGAAGCGTATCACCTGCAAACAGGACCTCTGCCTAACAGAAAGCTCTTGGCGTTTTTTTTTTTCCCCTGACTAAAGAATATCATTAATAAAATCCAAGTGCTGTGGTTCAATCTTTTGACATTTTTATATAACATTTATAACACTAAAGTTTCCTTTCTGTCAAGATATTATTACTAATTTCTCAAAACTTCATAAATTTTCAGTGGCTAAATTGAGAATTCAGTGATACCTGTCATCCCATGACTTCTCATTCTTCCCATCTTATACTCTGCTTTCAGAGATGGTAACAGTGCTGCTCCAATGGCTATGCCATCTAACATGGCACTGAATTTAAGAACAATAGGCTTCTTCTCCAAGCCTTCTGGGAGCTGAGGAAATTCATTTGTCTCAACAGGAGTTTGATTAACACTTGTTGGGGTTTTTTCAGAGGGCAGTGGAGTTGCAATATCTTCTTTCATAGGCTGTTGGCTATAAACCAAGAAGAAAACAGTTTTTCAAAACTCAAAATTAACAGCTACTATTTTATTATATGAAATCATTGGAATTCTTAGTTAAAAATAGCCTTGAACAATGATGATCTGGAAAGCAGACAAAAGGCAATAACAACGGTGACTCCTAAAATGCTGTACTTCTGAGGTGACTCCTATCATTAATGCAATACTGGAATTTAAACTCAAGGTTTCTCTGATTCAAATTCTATGACTTACTCCACTGCATTTCTATTACCCATTTACCATTACTAACGCAATTCTGTTAATATTGCTGCCACTAGTATCGCTACCATTCCAATGATAATACCACCAACAATAACAGTAATTATTTGAGTGTCAGATATTGCTCTTAGAATTTTTTGAGTTTTATCTTACAAAATCCTTTGAGCAGGTACTACTACTACCTACACTTTACAAATGAAAAAGCAGAACTAGAAGTGGTAAAGCTAGGATTTGAACCCAATCAGTTTGGATACAGACTTTTCAACTATTATCCCCTACTGACAATACATCATAATACGGAAAAATCACTTTGAGTATTTTAAAACTAAAATACATGAACACATTCTGGATTCCATGTTCCATTCATGGAAGAACTGTATTTAAATTCTCATTACTTGATCAACTTCAGCTGTAACTTATTACTATGTTGAGAATTAAAGATCTAGAGAAAACTGGAAAAAAATCATTGCTCCAGGACACCACCAAAAGACATGCTAATGTCTTCCCTCTTCACAGGATGGAGAATAGAGACATAATGAGACATATTGTCTTCATTTTACATGTTTCTATTAGTTACAACTTTTAGAGACCAAGAATAAAGCTCAGGAATGCATATGCCATAAATAATGGCTACAGGCACAGGGAATGAAGTTAATGTGCAAAGGTCAGATTTGCTGTCTTTTAAATATTTATGCAGCATTAAATGCAGTCTTAAATAATTCATGTGAGGGACAATAATTTCATATATGAAAATACAAAGGACAATTTCATGTAATGGACAGCACAAAACCATGCATGAGACATAAATGACCACTGCAATTTCTTAATTTCAATGAATCTAAAGAAACAAGGATTGGTGGTACCCCTTTGGATGCCCGCAGATCCCTAGGCTCTCTTCAGCTTCATTATGCAACATGGAACATGGGCACCTATATTTCTGACACAGTACTTGATGACACCCAACATGATTCATCCATGATCATGTCTCACTACTCTCTACCTGCCCCACTGTTCACATGATCAATACTTAGAAGTATCTTCATCTTCTCAAACTTCTGTTAACAGGCAAAGAAAATCCTGAGGTATCACACAGAATCATTGAATGGGAACGGTGGGGTCACTCACACTGTAGAAGGCTGTCTGATAAGGTCTGAGATTTGCTTGGAGAGCTGGTGAGAGCTCCGAACCATCATGCTGTGCAAGGTGGCAGGGTGCTGAGGAATGTTGATGCTGATGGCACCTACTTTGAACACAGCTGCATTGTTTGTCTTCAGCCCCCTCTGGGCACTGTAGAGGGCCTGGGACTTGGCAATACTACATTTCACTACAGTTCTACCAACAGAGGAGGAGAACCATTACAATACAGCCAAACAAACAGAAGTTTTGAAGAAGTATTGAGAGCAAGAGGGAAACAAATCATTCAATGAGGCAAGTAAGATTTTTCACGTTAAATTGTACACTGATGAAATGTTTTCCAGAAATATTAAATACATTTATTTCACATTGCATTAAATAGCAAATAACTTCTCTAATAGAAATTTATAGAAAAATGAATATGTGCTCACATGTAAGTAAAAGCATGAACACTGACACATCATTACATACATGTACCCACAAAATTCCACTTGACTTTTGTTCCCATTCAGAACTCCCCTCCTCCAACTTAGAGATTTGTACAACCACTAACAAGAGAAAGATGCTAAAAAGGAAAAAAAAAATACTATGCTTTTTAAAATCTAAACAGAGTCAAAGAAATCACTCTTAACAATCGCTTACTATGTTAAAAAAAAAAGTTGAAGGCAAGCTAGGCACTTTAAAAGCCCTACTGCCTGAACTCATGAAGTAAAAGCAAAATGGGAAAAGCCCCCTGCCTTGTTGGGCACTGTGGGTGTTACAGGTGAGGCTACAGTGGACCTGGTGGATCATGTGAGTTGGACTAGCACTGTCGATGCATCCTTTCATCAGCCTTTCCTGGGCACTTGTGGTGAATTCTCATGCAAGCCTCAGGAATACCCATCAGGCCACATGCTTTTATCATCTCCATGTTAGACCCTGACCACTTCTTTCATGTGTAAAAGTCACACATACACTGTGTGTTATGTGGTCTTGACTAAGTAACAACACTCTTCAAGAATTATAATTATCAATTGATAACTCCCAGTGGAAACCTATAAACTATCTCATTCATTAGTCCAGGTCTCCTTACATCCTTTCCAGGTGCACTCTGACAAGAGCACCCTCTCAGTTTCTGGTTCAGTTTGATTGGTGTAGACCATCATGTTGTTCAGCCCTAAGAAATGCCAATCTGTGTCAATAAAACTTCCTAATTCTTAACTAGGAATAGCAGCCTTGCTCAGTACAAATCAGATTTTAATCAGTTCTTTGCCACTCAGTGAAAATAATAAAATAGAAAATGCAAGCTACATTTCTTCCTTACTTTCCACATTTACCTCACTGCTTCCCTCTGTAACTTGGGAAGCTTCCCAAAATACCACTTTTGATTATGTAAGAGCATATGCAATACTGCATTCTCAATTATCTATCAAAAGTCAGAATAGAAGCAAATAGGGCTGAGCTCTCCTACTGGAGACACGATAGAGGTATTTCCAGGGGAGATACTGATGTTAAGTATTAAGGACCTCAGGGCTCTGCCTTGCCCATTACTAGAGGAGCCCATTCATAGTGCACCACTTCAAGAGGCATTCCATGGAGCTGGACGACATGATGGTCCCACACCATCATAACCACTAGCTCTAGCTCCAACCCCACCCCCAGCAGGTCCCAGACTTCAGAGACAGGGAGAAGGAGACTATTTGTGCAACTTGGCCTACACTGTTCACCTTGGTTCAAGACTCTCTAAAAATCTCTAGGATGTGGAGTATAGTGATCATTTACTATTGATTCAACTGTTAAAAATCATTGGAATTTCTTTTCTACTTGGTCACTGCACCTTACATATTTCTCTCAGAAGAAAACTCTAAAAGGAAGGGGGGGTATCTAAGTGATATCATGACAGAGACCACTTCTTTATTTTCTTACTGCTACATCTCTGGAACCTACACTAGTTTCTAGCACATAGTATAAAAACTAATCAATAATTGTTGAGTAGATATTACCTTAATCCAGTGAGAGCATTCTCTCTAAAGTCAGTATTAATATATTCAGAGAATTCAGTGAATAAAAATAAATAAAAAAGAAATCTCTAGCTGCTATAACTTTGAGATTAAATATGATGAATGTTTAAATATTTAAACACATTTAAATGTTATTTAAATATTTAAAGTAGCTCAGTATAAAAAAATACCAGATATACACTGGGTCAAATTAAGTCACTCAAAATATAAAAGCACATATAATAAAACCCTACGAAAAAAATCTGCAATAGGACAATAAATTCCTCCCATCTTTGTTAATGTTTTAATAACAATTTTCTTAATAAGTAAAAAAAAAATTTGAAAAGTAAATTTTTTTTTATCTTATAATATCAAACATAAACAAGTATTTGCAATAAGAGACATTTTAACAGTAACATGCCTAAAACAAAAAACCACACAAACAACACACAACTACAATGTTACAAACTATGGCAACAATAAAACAAGGTAGGAATTACCCAACAGGTAGCCCTTACCTGTGTTTTCCTTAAACATTAGTAAGCTTTACTCTATTGAAGTGTCTATGTTAAAGTTGTGGAACAATAACTATATATATTCACAGCCATAAGGTAATTTAGACACTTATCTTTAAAACTATATGATTCTACGTCAATCACAAAGCCATGAAAAAGAATATGACGTACAGAAACTCTTGTTTGGCTGTACTTGTAGGAGATGTAGGAAAATCCTCCAGTCTACAGACGAAGATTCAAGAGAAAGCAGGAAAACAAAAGGGAAGCAAATAAACATTCATATGAATTAGTTACAACATGACAATCACCTGGAAATCTTTTCTGACTTCCCACTCATAAAATTTTCCTTCAAAGTATTTTCTAATCTACTTTTTTCATTCCATTTCCTTTCATTGCAACTGGAAATGAAATATTTAACTCAACACTACAAGAATGGCAAGATGAATGAATAACTTTTATTTTTCAAATAAAACAAGTTCAGTGAACTTTACTGTGGGGTAGGGTCAAGAAATATCATCTTTGTTTTAACATTTTTTACAAAATTTGTTTTGTAAGCTGGGTGCAGTGGCACACACCTGTAATTCCAGTGGCTTGGGAGGCTGAGGCATGAGGATCGTGAGTTCAAAGCCAGCCTCAGCAAAAGCAAGGCCCTAAGCAACTCAGTGAGATCCTGCCTCTAAATAAAATACAAAAATAAGGCCAGGGACGTGGCTCAGTGGTCAAGTGCCCCTGAGTTCAATTCCCAGTATAAAAAAAAAATTTTTGTTTTGTAAATAAATACAAGATTTACAAGCTAAGAGATCATCTGAAGCCCTTCTCTTAAGTGATACTAGAAAGAAGAGATCCAAGGGGACAGAGCACATATGACATTAGCAACATCTAAAGAAACTCAGTTTACTTCCTGAGCAGGCTAAGGCAACCCTGGCCCTTCAAATTAAGAGTCTATCAAGAGATCAGGGGCTCTAACCTCTGTGACTTTCTACATAAGCATCAGAACTTGGTAGAATAGGTACTGGCATCTCTTCAGACTAAACACATGATTTTAAATGTTTTGATCTTTCTGAACCTCAACTTTTTGTTCTAAAAAGTGGGGATAAAACCACCCGTTCACAGCATTGCAGTGCAGACTGAATAACTGATGTGAGGTCCTGGCCCACTTCTTAATATTTTCACGTCAGATAATAACACTCCCCCCCACCCCATGCTAAGTAAATAGAAAAAGATCTCATCTCTCACAACCTCTGGTATTTCCTGGTCTTTCTTTTAGAACACTGCTTACGAAACGTGATCTAGACCCATAACGATGCTAGTTTATGGGTCCAAACTATTCCAGCAAGACTTAAACCTAAGATGATTGCTTGAAAGAAATCATCAACACTCATAGCAAAAAGCGACAACCCACTTATAAACACCCACTTCAGGGAATGTTCCCAAACGGTCACCACATCAGGTAGATTTTTAAGTACTATGACTAGAGCTATAACTGATGATTCTTCTTAGTCAATCTATGGCCAAAGCTTCCATTCAGTCATCCATTAAAATGCTGGATGCACTGCAGGACAACAGAAGCACAGTTAAGCTGTGACAGCAAGAAGAGCAAGTGCTCAAAACCTGACCTAAGTTATCAAAACACACCGTAGTCACAGAAGAAAACTGTTCCATGAAAGGAAATTAGGAGCAAAGGTACATACTACCAAGGACACGAAGAAGTCAAACGGTTAAATGTGCTGATCACAGATTAGTAGTCTGAATGCCCTGTGTAAAGGTGATCATCAACAGAGTTCTTCCAAACAGGTCCAAGAACAGAACTTAAAGGGAAAAGGTTCAGAACAAAGTCAAAATAAAAACACAGGAAATCAGCACAGTGGCACACACCTGTAATCCCAGCAGCTCAGGAGACTGCGGCGGGAGGAATCCAAGTTCAAAACCAGCCTCACAACTTAGTGAGGCCCTAAGCAACTTAGTGAGACCCTATCTCAAATAAAAAATAAAAAGGACTGGGGATGTGGCTCAGTTGTTAGGCACCGTGGGTTCACTCCCGGGTACCCCCTCCCATGGCTACCTCTACTATTACAAGAATTTCATAAGCTTTTTGGTTAAATTCATTAAAAGCAAAAATGACAAGAGAAAGTTTTAAAATCAAGTGTGAATGAGTAACAACTACTTAATATAAAATTAAGATATGGTCAATATTCTTTGCCTATAATATTGTTTCAAGTAACTATTTGAATTACATTAACATTTATTTACATCTTATATGTAAACTGAAATTTGTTCTGTGATCACTTTTCCTGTTAGACAAACTTACAAAGTACTGGGAGTTAGCTTTGTCAGGGGCAGGGGAGACTAAGCAGGTAGCAACAACTGTTTTAGAAAAAAACATTCTTTTCCTAAGAGCATTTTATTTGGTGATATTCTTAATGACATTTGGAATCTTAGTGCCTGAGATCCTTATGTATAAACCTAAAAATCTACCAAGTATGAGCTCATCCAATGAATATCAAATTTTCTGAAAGACTCTAATGAGCAAGTGAAAGAAAATAATAACATTTAACACACTTACTGTATATTTGGGGTAATTCCTTCAAGAAGAACGATATTAACTCCACCAATATGAGCAGTGGCACATGTCTCAGTCATCTTTTGATGTAAAACATCTTAAATATGGGAAAAACAATTATTAGAATTCTGGAAATAAGATAACTATACTTCATATTAAAATTGCATTTTATTCATGATATACTCAGTAACAAAAGATAACTATAAAGTTATGATAAAATCTGTTCAAGTATTTTGGAAATACTTTTTAAAAATTTCCTTACAGGTCTTTATTTCTCTGTAATCAGATACACATACACAGTACCTGCAAAATACACACTTCAATATACCTTTCTTGCATTAACTAGCCTTTGGTACCAAAACCCTAATAGCATTTTTAATCTCAGAAATACTATTTAGTATTTTCTAAGCTTATTTCTAAACTTTCTTAGAAAGAAAATTTGAAAAATTAAAAATAAAGGAAAAAGAATTCATAATTAGCACCCTTGGTCTATGTAATTCCTATGATTTTTAACATAGGGTATCAATCTTTTTATTACTTCCCAAACCAAATGAAATTATACATATATATCACTTCCCACTTTTTTCATTTGGCATTTTTTCATATTAATAAATTCTACAATATAATAAACAAACAAACAAACAAAAAACCAGCCAATTCTTTAATGCCAGACTTCTGGCTGATTCTCTGTTCAGACATCTTTTCACACAGTCTGACTTTTTTTCTTCTACCCTGGTGTGTAGATCTGGACTTGCTGAGTCAAAGCATACATATAGTTTAAAGATTCTGATAAAAAGTACCAAATTAAGCTTTGAGAAAGTTAAAGCAATCTGAATTTATTTAGAAGTGAATGAAAATAACCATTTCCCTGATTTTCACCAAAACTGGGCATTATCATTCTTAATTTGTTGCTAAACCCTTAGATAAACAACTGATAACTCTTTTTTTTCAACCACTGAAGTCAAACCAGTTGTTTATGTCAGCTCAGCCAGGTGAACTTTCGTATACTATGTCCTTTGCTTATATGTCTAAGGAGGACTGATGTGTTTATATTTTCCTTAGCAATTTATAATCTATATAGTTTCTTCAGGGAATTTTTTAACAGTATAATTTTAGTTTTTAAATAATAAATATATAAATAATAAATATAGTTAAAGAATATATAATGAAAAGTAGGTTCAAAATAACTTTTATTTAAACCTTACATATTTGTAAATCATTAATAAAAACATGACTCATAAATTCCTTTATTCATATAAAATAACCTGTCAGTTTATTTTCACAACTAGAAAGAAAAAATGCTGATATTATAGTCATTGCTGTGAAGGAATCCCTGAAAGTTTAGTTTCAAATTGCTGTATGTACGTTAGCACTTATTTTTATTTTAGCATCTCAGAAACTAGGATGCATTTTATAATCAACTGCAACTGTTGGGCAACATTATTTTATGACACATAAAATCATGGTGGTTTGTTAGATTTACTGAAATGCCATACCTGTGTGATCACTCTTGAGATGTACGGTACATTTTCATGAACGCATGAAATTTTCTATCAACTAATGAAATTTTGGGGGGAGTGGTGCAGGTGACTAAGCTACAGCCCCAGCCCTCTTTACTTCCTATTTGCCACAGGGCCTAAATTGTCTAGGCTGGCCTTAAACCTATGATCCTGCGGCCTCATCCTCATGATACCTGGGGTTGCCGTGTGCACCCCCTCTCCAGGCTTTCGCAATGACTTCTTACATGATGCCAAAATGAGCACTGGGTTATAAAATTACTATAGCAGTTAACAAATAAAAGCAAATAATTCACAAACTTCATTATTTTCTTAATATTTTCAGTTACTAGAGAACTCTTACTTGTGGACATTGAAAGATTTTCAAAGATAAAGTGCCTCTGGCATTAGACACATTAGCTATAGCTAGATATTTATGTTCCTAAATGTTTTCGCTGACTTCAGAGCTGCCTCAACCTGCTGGTCTTCAGTTACACTCAGAGTCCTCAGGACTCAACCCAGAACCTGGAGTCTCATCTCTGGAAGGAAAGGGGCCCAGTGGGACTTCTGGCCACTGGCTCTCTTGAGCAGAGCAGCACTATGGTAGGAGGACCCCAGCATACCTTTCATCTTTTCCTTCAGGGTGAAACTGCCATGGATTCTCTTTAGTTCCGATTCCATTGTCAGCCCACCAATGTCTGCCTCTAGATGCGTGCGGTTCACCATTCCAATCCCAAACACTATTAGAGTAACATGCTGAGGCTCAGAATTTACCAAGCTACGTTTCCTCTGTGTCTTGGTCAAACTGTTGGTGTCTTGCTCATTCTCAAACACAACTTTACATGTTGGCTCTGTAGGGCTCCGCACTCCTTTATAAGTAAATGGAAATACACTGTTAGGCCTGAAAACTGAAAAATGGAAGGACATTGCATATACCATCTCATCTTTCTTTCATTCACATTTGCAACAAGCCTTCTTCCTCACCAAAATGATCTAAGCTTTTCAAAACAACATTTTCTAAGTTCCTACTGAAAGTAAACAGCAGAGCCAGATATTTGAAATCTAGTTTGTCTGAATCCCTTAAGAGCACCCTATGTGAGGGAGGAAAGATGGGAAACCAGGCAGTATGAAAACGGAAGGCCATGTCTATTTATTCTCCCGGCAGTGTCAAATTTCTCTGCATTTCAATTACCCATCCAAAACATTTTTCAGGATGAACAACTTGATATTTTTTTTATTACTGCTATTCTATAAACAGATAATTTTAAATCACTAAAATTTCTGTTACCTGCAGGTCCAAATGTTTCTGAAGATTTTTCTAATATTCCTGTTGGATCAGAGATGAGTGAATAGAAGTTAAGCAGCTTATACATGTTCTGCCAACACTCAGCCGAAGGCTCACTTTGTTCTGACACTGTGATTGAATCAGAGTCATCCATATGAATAGTCATGTGGTCCACCACATCTTTTGAACCTTTCCTAGACACTTTTGAAGTTCTTCTTTCAGATCTGCCTAATGAATTTTTGTTCCGGGATTCCTTTTTGTTATTCTCATTGTTGGTCCGTTTGTTCTTTGCATTATTTACTCTACTGCCACCATTAAGACTTCCTCTAGAACTGCGGCTGAAGTCAGAAGAACGAAAATCTCGATGCTTTCTGGTTTTGAAAGTGGGTGTTGGGGAAGCTGATCCGGCTGTGTATCTGCTAAGTTTAATGTCAGTCTGAGTTGCTTTGATATCATCTATCATTGTACTAAACTGGTGAATGAGACGAACCAAAGCCATATCTACATGCTGGCTAATTGACTGACAAGAAATAGTGAAGTTGCAGTGGAAGGTATTATAATAGCGCTTGTTAAGATCGTGGAAGGAAAGGGCACTGGTGGAGTTCTGAGGTGTGCATACAGACTTCTCCATTACCACAGCACTGATGCTAAACGTTTCCAACATTAGTGCTGGCTTGAACTCCAGCGGAGGAAGATTCACGTGCCCTTGCCTAAGAGTTCAAAAAAAAAAAAAAAGGACAAGACTTTACTTCTTTTTTCTAGAACTACACATCTTTATAAATTTGTAAGCAGACTAATCTCCAAGGTGAAATCTGGCATAAGCCATATAAATAATTTTAAGCAAGACAGCCAACAAGATTACGTTTTTTTTCACTAGACAGTCTTCCCTATGGATTTTACTCTATAACTACTAAGTCAAAGTCAGTCTTCCTACACTAAGAAATGATTTCAATGAAGCGATAAAACAATTCTTTCCTGCCATTCAATGGTAGAAATGATGGCTCTATAATTACAGATCAATTAGAACAAATCCCTTAACCTCTCCACCCTCTCTGTACTAAACTACATATTTAATTTCTTCATATTTAATGGAATTTTATTTGCCATTAGAAAGGAAACCCCCATGGCATGCTTTACCAAGTTTTACAAGGAGAGGAAAAGCAACTGAAATGAAAATAAGAAATATACATGAAAAATACTTAAAATCTTGTACAAAAATTATCTTGGAAAATCCTAATTAAAGATTTTTGTATAAGAATATGAAGCTCAATTTTAATTTAAACCCCCCGAATCTCAAATTTCCATAAAACAACTACCAATAACAATCTCAAATACCAAAACTTTTAAAAAGGTTATTTTCCCACTCCTTTTCATGTGTACTCTGACTGTACAGTCACATAGGTCAAATTAAACATCAACCTTTTCAGTTACCAAAACAAACAAACAAACAATAACAAAAAACAAAAGGTGCTTTGAAAATGTTCCCAATTAAAGAATTTACAATTTTAAAATTGCATTTCCTTAATGAATACTAGTATTGCTTATTTAATAAGAAAAGTGCTGCATCCTAGTATAACTCATGAGGTTGCACAACCTTAGGGGAAGCCCACATTCAATGCTGACTATGTGCTAAGAAAAGGAAAACTCTGATAATGAGAATCAGAACTGCAAAGTAAGAATCTAAAACAAATTTTCAACAGTGGCAAGAAAATCCTAAAGCCAGGAAATTCAAGTAAAAGGGGAAAAAAGCCAAACAACTGAGAGTATGACTGAAAATTGGAGACAAAGAGCTGGGGCATGGGCTCAGCATAACAAAAAACACAATTAAAACGCAAAAATATGTTTTAATCCTTAGTATGTGAAACTACTTTGATTGGAGACAGCAGGGATAAGAAGGCATTTATGAGACTCTATTACATTCCAGACTCTATGCTAAATGTTTAATAACTGCCCTGGCTGTACAGCCGAGTGGGAGTTGAACAATGTGCTTCCAAAAACAAAACCAGGTGAGACTGAAATTAATGACACGAAAAGGACAATGCACTTAAGATATCCAAATAAAGTAAGAAGAGTTTCAGATGGAATTATGGGAGATCTGAGAAATAAAAGCCAATAACGAGTTTGTTATGAGAGTGTACAACATTCAGAACTGAGATGGTAGTAGAAAAATTAAAAGGAATGTTAAATTCAACTAGACCAAAGGTAATTCAGTTCAGAGAGCACAGAATCTCTCTGGGAACATAAAAAGGGAAGTGTAGTTGGAGGAAGGTCTAATCTCCACCAGTATGACATGCACTTCATAGAAAGGATGGGGGTGGATTTCAATGTTCCTGTGACATTAGAAAATCCTCAGATACTCTGACCTGAAAAGAAGAAGGCTGTGACTAGAATCTAATTGCATGTATATGTAATCCACATCTGTCTAATTATGTATAGATTCCATAGCACCTGCATGTGATCCACATGCATGGACATGTATATAATGTATGTGTGCATGAACAGATACATGCACATACAAATATATTTAATTTTGTGAAAGCCAGCTATTACAAATAGAAATACAAGTTTAGCTCAGATCTTTCAACCCTAAAGAGGGAGTACATATAGTTGTATTAATGTTTTGCTGTCTAGGTTCAAATTTGAATAAACTTCAATCACTATGGTATTTACTCTGAGGACAGGCTTGCTACTAGGTCTTCACTATACAAACAACAGACATTTATCACTATCACTCCCTCAGTCTGTCAGTGATTGGCCAATGCACATTTGCTTTCAGGCAGTTACCTGTGTTGCCCCTGGTTTCCCAGTGATAATCCTCAGACTATTTTACAAAGATAAGTAATCAGAAGAAGCTGGATAACAAAGATGAAAATTAAACAAAGACACTGGTAATACTGGTAGAGAAATTCGACTCAGTATAAATGGGGTGGGAAAAGAGACAGGACCATGGAACCATAGGAATGCTGATTCGTTCACTCTGGGGAAAAACTAGGTGTGCAGCCAGAGGAAGTGGCAAGGTAAATGCACTGACCTACAGAGGAAAGCGGGAAGTAAGAAGACATCCAGAGGAAGCACTGCTGACACTATTCAAGACACAGTTCCTGACACTAAAGACAAAGGGTTGGAACCAATTGACCCTTGCTTATAAAGGAGTACGACATTTCTTCAAAGCACAGAGAAGATGCTCATTCAGTGTTCTAAGTTGTACAGTGAGAAGGAAAGAACTGTGCAAAATACCCTTTGAGAGGTTTTACAAAGAAATAAAGTTTAATTCTCAACATTTCTGATGTTTTATATTACAAAGTATTAAGTGTTACTTTTTCATTTTTCTATACATGTGAAATTAACATAAAACTTCTAATGTTTTAACAAACATTTCAAGGTCTTAAAAGCAACTTCATCCCTATTAGTTAAAATCAGTCTCAGCTTTTGTGGCTACTGTCATGGTACCACTCTACTGTGAACGGCAAGGAGTCCTGTATTTAATAGAAAAGACAAGGCAATTTTGGTGTTCCTGTGATATTAGAAATCCTCAGATATTCTGACCTGAAACAAAATTTAAGAAAGCCACAATTTCCTCTATATCACTCTGTGAAATTTTATAAAATCTAATTCTGTTAAGTTATAAAAAGTATTAAAAAGAATATTTCAAGTGAAAAATCTATTTTACTTAGCTATATATTGAATAAAAGTGCTCTTTACTTCTAATCTACCACCTTGCAAACGCATGAATAGGATTAACTGAAGGTTGCATAAACTTTTAGTCACAAATGCTATCTGGGACCATACCCCACCCCACTATTCCTACTCATGAAAGGTCCAAGATCAGTTAGGTCCTGTTAGTGGGCGTCCCACTGCCTGTGAAGCAGTTAAGAGACTGTCAAGGTTTAAGAATACAGATGGCAGCACAAGACGGCTTGTCTCCCACCAGGTTACTCAGGCTCTGGCTCAGTTTCTGATGGCTGCACTCAGTGAGGTCTCCATGCTGCTCCTAATTCAAAACACCACCTGCTGCAAGTCAACTCAGACAGCAAGTGAAGAATCCTAAACAGATGTGAAACTGCAATCCATAAGGCCACAGATACCCCACTGCTGCAGGCCAAGTAGGTAACAGTGAATGCTTGTATCAAGAAATGCACTTCAGACAACCCTCGTATGGTATTAAAATGCCTTAAAATAGACCTCTCAATAAGTTAACATGATGAACAAGTTAATTCATTTAAAATGTGCCTACTTTATTAAACAGAAATTATCTTCTAAATAAGATATTAGAATCGTTTTCTCACTAGGATTAGAAGAAAACAAAGTTAAAAGACAAACAGGAGGTACAATTCTTGCACAAAATTATATAACAAAATGCAAAAAGATACCTTCTTGCTCTTTTGCCTTTTCTCTCTTTGGCTGTATCTGAATCCACAATATCTGCTCTGAGGCAGTCCAAAGTCCCCGAAAATGAAAGGTGTTCTCCAAAGTACATTCGGTAGCAGAGTGGCACTGTGTCCTGTGACTGGATGCCTGTATGACTCAGAAGAGGTTTAAAAACGACCTGAAAGACAACGAACACTTGCTTGGTTGTAATAGTCATCTAACACTTGTTTCTAACAGTCCTTCCTTGACATTGTAATCATGTTTACAGAATTGCGTTACTCTGGTTAAATCTCTAGTTAACTAGGTTTCCCAGTCACTAACAGGTTATCCGGCAGAAGCAACTGTAGGTGTCCAGCAGGATGGCACTACAATCTCTAACTACTGACCCTGCTGCACGGTTCTTTTCCTCCTCCCACACCTCCACTCAGGTGCTGTACTCTGCTTTGCTCAGCCACCTCCCGACTCTCATAGTATATTCTCCCACAGTGGTCTTTCCCTGATGCTTAAAAATCCTATCTAAATTGACAGGTACACTTATTCAATGAGACCCAAATCTACATTTTCAATTGTCCTACATCAATCCTAATGGAAAATTCTTCCCTCTACAAAGCTGAAATCATCCTCCATCTTTATTAATATTAATCATCAATTTATGCTCCAGGCTAATCCTCTGCACTCACCAGGGGGTTGGTTTCTGACTGAATTCTTTTTCTTTGCCATCTCAATTTATCATTCTGAATGACTTCATCAGCCACACAGAAAACCGGACCCACAGTTAGTTACCTTAGGTATGTGACTTCTTTGTCCCCATAACCTTGACTTAAACTGCATTTCAGCATCTTCCTTGACTACATCTCTTCACCTAGTTTTTTTCTTCCTGCCTCTGCTGTCCATCATACCTATCCCCATAGCTGTGCATCTAAGCACACCAAGAGAAAATGACATCTTTCACTGGAGCTTTAACTCAACCCAAACCTGCAACTAGGTCTTCAGCACTATTTGCCATCTACCAGGGAGCACTGGTGAGGTCTTTTACCCATTCAGTGCAGACTTCACACATGTCTAAATCATCTCACCCAATTTTTAAATTTTTTAACTGATACATTAAAAACTTTACATGCTTATGGGATACTATATAATGTTTCAAAACATGTATATATCGTGCAATGTTCAAATCAGGGTAAACATATCTATCTCTACCTCCAACCTTATTTCTTTTGAGTGAAAACATTCAAAATCTTATCTCCTAGAGATTAAACATATACACTGTACATTATCATCATCTATAGTCAGCTTACTGTGCAGCCAAACACCAGAACTTCTTTTTCCTATGCAAATATAACTTAGTATTAGTCAATTGACCATTCCTCATCCACCCCTCCCCTTCTTCCTCTCCAGCCTCGGGAAGCCACCAGTTCTATTCTCAACTTCAATTAGAACAATGTTTTTAGATTCCACATATGACTGATATCACATGGCACTTGTCTTTCTGTACATGGCTTATTTCACTTAACAACATAATGATCTCTGACTCCATCCACATTGTTGAAAATGACAGGATCTATTCTTATTTTCCTAGTGGAATAGTATTCCATTCTGTATAGTTTCCACATTTTCTTTATCCATTCCTCTGTGGATGGGCACATAGGTTGTTTCCATTTCTAGGAAAACAGTGCTGCAATGAACATGGGAGCATCAATGTTTCTTTGACATAATGATTTAATTTCCTCTGCATTTAAAACCAGTAGTGGGATATTGCTGGAGCCGCTGGTACTTCTAATATTTCAGAGGAACCTCCATATGTGTTCCACAAAGAATTCACTTTACACAATATGTTACAGTACTATTTAATATTAATATTCTTGGCGGATTTTAGAATCGTGTATGTAACAGTATCTCTAAAACCACATACTGGACACTATTACTACAATGAATCTATTGCACACAACAAAACAAACAAACAAAAAACCCTTTTCCTACTCTCCCTTTTCTAAAGAAGAAAATTAGCAAGTCCCTAAAATCTACTCATATTATAGAGAAGTAAACGTCGTGAAAATTTTTAAATGGCTGACAGAAACGAAACATAAATGACCTCCTTTTGTGAGAGAAACATTGAGGTTAATAATGTGCATACCAAATTCAGTCAGAAACCAAAGCCCCTAGTGAGTACGGAGGATCAAGCTGGGAGAATAAACTGGTGATAAAGATGGCTAGGAGGATGGTTTGAATTTTGAGGAGGAAATAATATTGTCACTGGGACCAACCTCAGATAAATGAAAGTGTGGACCTGGTTCTCATGAATAAATGGCACCTGTCCCTTAGACGGGGTTTTTGAGCTTCAGGAAAAACAGTGAGCAAGAATGTTCCGTGGGAGTCAGGAGGAGGCTGAGGAGAGCAGTGGCAGCATCTCCTGGGCTGCGCACCGCCCTCACTGCCTGCCCCAGACCCTGAGTGGAGGGTCCCTTCTGTCTCTGCGGCTGGCTCCAGGTCCCCACACCTCGTTTGCACGTCTGCTACACCCCCAGCTCTTCCTTGCCCCTGGCTGTTTAGGTATGTGAATGTGTTCCAGCCTTCTCATGACAAAATGAGGATTCTCAGTACTCAGCGCTCTTGCCCCAACCTCCTGCTGCCTTCTGGTCCAACTAAAAAGCACGTTCCAAAGGATTTTCCTCCTCATGCTCCCCATTTAATCTACTGTCCCATTTATGGCACACCTATAAAAACTTCAACTGAGCCCACATATACTACTTATGGTGACTTTGGATATTTATGGTTTTTTCTACTCTTTTGAGGGAAGTAATAACTAAATGATTAGTGATGATATTCATTAATGATGTCATGGATATTAATAATATGTAAGTTCTACATTATAATTTCTAACCTATCTTAATGCACCTGTGTCAATTTCATTGAAAAATTCACAAAACTGGGAAATGGGACTTTAATGGATTAAAGGAGATCTCCATAATATTTCTCCTTTACCTTTTCAAACCCAGAACCATTGAAGCTCAGGGTCTCATTACCTCTGTTGTGAACTATTTCAATAACTCACCTTTCAATTCTAGTTACTCTAATTCAACCATTTAACACATGGCTACTACTATCTTTCTACATGAATACATTTCTAAATGTATACTTTATTTCTCTGTTCTAAGATCACTACCTCCCAACTGTTCTCTCTGTAAAATGAACTTACTCTTAACACTGTACTAGACCACAGGAATGACTAAACTTTCTAGTGATGTCATTCAGCCAATTTGTTAAAAATAACAAAAAATGTTACTATGAGGCTCTCTTCTCTAATGGCCAACTATAGATACTTCAATGCATTTACAATTAATCCATGTACTGTTTTAAAGCTCCTCCTATTTGCATGAAGGCTTTTAGCAAACAGGGAGAGCATACAAATTCTCACTAGAACTCCAACGTACCCAATGCTTTACGGTTTCAGTGGCTAAGTATTGCCAAAGGAGGAATCATTATAATTACAGAAAACAGACTGGCTCACCTGTGCATCAGCTAGCTGAACAGCAGGAAACCCTTGGTTAGCTTCTTCTACACCTGCCACATCATCCTGACTAGTGCTATGCTGAGAATGTGTCCCATCCAATGTATTCTGGTCACTAGACAAGACAGTGTTGAAATCCGAGGCTGAGGGTATTGTAGGAAGATTGGGTGCAACACCTAACAGAATAAAATTTCAGTAATAAAATGTAAATTATTGTGAATAAAAACATAAAAGGGCACAACAAGGTAGATTCTTTGAAAGTACTGTAGTGACATTATCAAACCATTTAAGTAAAAAACATTAGTACTTTCAGGTTATTTTACATACATGATTGATTTATTAATGAAAATTAAATTTTCAGAAAATAACAGTCATCCTTATACAATAGTAGGGCCTATCAGTCCAAAATGTAGAATTTTAAAGCAGTAGCAGGCTGCCAAATCAAGTACAGCGAGGCAACAGTTAGGGTCCCTGGGGCAGAAGGAGATAACATAGCATGCTTTCTTTCCTCTGAATACTCTTTATCATTTAACCTGCAGGCAAAGCTCTCATGACAGAGGGGAAGAGTTCTTTCCTGGTTCTCTTGAAATTTAAACTATATTCTCTCTGGATGGTGTGCAACTAGCACCAGATAGAAGCATCAAGCTCTCTTTCACCTTCTTCAGTCAAGGGCCAGTGCTAAGAACCCGCATTCAGTCAGAACCAAGTTTAGCTCCAGATTAAAGGAGGTTCATGCCAGCCAGAAAAAGGGCTGAATAAGTCGTACACATCAACCAGTTTTCATTCTTTCATATGGTGTGTTTGAAGATCTACCTGGAATTCAAATAGTTGGTACCTGCCTTCCTTAAGCAGCATCAAAGACTACTTTGCTATTCTTTACACACACACACACACAGAGTATACATATATATGTATATGTTATATATGAGAAAATAATACATTAAGTAAACTTGGAAAAACAGAAAAGGAAAGGTAGGTCTTCGTGTATTTCTGGATATAGCTACCATTACTTCCTTGGGTAATGGCCTGCCAGTCTTCTTCCTACATACACATATTCTCTAAAATAAATGGCCCTCCTTTGTCTCTCTCCTTGAGAAAAGGAACCTTACTTTACTCTTCTAGTACTCCTTTAGACTTCACTAAACATTTATTAACTATAAAGATGGTAGGAATAATAGTTGTGTCTCAAAGGGATCTGGATCCCTTATGCACTTAGGGAGAGAAAGTATGATTCATATAATTATTTTCACAAAGGTTAAAATTGTCTTCCTTTCCAGATGTTTTCAAACTCTCACTGCATGATTGTGTCTCAGAGGGATCTGGGTAATCCAAAAATATTTTCCACATTGTAGGTATATAAGGCTAGACTTTGCGTTCTTTTCATTTTCTGTTTTGAAAAAGCAACACAGCCACACTAAATGGAAATATTAAACTCTTCAAATTCTACACAACTCGAATCTGATGTAGCTGCCTTTCTACAAGCACACAGGGCAACTGTGACTGTTCACCATCCTTTCTGCTAACTCTGTTATCAAATGCATTTATAAAAGGGGTAATTTCAACCAAATGGTACTTAAATTTCTGACACTTTTTGTCCTCTGACAAACAGGATTTTGCTATAAGTAGGTATGCCACTTAGACCAAATAATATGATAATCCAATACCTGTTGGAAGACTGTTGTGTCCTGATTTTGTGACAGGAGATTCTTGCACTGCACCACCTCGGTTACCCACAGCGTTTGACATCCAGTTATAGAAACTCACAGACGATGGCTCAGACAGCAAGGGATGCTCAGACAGCATGTCGGTGGCCACTGAATTTCCTAAAATTAAGGTCTTACTGAGCACAGAATTACTTATGCACATAGAGACAGAAAGTATGATTCACATAATTATTTTCACAAAGGTTAAAATGCCCTCCTTTCCAGATGTTTTCAAACTCTCACTGCATGATGTTGGCATTTTGATACTAAGGCACTAATAAACAGCTTAGTTTTACTTTAACAGGGTAGATTCTACGTTGGTTGGTCAGGCCAAAACCCATATCACATGCCCATGTTGACTTTAGATGGCACTACAATTTAAAAATATAAACCAACCAAACTTAGGAACAACACAATTGTCTTGTATTTTCTCAAAAATAAAGTGTAATATTTATATGAAAGATTAGTTATGTGACCAAAGTATTATATTTTAAGAAAGGTGTTTAAAAATTCCCCCATAAAAAGTAAAGTTGTAATGGCCACATCTAGGGGAGGCACCTGTTCTTGTCAGGGAGCTACTTTTCACAGCTGCACTGCTTCTCTGAGGGGTGCCTTCCAGAAGGTTGTGCAAGCTGGGGAAGCTGCCGGTCAGGTAGCTGAGCAGGCTCTCCTTCCTCGGACTCTCCTTTACTGGCATCCCTGTGCGTCCAACATGCACTGGGGAATCCGTGGCAGTGTCTCCGCTGGTGTAGCTCAGAGAATGATATGGATGAATGCCCTAGAAGGAGCAACAAAGCATTCTTTCCCATGCATATAAAAATGACTACAGAGAACTATAACCACCATGACCTCTGCCATTACTGCTAGCAGTTCTGCACACTGATGCCAAAATGACTGTGTCCACCAGGACAGGATAAATGGGAGATACCTGTGAGCAGGTTCTATAACAATAATGTTCTGCAGTAATAATAATGTTCCACAGTACATTACACAGGGCCACTTTTATTGTTGATATTATAGTGAAGCATATTGCCTTATTTTAACCATGTATCATTAATTCCCTCCTAAAGGAAGCAACTCAAAGTCCACAGCACAGCCTGTCGAACGGATGGTGGGAAATCAAATGCTAGTTAAGACCTGGGGAGCAGGAGACAGGGCAACAGAGCTTCCGAAAGTTAGGGGTAAGGTGTTGGTGGAGAAATCCCTATGGCCAGAAGAAAAAAGTGGCCTAATATAATTCCTTCCATCATTGTTCATTTACTGAACCAGCAAAGTAATACCCAGGGACAGTCACCCTTACACAAAAACTAACTAAAAAATATATTCACTGAAAATGATCTGTAACAAGATAGATACCATCAAAAGCAAAGTCTAGGAACTCACAGAAACTTTATGAATGGAAAGCTATCTACTTTCACCACCTTCCCACAGCTTCTTATTTGAAGTCATCACAGACTCCTCCTACCTGGAAGGAACCTTCTCACAGGAGCAAAGGAGGTGGAGGCAAAGGCTCAGTGCTGTGAAACCCTGTGAAGTCCTAACCCTCTGGGGAAAGCAGAAAGGGCTGTACATTTTACATGGAGAAAAGGGGAGGAAGAGTGTCCATGCAGGCAGAGACGAGCACTTACAACATATGAAACACATGCTAATAAAATAATGCATGTTTTGTGCATTATTTTATTTAATCCCCACATTCTCTAAAGCTGGAAATAATTTCTAGCTCACAAAAGAAGAAAATTTACTAATATCATCTACAAGGGAATAGTCAGTTGTAATCCCTGACTTCTTTCCCCAAATTCTTCACACTGCACTTTTAATCTGACACTCTGACACCATGAGTCCGTTTTCTTACATCTTCACCTAAAATGTACACTATCAAAAGTTTTAGTCTTCCAATATGATAGGGGAAAAATGGAAATCTCATTTTAATTTATATTTATTTATAAGAGAATATATTTTCACATGTGCACATACATTTTCTGTGACCTGCCTGTTTATGTCCTTAACAATTTTTTTTTTTTTTCTTTTCGGTGTTTGGCCTTTTACTTAGTGATTAGGACAAATTCTTTATATTTTTGGAAAAAAGTATCTTGCCGTGTGTCTATTTTGTTTACATTTTTTTTCTGTATAGAAATTTTATATTTTAATGTTGGCTATCAATTATTTCTTTTATGGATTCTGTGTATGGAAGTAAGTAGACTTTTTTTTAAACTTTATTTTATTTATTTATTCTTATACAGTGCTGGGGATCGAACCCAGTGCCTCACATGTGCTAGACAAGTGCTCTTCCACTGAGATACTACCCCAGTCCCCTAAATGTAGGTAGACTTTTAAATAAAGAAAGCAAAATTATTAACCATTGATTTCAGCATTCAGAAAAGCAAATGAGCAGAAAAAATGACCTACTACAACACAAGCTTATTAAGTGGCAATCCTCTTCTAGGCACTTTTGAAGTCTTAATTCAGTTACTTCTCAGAGGAGTTAGCACTGAACCCATCGGGCAGAAGAGGAACCGACACAGGATGCAATGAAGAGCTTATCAGGCACAGAACAGGATTCAAGCCAACACAGTTGTTACCAGGGCATGTCGAGCCATTTGGCTACATGCTGTCTCTTATTAAGCATCCTCAGAACTTCTCAAAGCAAAGCCACACAGCCAAAGTCATAAAAACCCTAATCCAAACCATATACTGATCATTCACTGCCTAAAGGGCTTCTTGTTAAAACTGATGTTACAAGACCAATGACATTTTCAACACTGAACTTTATTGAACACTGTATTTAATTAAGTCAAAGGAGAGCATGAAGGCTTGAAGTTAAAGCATATCTTATTCAAGAGTAATTACTGACCATACAGTCTTCAAAGAAATATATATACTGGCAGGCATGATAGCACACACCTGTAATCCCAACCACTCGGAAGGCTGAGGCAGGAGGATTGCAGTTGCATGAACAACTTAGAAAGGCCCTAAGTAATTTAGCAAGATCCAGTTTCAAAATAAATAGGGCTGGGAATATGACTCAGTGGTTAAGTGCTCCTGGGTCCAATCCCCAGTACCGAATGAATGAATGAATGAATGAATAGAAAGGAAGGAAGGAATATATATATATATATATTTATATATATATATATATATATCCTAAAAGCTACTAATCAAGTTCATTTCAACATAATGAATCATTTCAATATTTAGGGGGGACAGCTAATATTTAAATTTGAAATAACAAAATTTTAGGTCTTCTCTTGAAGTCTGAATAACCAACAACAGCAATAACACACCTTTATTTTTAATGCAGAGTCACTATGGGTGTGAGTTTTGGAAAGTTTTCTCATTATTTCAGCTCCCGTTACAGGTCCAGAGCTACCTGGAGGTGGCCGCTGGGCTGTTCCTTCTAGCAGCATTGTGTGTTCACTGACTGTGGCTGAAATGGGTGAAGGAAGAGGCAAGTCAGATATTACCACACCCTTCCTTGGAACATCAACCTCATTGTTCTGGTTGTATAACCACACTCAACTTTCATGATGTGACAAATTAATTGTAGAATCTGGTAAAATTTACTCTTTTCTCTCCTTTATTCCCAAATCCCAATCCTCTCACTCAGTCGCAAAAAAAAAGAAAAGAAAGAAATAACTGTTATTCAATCTTTCACATATGACATGCAAATGACACAAATAGCAAATGCCAGTTCAATCCTGCTCAAGAAAATACAGACTGTCATGGACTAACAGACACCTGTCAGTAATGAGAAAGGATATTCACTGCAGGACTCTTTCAACTTTGAGCATACTTTAAATATTGGAAAATAAATAAAATCCAGCCTATTCCTTATAATACATTCACTTTCTAAACATTTTTTAATGTAGCTAGATAAAATACAACATATCAGTGTTGTGAAATTTTAGGACTACTCTTCTTTCCCATGACTTTTAATATTTTTTCAAAACATTTGTAATAAATTTTCATTGATGTTACATGTCATAATAATAATAAAAATTAACTTTGGGCAAAGAATGAAACAGCACTGTATTAACAGATCTGTAGATTCAGTGTAGGCCTCCAAACTTACTTATGGGAATAAGACAAAGGCACCTTTAAAACCAGATAAACAAATACTATTTTAAAAAGAAAATTTACAGGTTTCACTCATATAACATTTTGTTATGCAAAGATGTCTTTGCACTGGTAGATTAGGAGAAGGCTATTATATTTCATAAAACTAACTTATATAAATCAGGTCCACAAAAAGATTCTGAAATTACCATCATGTATTTGAATTAATAAAAAGCCATGCTTCTATAATAAGGCCACGATATTTTCAAATCTGGGACACAAATCATTAAAATCATTACGAGTATTATGCTACCAAGTGTGTACCACCCAGCTAAAAGATATGCTTGTATTAATAATTCATTGATAACTAAAGCAGAAAAACAAAAGGGTCTGGATACCTTGTAAAGTGGCATATTAGCTTTATTTATAGAAGATGCACATGACTGAGCATAAAATCAGACAATGATGACTGTAAGAAATATCCTGTTAGAGGTAAGAAAATATGCAGCTGAGGCTTACAAAATTACCTGCATCAAACTCAAACTCTGCTCCATCAGCACTGGTATCACTCTGAAGACCACCCCCATTATCCAGCCCAAGTCCGTCTTCATGCTCATGGTCCACAGTTGCATGAGGTTTCAGGGGCTGAGCTGGTCTGTGTAAGCTGACTCCTTTAAAAGCTGGTGTCACCACAATAAACTTCATCCACTGCCTTGCAAGTGCAACCAAGCCTTTCTTTAAAGTGACCAAAGCAGGAAGACCATCACTCTGTAACAATGACATGGGTGAATGTCAACTAAAGTAGGAAGTTGCCCTTCAAGTGCTTTGTATACATTTGTTCATTTAAATATCGAAAGCTTCATTTAGAGGGGAAGAAACTAAAACTTAGATGTTAAGCAACTTGTCCAAAGTTACCCAAGATTTCAAGTTGACTGTAGAACCCCTCCAGGGTTCCTGTATTGGAAGCTTGGTTCCCAGAGTGGCAGTGTAGACAGGTGATGGGATCTATAAGAGGTGGAGCCTGGTGGAGACCACTGAGGTATTGCTCTTTGGATACATTAATGCATTTCTGGAGAGATTCTTAGTTCTCAAGACAGGGTAGTTTAAAAAAATTAAGTCTGGCCCCTTCCATCTTTGGCTTCTTGCCATGTGATCCCTCCCTCTCACTCACACTTCCACTATCTTGCAATCCACTAAGGGGTCCTCACCAGAGACACACTTGGGATGTCCTTGAACCTCCAGAACCGTAAGCTAAATAAATCTCCTTGCTTAAGCACCCAACCTCAGGTACTTCATTATACAGAAAGAAAGCTAATAGATGCCAGTCTTTAAATACAGCGCTGCATATTTCTGTCATAAAACAATACAGCAGCAGCAGGTGAAAGAAGACACTAGACATGAGGTGCCACTTTACCCCACAAGGTGATGATTGTGAATGAAATTTTTGGCTATTTTCCTACTAGCACCTTAATCTAAAGAGAAAACAACTATCTAATTCTTTACTCTTCTTTCCAGTAATTCCTCTTGGTAGGAGAAATAGCCAATTTGATTAAGGGGAGCCATTTACTAACTCGGCCCACTTACTTCTAAGGAATACCAGGTCCACAAGCCTGCCTCTTCATTTTTAGAATCAAGTGACAAGGGCCATCCTGTGATTCTCCCTCACAGGGGAAGCTACCTGGTGAAGCACCCATCCATAAGAGATGTTGCCATCCTCTCTCTGGTCCAGCTCCTCTACCTATGACTAGATAGGCAAGTGTACTAGGGACTTCTCAGTCCTCCACAGTCAGGAAGTACAAGAGCTATGCCAGTCTAAATATCTTTTGTCTTCTTGTCTTTTAATTTTTTTTATTCTAATTTGTTATATATGACAGCAGAATGCATTACAATTCATATTACACATATTAAAAATCCATTGCTTTGTAGAGGTTCTTGACCTGCATGGCCAGTGGCTTGCCTGGCCATTGATAATACTGGTGATTCTGGTGATCACTCTCTTGCTTAAATCTCTATTCCTATAGCTTTTAACACACAGCTTTCCTGCTTCTCCTGCCTCTTCTTCCTCCACATTTTGTGTAGTTCTCTCCAACCCTCCTATTATTCCTTTAAATTTCAGCATTTTGGGGGATTCCATCCTTAACCAGCTTTTCACTCAGTTTACCCCATGGAACAATCTCATCCACGTCCACAACTTCTTCTAATATGGCTGTGTTGTTAATTCCCTGAAATCGACCATCTGACCACAATGTTGACCATTAGTCTATTTCTCCCCAGATTTCTCCTTTGGACTTTCCACATGCATCTCAAACTTACTGACCTCACTGTTGTAGGTCAGTGGTCTACATCAAGAATGGCAGCCTCTTTAAAGCTAACATTTGGTTTCAGGAGCTCACCATGGTAGCATCATCGATGATGGAGTAATTTGCCTGGTGTAGGTAGTGATGAAGGATATTGCAGAGCAAACAGGAAGGATTTTCTTGGAGAAAGCGAGCAACTTTCGTAAGCCTGTTGTATTTGCTTCTTAGGGGAAAATGTACACTTTTATTCTGAAATCAAGCAATCACAGATTTAGAATGATATGTTTGAAAGATTCTATAATAAGAGATAGTTAGTAACTAGAACCTTCAGATCTGACATTTTCCAACAAGGATTAACAGTAAGACATTATTTTCAGTGACATATGTATAACCTGATGTATGGGTAGACTTACCTCTAGGGCTTCTGTCATTATGCATCCCATGACAGCACAGATTCTCAGGGTTCCCTCAGTTTCTAATTTGTTTAAGGACGACTTGAGTTGATCAATGGGAACAAGCCAGGCACCAACAGCTGGAGTTGCAGTGCTTAAGAGGTTCAGCTGCCTTTTAAAAGCAATACAAGGTTACAGGTAACTGTTAAAAATTTATATTTCAAACAACCTCCCATAACAACTAACTGTATAGTTTATTCAAGCAAAATTACTTTTCTTCCTTTTGACCACTGATGAATTATGAAATGGATAACAGAAAGGAAAGGAAAAGGGCTGGGGTTGTGGCTCAGTGGTAGAATTCTGGCCTAGCATGCTTGAGGCACTGAGTTCGATCCTCAGCACCACATAAATGTAAAATAAAGACATTGCAAAAAATAAATAAATAAATAAAGACATTGCATCCACTTAAAAAATAAATAAAAAAAGAAAAAGGAAAAATACTTTCACTTGTCAGAGGTGAAAAGAGGATCAAAAGTGTAAGTCAGGATGACAAGCAACAATAAAATTAAATCACTAGGAAAAAAACTGGGTTGCAAAAGGTGAGAATAATTCTACAGAAAGTCTGAAGAAAGGAGGAAAAAGGGGCAACCCTAATACTTTTTGAATTCGCTACATCAGGAAAGCAATTCAAAAAATAGGTGAAGCAGAGTTACATGCTAACTGAAAAACAGAAGAAACACCAACAGACCACAGACTCTTGAAACCTGTACCTAGAAAACGCGTGTGTGAGAGACCTCACGTTGGTGGGAGCTGCAAAACTAAACCAGATCTCTTTAATGGTCAGCTTCATGCTGCACGAGTCTGGAGGTGGAGGCATCAGGGGCAGATCTTTCTTCAAATCATCAGATTCGACACCTTCATCCTATACCAAACAAAATGCCAAAACTTGTTAATGTATAATTAATACCTTAAAAATACTAACATAGAAGTTTACTGGTGTTTCAGTGTGGAAACCTTTTCATCTAATTAGGTTTTCTACAGATAGCATTCTTACATGAAACAGACAATGTGAATCTTGCTCAACCTCAACCTGAGAAATATCTATGGAAACTTGAAAGCTCCAAGGAGCAACAACTGTAAAAACCACTTGCATTATAAAATGTAAATCAGAAATACAAGAACTCAAGAGCTTCGATTGATCACTTCATTCAGTTGTATTTGCTTATAGATACTCACCGCTACTTTTGCCAGCTAACGTAAGACTTGCCAGAAACCATGTGACTATTAAGCTGAAGAATACTTCAGAGAATTAAGGTCTCTGCAATCAGTCCACTCTCCACTTGACTTTAACACAATATTTCAAACTGGCAAATAAAGTATCCCCCAAAACACTACTGTAGCATGTACTTAAATACCACTTTGTAATAATAAAAAAAATTCTTAGCCATTTTGTAGCTAATAATCCGAATCTATACTGAGAAATATGAATGATATTTTTGAAATGGACAATCATCACTCTTCTGAATGTAGGGAGGTAAGTTGCATAATATTAAAGAAAAGGGTCTTCTACCAGTTATATCTATTTACAGATCTGTAATTTGCTTTTAAATACTATTAGCTAAGAAAAAAAAGTTTTGGTTTGTTTTGGTAGTATGATTAGAAAATGACGCATACACTAGGCACAGTAGTGTATGCCTATAATCCTACAAGGTTGAGAGGATGAGACAGGAGGATCAAAAGTTCAAAGCCAGCTTCAGCAACTTAGCCAGGCCCTTAGTAACTTAGTGAGACCCTGTGTCTAAGTAAAAATATAAAATAAAGGTCTGGGGATGTGGCTCAGTGGTTAAGCACCATTGGTACCCATTAAAAAAAAAAAAAAAGAAAATGAAGCATGTCCACAAAAAGAACTTAGAATCCTAAGGGTCACAAGTAATTATAACATCAAGAATCAATAATCAGGGGCTGGGGATGTGGCTCAAGCGGTAGCAAGCTCGCCTGGCATGCGTACGGCCCGGGTTCGATCCTCAGCACCACATACAATCAAAGATGTTGTGTCCGCCAAAAACTAAAAAATAAATATTAAAAAAAAATTCTCTCTAAAAAAAAAAAAAAAAGAATAATCATAGTGTTCAATCTCTTATCAGCAATTCTGAAATCTAAAAAGTTTCAAAAACCTGATTTACAAAGGGACAATAAAATCTGAACTGATGAGACACTATTTATCCGGCTTGATGTTTTTATTAATGCTGTGCAGAAATATTTAAAGATGAAGTGCTGTCTCACATCACATTAGGAGTTTATGTAACATGTAGTACATATTCCATGTTGCTTTTATTTTTCTTTAAAAAAAAAAAACAAAAACCTAAAGTGCAGTTGCTTCGGAGGCTGAGATACGAGAATGAATGGCCTGAGTACAGACAGTTGGAACCAGTCTACACAACACAGCAAGACTCCATCTCTTAAAATAATAATAATAATCTATGGGGATGGGGTCATAGCACAATGGTAGCATGTGTGAGGCACTAGGTTCAATTCTCATAAAAAATTAAATAAAATAAATATATAAAATTTATTTTTTTAAAAAATGTATGGCTGGTAGATAGCTCAGTGGTACAACTTCTGCCTTGTAAGTGCAACACCCTGGATTCAATCCCTAACACCCAAAAAAGTGTGCAAATAAAAATAGAAGTCTAATGTCTCAAAATACATTTCATCTCATAGGTTTTAGACCAGAAACAAAGAGCCAGAGATTGGGTATATAAAGATACAGAAAGAGCCAGAGATTGGGTATATAAAGATACAGAACTTGAGATTTTAAAAGGAGGGAAGGAGGGGTTTTATAGGAATAAACAATTAATTAATTAATAATGTACAGGTCCAGGCAAATTAGCAACAAATTTGCTTTTAAACTGATTGGCACTTCTGGCACCTATGGCACATCTAAATGCAGGAGTGTAAAAAGCCACTGGGCACAGTTCTGTAAAAAGCTAGTGCCAAAAGCATTGCTGGTGGAAGGAGTGTCACTAAACTGTGGGCCTGGCCTATGAAACCAGTCAGGGAGTAGATCAACAGCAAGAAAAAAAGAGGAGCCAACAACAGACCCTTGGGGGACCTCATACACTAGGAGAAAGAGCTCCATGAGGAAACAGACCAAGACAAGACAGGGAACCCACGGAAGGGAAAGTCAGAATCCAAGGACTTTCAGGAAGGAGAGCAGGAGCTCGGAGAGGGCCCTGAACTGCTGTCATTTCAATACACGATAATAGAGAAAGAACCGCTAGGTTCTTCCCAACTATTTTCTTCAGTGTGTAGCCATTATATTTGTAATTTCCTTAAAAACTGCTAACCACCCAAAACCTAAAAATAAAAAGTGACAACTGCCAAAGTACAGACCACACAGCTTACTCAGTACAGAACATAAACAAGGTGCTATGTAAGACTAAGATGGACAGAAATGTGCCACAGTCCTGGTACACTCTCCAATGAGCTATCACACTGAGCAGACAGCATGAGTCCAAAACAGGGAAGACAAGCAAATACATACTAACAATTCTGATTTCAGAGTATAGCTTTCTATATTATTTTTCCAAAGCATTATTATGTTAGAAAATCACCAACTTGTTCATCTGAGACAGAGTTTCCATTTAAGTCTGAGGAAGGGCTTGTCCGGTCACATGGAAGATTATCATCGGAGACATCAGTATTATAGCCACTGCCAGTTGGAGAATCTGAAGAATTGTTGGATGTCAGCACTCCACCCCTTTCTGTGGCATTAGCTTTACCCATAATTCCAAAACTGTTGTATAAAACAGCACCAGACTGTCTTCCTCCTGTAAAAGGGGATTTATTTGCTAAGAACAGCAGATATCCATATTTCAATGCTGAACTCTACACTATCTGCTTAAAATTTCATAAAGATCATGTTTGATCACTAAGACTCTGCCCTTATCTATAAATGTGATGTATGATTGAACTGTCAGGTAAATAACTGTAAGCATATAATTACTAATACTAGTTACTACATTGGAACTAATATTAACGAATATAACCAATGACTATATCTAAAAAATCTTACCACTATTCAATGCTCCTATTTTAAAATTATTCAATAACATTTAAGAAGAGATATATATATATATATAGTGTGTGTGTGAGTGTATATATGTGTGTGTGTAACTCAGTATCTTTCTGAGTAAAGGATTAATAATATCTACTAAATCAAAGACCAACTTTTCAAAGATGCAAACTTTCAAACAGCTGGGTGACTTTATATTTCACTTAGGAGGTTTTTCTGAATCACAGATTTTTGTTGTTGTTGTTGTTCAAACACTGAGGTTTGATACGAGTGGACATTCTGCCTAGCTATGGATCATGCAGTGGAGGGAACACCTCACTTGAGCAATTGGGATAGGGTACCCACTCCTGGTAAATAATCTCAGATATCACACTACTTTCAGCTTTATTATGTGGATTCAGGTAACTCAAAGTCACAACTGTTTAAAACATTTCAGAAATAAGGGCCCCAACTGCCCCCCACTTAACCAGTTCAACAACAACAACAATTACAAAAGCTTGCCTTTTATGGTTAAATTTTCAAGTCCACATTCAAACATTATCCAACCCCACTTTTCTTGGCTGGGACCTATTCGAGTTACATCTGGAACAGCTTGTTGATCTGTTTCATCTACAAAAGTAAATTCATCCAGTTCTTCAAGAGTAAATAAAACCTTGGACTTCTCAAAAGGAATAGCAGTGATGGCACAGGTCCCAATGTCTATTATTAAGAGAACAAAATGAATATTTTTAAAGACAGATGGTTTATACTTAAATTTACACATTTGCCACAGTGGCTGTCCTAAAAGGGTATCTTAATATTTTGCCAAAAAGACAGAAAAGTAAACAAATGAGCCAACTTTTAAAAGAATGCTACCTAAAAAGAAGATTCCATAATTCGTAAGTAATTGCTCAAAATTAGTATAAATCTGAAAGGTTACAGGGTACTCTAGATGTGTAGTCAATAAGCTCCTAAATAATTCAGCTTCATGGTAAAGTAATTTAAACCACTTTTAATCATTTTACCATATATATATATTTTAATTACCCAGCCTTAGAGAAAAACTATTTTCTAGGAAAATCACAGCTTTTCCTAAACAGCTTCTATTTAATCACTACAATTCATTAAAAATGTCCTGGTTCCATTGTTTACAGATACAAAAAGGAAACCACCATCCTTAGTGCCTGGGAGGTTTTATTATCTTATATTTTCTCATTTCTCTGATTACAGATAATGAACACAGAAAAGAAAAACTGAGAATATAAAAAAAAAACACACATATAAATTTACCACCCAAAGGTAACTTATTTATATTTGAAGTAAACACTTTCTAGCCCTTCATAAATAATTTTGCAAACTTGGCTTTGGATCCTACTTTTCATATAGCAGGAAACCATGATATAATTTTCTCTGGTAACTAAAAATTCTTTAATTTTAATAGCTATATATTATTCCATCATATGTAAATATCTTCTTTGCACTTAAAATTTGAAAACCTTCCTTGTTTAGAAAGCAAATATTTGCTTATGTTTTCCTATACTTTTCTTATTTTTGAATTACTGATATTTGTCTTTAATCCCATGAATACTCTAATCTTTACCAAATAAGGTAAGGATTTAGCTTGAATTTCACTTTGATTTCTTGATCAGGAAATACAATCAGTATATCAAAGTTCCAGAATTTATGAAAAGTGAATAACCCCTAACACTGCATTCAGACACCTAACTACTTCAACTCCCTATGGCTAGCAAATGTCATGAGATTACTAACAAATTTCTAACACATATTAAGTAAAGACATTTACATTTTTCCTATATATTTATACAACAGTCCACCTGGGGATGTCATTGTGAGTTTTGTCTTTGATGAGAAGTACTTCTGGATGATGGATATCAAAAATGACTTAAGGTACTGCTTACAGTCTGAATACCACCAAGTACAAACTGGTTACCATCATTGCAAACTACAGAGCTCTTAACATTCATGCCACTGTTTTTTTGTTTTGTTTTGTTGTTGTTGTTGTTTACACCAATTTTAGGACTACAGATTTCAGATAGTTAATAATTTTCTTGCAATCCCTAGGTCAAACATTTTGGCCTCATACACAAAGATAGTGAAATAAGTCTTGAAAAAGTCCAAGTGGTCACATAGACCCAGAATGTAGACAGGAGCCATGAAACCTTCAGAACCTGCAGAATGCAGAGTGCAAATTCCAGGAACTCATTTGTTCATTCAGGAATGGTCATCCATCCCAAAGCAATCATCTCAAATAAGACTAACAAACTCATTTTTCCCTCTGGATCAAATCTGACAAACTAAGGTCACTTAAACCTCAAAATGAGAAAACACATTAGAGTCCAAAATATTAAAATGCTACATATATTTCTTGTACTTACCAGGGACTTTAAGAGGAATGTTTATCACTTTTATTGCTGCCAGACGTTAAGTACAGGCTACCTGGACTTTGCTAATATTGCAATTAATTAATCTTCATGAAATTCTACAAACAAGTCAAACAACTGACCACTCTCTTTTGTAATAGGCAAACAATTACTATGAAGAAAATACATAGGAGAAAGATACATTCCTAATTTGAAGCCACATTTTTTTTTTTTTACCAAAGTTTACTTTCCATTATACACCGAATTTGAGTTAGTAAGAAGTCAGATACCATGCCTTCCATGTATGTAGAAATGCATTTCTTTTCCTTATATAATACTCAAATTGTAGCAATATTCAAAGGGAAAACTCATGTTCTCTATTGCAAACTCTTCTTATGTTTTCACACGCCAAGGAAAACCCTACATGCGGCAGAGCTTACCTGCTGTGTCAAGACCCCTGAGCTGACCGTGCACTCGATGAACATGTAACTTGGCAGCAATTTCTTTCCCTTTTTCTGCTCCAGCATTTGATCTGAGGGATCCAGATGACTGAGGTTGCATCTTAGTGGCATGAACGTATCTATCAAAATTTGTTGTTTTACTAGGGTCTGCATTATTTGAGGTCTCCTCAACTACACCTCTTTAAGAAAAAGAAAAAAGCATATATAAATGATATAGTTCTATGAAAATATTTAACTAAACAGCTTTCTTAAAAAAACCACTCCACTATTTTAACTAACTTAGTATTAATAACAAATTACTCAATGTTCACTGAAAAATATTAAGAATAAATAGAATACAAACTTTTAAAAACACACTTTACTAATCTGTGAGTCCAAAACAGTTTTAACATTATAATTCTCAGAAATGTATTAAAAAGATGAAATCAAGTCTTATGTTTGTATCTAGAAAAATGATCATGTCTCAATAAATTCTGTCTTACCTGTTCATACGAACTTGTGTAGCAATCCTGTCAAAACACAATGCCACTAGGGACACGTGAGTCACACTTCTACTAGGAGCTGTAGTTGGAGACTCTTCCACTGAGGCTTGTAACAAACATAAGTTTACCTACCACACAAAATATCACAAACTTGAGTTGTAAAATCAAAAGTTATTACTTAACCATAAAACACATGAAAAGGAGTAGCTACAAAGATGAACGGCACAACTATGCACTGGAAGATAAGGAGGTCATAAATTCCCAGAGAGGAATAGTAATAAATGTTTTATGGGGAGGACATGGAGCATTTTAAATACTGCTCAATATTCTGCTTAAGTAAGCCATTTATAATATATTAAATCTATATTATATCATCAAAGGAATAAAATGTTTTTGATTTTATCAACTCTTCAATACTTTGGTAAATGCAAAGCTCTATTTTCCCAAAAAAAATTTTTTTAAACATTCAAGTGTTACCTTTGGTATGCTAACATTAGCCTGTAGACCCTTAATTGTTACATTATCTTGTTTCATTGTAAGATTTGTCTGAGCTTGTCCTTGATTAGTTGTTCCTATTGTAGGGTGTTCAGTTTTTGTTCCTCGGACATCTTGTTTGGACGATAACTAAAATGAATGAAAACAGAATTATTTCCTAGGCCTTTCACAATTTCTACAGCATCCGCAATAACTTCTTATTCATTGAGCACCCTGCCCTATCTACATGCCAGCTACTGGTTCAACACTCCACCCTCAAGTCCAAACCTTTAGAACAGCTAGGAAACAGCCAGGCATGGTGGTGCATGCCTGTAATCCCAGCAGCTTGGGAGGCTGAGGCAAGAGGATCACAAATTCAAAACCAGTCTCTGAGCCTAAGCAACACTGTCTCAAAATAAAAATTAAAAAGGGCTGGGGATTTGGCTCAGTGGTTAAGCATCCCTGGGTTCAATCTCTGGTGCCAAAAATAAAAAAGAAGAGGAGGAGCTAGGAAACAGACCAGCAGCTATAAGGTCGAGAAAAGTCATCTATAGTCAAGAGAAATAAGTCTACAGAGAGACAGAACCAGCTAGTAACAGATTTTTTTTTTTAGGATCACTAAACTCTACTACTGGCTTGAAGATAGACCTGTTCTGATGACTGACTCCTTGTTGGTTGGGAACTGTTCCAATTTACATTTTTCCATATTCCTCTATCCTACCTATCACATAAATGTCAATATATAATGAATAATTGGTTCACTAAAAATAATCAGTCACACTTTCACCTCTTCTCTGCTCCCTAATCTAAATATGATACAGATAAGCTGAATGCCAAATGGAATCACCAGAAGATCACAGGATCTGACGACTATTAAGTAACTAGCTTCATGGCTAGAGCCATGGCATGCACAGGCTGTCACACACCAGGAGGCCATGACTTCATGCAGGACAATGTGATGTCAGAGTCAACTGATGCAGAGGAAAGTGAAACATGAGCATCTTTGCTTCTTAAAAAAGTAAGGTACCAGTCCTCAAGAATAGTCTTTCCCTGAGGACCAAGGGTCTTCAGAAAAGCCTCAGATCTAAGGTACTTCAAAATAAAAGGAAAAAGCTCCATTTCTTTTTTTTTTTTTTTTTGGAGTTACAGATGAACAGCATGCCTTTGTTTCTTATTTTTATGCAGTGCTAAGATCGAACCCAGTGCCTCACAAGCACAAGGCAAGCACTCTGCCACTGAACTACAGCCCCAGCTCCCTTCATTTCTTAAATAGGTACTTTTATTCCTATTTCATCATAGTACAATGACATCAAGGCTTTTGAACATGTCCACGTGGTTCCATTTAACTTGCTAACAATCTCTTCATACATCCATATTTCCCAAGTTTGGATATTCCACACACATGATGAGGACTCAATTTTCTAAGCCCATTAAAATAAAAGGCTCTTACATTTTCTGAGAAGGTAGTCTTGCTATTTTGGACGGCTTCCCTAAGGACTTTGGCATGGAGATCATCCACAATTGCAGCTGGATGTTGGGTACTAGCACAGTGAACCATAGCTTCAATGTATCTGAGGAAAGAAAAAAAGGTAAATTAAAAATTTAAATATTATTTAATATTATGACCTAATTCATCAGTGAAATCAGGCATTTGTATATTTACAACTCTTCAATGTTGAAATAAAAATGCCGCAATCACATCTTTTGAAATTACACAAGTGAGACATTTATGAGTTTCTACCTCATTGACCACCAGGTAGGCAAAGCTCTCTAAATTTTAGAGGTGCCAATCTTAGTGCTGCTCTTCAATCACTCCTTTTCTTTAACCAATGCATAAAAACATGAGGATCATACGTATTATTAATGCAGGAACATGTGTTGTTTCTATACACCTATATGTTGTGTAATGCCAAGGTTAAACCCTTATCTCCTTAGAAATCCATCATTTCTTTATGGTAAAAACTTTCCAACTCCTTGAGGCTTTCTGAAACGCACAGCACATTACTGTCACCTGAAGCCACCCTGCCGTACAACACAACACCATCGCATCTTGCTCCTATCCAGCTGTCACTCAGGGCCCCTTGATCGGCCTTCGCCTCTCCCCCAGTCCCCCTGACCTCTGGTGACCAGCTTTCTTCTCCTTCTCCAAGATCAATTTGTTGGATTCACATCTGAATGAGACCAGCGGAACTTGTGGTTCCGTGCCTGGCTCTCTGCACTCGACATAAAGTCCTCCAGTTCCATCCGAGGGGTCCCAAACAATAGGACCTCCCTTGCCTACTTGGCCAGTACTCCACTGTGTGCTTGGACCACACTGTCTGATCACTCAGGCTGTTCTGTCCTTGACTGCTGAGAATGCTGCAGGGAACCCGCGAGTGCGGCCGTCCTTGGACACACCAACTCCCTCACCTGACACCCACCCTGCAGTGGGGCTGCTGGATCGTAGGGTGCTGGTCTTTAATTCTGTGAGGACCCTCGTGGTTTCCGTAACACCTGTGCTACTGCACATTCCCACCCACGGGTGCAAAGCTCCACTTGTCCCCACAGACTTGCAGGCACTCACTATCCTCCATGATGGTCATTCTTACTGGGATGAGGTGAGATGGCACCATGGTTTTGATCTGCATTTCCCAGGGGTTAGTGAGGCTGACCTTTTTTCATATACCTGTGGGCCAGAGGTACTCTCAGAAAAAAAAAAAAAAACATGCCTATTTAGATACACTGCTCATTTTTAAACTGAGTTATTTATGTTCAGCTGCCACGTACACTCTGGATTTCAGTCTTGACAGGTGTGTTTCTTCCCACTCTGCAGGCTGTGTTTTCACTCTGTTGAGTGTCTCCTTTGCTGTGCAGAGACATTCACATTTGCTTCTGTTTCCTGTGCTCTTAAGAATCTTGTCCAAAAGCTCCCTACCCATACCAGTGACCTCAAGTGTCTCCCCGTTCTCTTCTAGTAGTCTCAAAGTCTCAGGTGTCACATAGAAGTCTCCATTCTTAATTGATTTTTTATAACTGGTGGGTTTTATTCTTTTATCATCTCCTGAAGATTTCCTATATTCCTAATTTGTCTGAGATCTCCTGAGAATCTTAACAATTTAAGTTATCAAAGAAAACTATGTGCCTTTGTAGAAAAGGAAGATCTACATGAGAACTGATCCCAACTAAACCCTATCTCTCCCTAACGCTCAGCACTCAGCATTTCCACACAACTCTGCATTCCACTTCAGCTTTGTTTACTTTAGTTTTATAACCCTAAGAAGACTGCAGGATGCTTGCAAGCAGAACATCTATCATTTCCTCTTATTCTTTCATTAACTAGATGGGAATTTGAGATAATAATTAGCTCCTGAGTATTTGGCCATTAACCCAATGCAGATAGATAGATAGATAGATAGATAGATAGATAGATAGATAGATAGATAGATATCAATAGAATAATCATTGTGATTTCATTATTTGGTTGAGAAAGTAACAAATGTTCACTAAAACACAGACCTTTTTAAACATACATCCATTTTTTTACTCAATCAAAAAAAGCTACCAGTGTTCACAGCTTTCACTAACACCAGCACCACCTCTAGCCCACCAAGCTCCAGCTGAAGGAGAAGGGGGATAAGTAAGAAGGTCTTTCTATCATGCTAAAGCAGACAGCCTGCAAACCGACCAGTGGTAAAGCACCCAGGAAAACAACTGGCTACAAAAGCCAATCTCAAGAATGGACCCCCTCTACTGGAGGGGTGAGGAAACACATCTGACAAGACTGATCAAGTCCACTGAACTTCTGATTCACAAACTCCCCTTCCAGCATCTGGTGCGAGAAATTGCTCAGGATTTCAAAACACATCTGCACTTCCAAGATACAGCTATTGGTGCTTTGCAGGAGGCAAGTGAGGCCTATCTAGTTGGCCTTTTTGAAAACCCCAACTGTGTATTAATCATGCCAAACATGAAACAATTATACCAGAAGACATCCAACTAGCACGCTGCATACACAGAGAACGTGCTTAAGAATTCACTACCATGGGAAACATTTCATTCTCAAAAAACACTTTTTCTCGTCTTCCTGTTATTGGTAGTTCTAAATGTTAGATATTTTTTTTCCATAGGGTCAAAAGGTACCTAAGTACCTAAGTATATAATTGAGAATGGAAAAAACAGGGGACAGAAATCAGGTATTGGCCATTTTTCCATTTCCATTTGGGTGTGAATTTTTAATATAAATTCGAGACGTAAAGCATTAATGCAAGTCAAAATGTTTCAGTGAACAAGTTTCAGCAATCCAACTGTATAACAATTACAAATAAAACTGTTAGATTTGTTTGGACAATGCCAGCATCAGGATTTTTTTAAACAAGTAAAATTCTTATTGACGGCAACTAAGTGGGGTTCTTAGCATTTTTGTCATACAGTAGATCCCAGGCATTCACTGTTAGTGTCTAACTGAGTTGTCCTCCATCTAAGTCCATGTCTTTAATGTTGTCTGTCTTCTGTGCTGTTCCTGTAAGTTTGCTACTAAAATACATTGAACTGTATCCAAAAAAAGCTATGAAACAATCTCCTATGTAAACATAAACATACCACATGTCATTTCAAAAAGCAACAGTTGCATTTTCACACAAAGTACCTGTCCACAGCTTCGGCCACCAGTGGAGTCAGAACAACATCCACGGTTCCCTTTACTTCAACTATGGCCGTGGTTCTGGTCTGAGAGACGGGCTGATCCAGTGTCCATTCTTCCGTTAACGTTTCATCATCTGTGTTATCAACAGTTTTCTTTTCCAGTGGAGTATATGGTGTACTGTGCCATTTAACCAGCAAAGCATATATTTAACAAGGAACAAGAACAAGAATAGAAGTAGGAAATTCCATAAGATGAGGAAACATTTAAACTGCATTTATTTTGGTGAAAAGTCATGGAATTGGACTTGATATTTCACATTCCAAATACTTTTCAAATACTGGCCAATGAGGTACTAAATTACAAATGGTTAAAGATGGCTAATATATTAAATGAGATAATCATTTTAAAATGTATTTACTTAATGAAGCTGTTCTAAAATAAGAAAAACATAGTACTGAGTTCTTAATAGCCCCCAGTTTTCATTTGCCACACTATGGCTTTCATAGCATGTTTCATAGTCATACTACAAATGCTTTTAAATAGAGCCAAAGCCATGACAAACAAAAAAAGCTTAATTTGGGGGGATAATTTGTTTTAAAATAAGGCCTGACCTCATCAAGAATGGTTATTACTCAGAATCAATTCCACCTCTCTCATAATCAAGGAATACTGATTTCAAACTTACACGCCATTTTTACTTACTTTGAAGTCGATCCTGAAAGTTGCATGCCTCTGTCTAGCAAAGAATTAGCTGTGAGCCCCTGTTTGATAACCTATAATAACACAAGGTATTAGTCTATAATTTTAATATTATTTCTCTAATTTAATGGCATTAACAGTATAGTGAACATCCATATACTTTGTTAATAGGATTTTGATATATTCAACCTAAATGTCTATTTGAAACAATCACAGAAAATACCCAACTTCATTCCTGTTTATGTCACTGTATGGCAGAGTAAAGCTGTGAGGGTTGAGCAATGAAGAGGAATACAACAGTATTGCAAATTCTTTTCCTCTACAGATGTTTTACATTGAGAGTTTCTGAAGCTCATTGTGGTCTTCTCCTAGCACAACCAATTTTTTAGATGTTTTTACTCATGCATTATAGTTATTTATAATATTGGGGTTCATTATTACAGTCACACATGTGCAGAATATAATTTGCTCCACTTCAATTAGTACAAAGCAAAAGAGACCCAGAGAAACATTAAGATTGTAGGAAAAGATAGACTTGTATTTTATATTCATAAAAGATAAAATGAATAAATGAATCTAACCAAACTGAACTCTAGTAAATACCAATTGGTTACTTAGATTTAATGGAGAAAACATTATGTTCTACATTTGAAGTTGTTTAAAGAATGAATTCCTTGACTCATCTTTTCCAGAGATTTGCCTGCTCAGCCAAACTAGAAATATGTTTTGTAAATACTGAAAAAATCCTATCCTGTCAAGTACTATTCTGCACACGTGTACAATTCAGTTTTATACAGAAAAAAGTCATATACTGACATATTTCCTCATGGAACAAAAAGAAAATTTTGAAATTCAGTAAGAGAAATTTATTTTGGACAAGATAATAAACGGGCAGAATTTAAAACCAAAGCTTCATAACTATCACTTAAAGCTTCTTACTTCTGTATACCACTCAAATGTCTATCGCTGGCAGGACCTCCGTCATTACTACTGTGCCTTGACCCCAAGCCTTTGTCATCTCCTAGACAAACCACTTTCATGACCTCCTAAACCACCCCTGAGTCCTCTCCCAAGGACAGTTTAATTCTACTTAATAGCCCAAGTACACGACAGCACATCTGTTTCCTCAAAGCTCTCGAGTTTCCCAACGCAATTAAAACATCAGAACTCCTGGTGCCACGGTCTGCAAGAACTGGACAACCTGGCCCTTGTTTAGACTTCTGCACTCACTGCTTCTCACTCACACCAACCCTCTCCCACAGTAGGGCCTCTACCTGAAATGCAGAGTCTCCCCCAGTCCTCTCATCGACAAGTCCTCCTCATCTACCTTCCATGTCAATATCATCTCAGTAGCTCCTCGCCATCATTCTCTAATCCAGCAGCCTTTGATTATCATAACAACCTTCTCAGTTTGAAACCAAATTCTAACCTGTCCATCTACCAGCGGTATGTCTCCCACCTCTCAACTAGAAGCTCCATGTCTGTTTCCCTCGTCGCTGTACAAAATGCCCAGCACAAAGTAAAATGTAATATCTGAATCAAGAAGGACTGAATACACTAAAAGTTAGACATGAAATACATATCTACACACACATATATATCAATGTGTGCATGCAGAAGTACATACTACCTAAGATTCCTGAACATCATTCATCAGTTCCATGTTTTATGCTTAATTTTGGTCTTTAATATCCTAAAATTTTCCCTTATAATTCTTCATTCTAAAAGTAGTTTTCATATTGGGTATCATAGCTGAATTTATTTTGAGATGTTTTTGGTTTTACTAAAAAAGTGACTTACAGGATACAGTACAATAATAGGCAATAATCACATTGATACAAAAATTTAAGAACTCAAATATGGAGTGAATGGAACTGGATTTGACTGAAAGCAAGGATTAGTAGAAAGAACAGTAACCACTATAAAGAAGGCCAAAATCTTATTTTTAAGATGCAGAACTATGATTTCACGAGAAAGAGTTGATTCTAACCTTAGGAGTAGTACATAATGTGGACAGACCATACGTTAATTTACTAGATTAATAAAATCTTAAACCATTGCTCAATTTGCTTAAGTTCATAATACTCATCAATAATCCTGAGATCTAACTGTTATACATGAAGCTACAATTTAAGAAAGTCTACCCGAAATGACTGAATAGTTCTGAAAACAACTTCTCAAAAATCTACTTTTCTGAATAAACACATTGCTAAAAACTAATGATTTGATGTATACCTTAAACGTTGGCACAGAAAGCTGTTCAAATGATGAGGAACTTTCTTCACTGGTTGGTGTATCCAGATCAAGGGGACGATGCAATGAGGATTTAGAGGTCCTTTTGTTGGTTGGGTGTTTAACTGACCAATTAAGTACCTGAAACTGAGTAAGGTAAGTCTGGTAACAATTCATCACAGGTTGCTGAGAAGTGATCTGTTCACTCTCCACTGGTTTCTCACCTTCCACAATATATAGATGTTCTACAACATCATCTTCTCCACCTAATGCAGAAACAAACGAAGCCTGGGAAGGATGAGTTTTGAATGGCAGAGTTGGAGGGTCCGGAACGCTTTCTCCGTGGCCAGTAAGTGGCCCTTCTACACTGTGATAGATGGAACCCCTACTGTAGTCTATCTGCTGTGCTTGCTTTTTCTTCTTTTTTCTGCCAGGGTAAGTACCAGGGCCTTCATCACTGCTAATGGGCTCCAATTCCTCAGCTGCAGAAAAGTAGGCTTCACTATCAGCCATTGACATGCTAGAATCCATTGATCGATACTGATGAAATGAATTAGAGTCTGCCGATGGTGTGTATGGGAATGAACCAAAACTTCTCCTCTGCTTTGGCGAGTCTAGTACATTCTCGTCACTCCGAGAGACATCACTACTAAACTGAACTCCAACTGTAACAGGCTGTTTGTCTCCATAAAAAGCAGCAGTAAGACTCTTAGTACTTCCAAGTCGGGTGGAACACACTGAGGCTTGTCGCTTCAAAGGAGATCTAAGAGGAGACTGACCTACTGATTTATCCTGAGTGTTAGGAGACACAGGGCTGTTTCCTGAAATTTCTGCAGGAGTGCTAAAACAGAAAGCAAAACTATCAATATTTTCAGTGTCATATAATGTAAGCATAAACAGAGATCACCTGTATAATCTTTTTAGTGATTCTGCATTTACAAATACAAGAAAATCTGAAATTTTATCATATCCAAAGTAGCAAAATATGTGTTCAAATCCCCCATACGTTTCCAAAAAACAACTGAGCAGCTTAAACAATTACTGCGGCTTTACAATAAATCTACAAAGGTTTCAAGGGACAAAGATTTAGGTTGAAGTTTTACATTAAAAGATGTTAGCTAAAGATCATAGTGAAGCCAAACCGCTATGAGACTGTCTAGGGAAACAGTAGAGAATCTATGGAGAAGATGTACAGAGGGCTCAGTGGTGGAGCACTTGCCTAGCTCAGGGAAAGAGCTGGGTCTACCCTCAGCACCACATAAAAACAAATGAATAGAATGAAGGTGTTGTGTCCAACCACAACTTTAAAAACATAGGAGTTCACGGGGCCAACAGTGCTCAACAAGTGGCAGGCTGTAAAACTAGAAGGAAGGAAGAAAAATACAGGGCCTGGCAATGGAGCCCAAAGAGGAGGAAAAGGGAAAGGCACCATCCAGTCACTAAGCGACTGTGCTTCCCGAGAAGGGAATGGCCGACCTTTACAGTGCTCAGAGGAGGACCAGAGAATACTCACTAGATGAGAGGACAGTACGTGAATGCTAACAATGATCCATTCTGAGCACTGAGAAGAGAAGAAATACTGATTTTTGTATTTTTGTAATATCTTCAGATTGTGTGTGTGTGTCATATTCATGAATAAAAAATTTACTCTGAAATACAGATTAACACTTTAAAATATGTAATTATGTTCAGGTACAAAACAATTTTTCTAAAGTTAAGGAGTAGAAAGGGAAGAACTTTTTCTTCTTATCACTATTTTAAGTAATTACACTCCTATCATGATCAAGTTTCTAAATCTAATTGAATACTGACCTCCCTTGGCCATCATCTCTTTTCGTACCATGCAAGAACTCTTTCTGAACCAAGTGGTCGTCAGCAACAGAAGACGGGCTTTCCTTTTCACCGGCCAACAAAGGCTGAGCAGCACTGGAACTGCTGTTCTCCTCTGAGGAAGAGGATGAACTGTGAGATCTCAGTGGAACCTGAAGACTCAGATGCTGAGCTTTTCTCTCTACTTCCATTCCCACTGACTTGTTTTCCCAGTCCTTCCTTTTTGTACCATTCACATTACCTAAACAAATAAAACATGGTTTAAGTGAACATAAAAATTTCAATAGCAATTTAGGAAAAATATGCCAATGTGATTCCATTTTTTAAAGTATGATCATTTTTTTAAAAAAGCAAGTATCTAATTTCATGAAGTAATGTGTGAAAAACAGTAGAAAGATTATCTGCATATGGGGCTGAGGTCATAGCTCAGTGGTTGAGCGCTTGCCTCAAATGCATGAGGCACTGGGTTGGAGCCTCAGAACCAAGTAAAATAAATAAATAAATAATAGAGATATTGTGTCCATCTACAACTAAAAAAAATTTTTTTAAAAAGATTATCTACAGTCCCTATATGGTGACCTTCTCCTTTTTTAATCTTTTATTTAAAAATTTTTAAGGCTGGGAGGTAGCTCACGGGTAGAGCAGAGCACATTCTTAGCATGTAGCTCTGGGCACAATCCCCAGCATGGGAAAAAGAAAAATTCACATTTATAGAAAACTTTCAGGAATAACATCAAGAACACAGAATACCTTTGATCCAGATTTACTTATTTTTAAACATTTTGCCCTATTTACGATAAAAAGTTCAATGAGACCAGGAGAGCAAGGATTACACCGTTTCTCACATACTGATGTACTCCCAGTGCCTGCAGCCAATGCCTCAGACACAGAGCACCCACTCAATGGCTCTATGAATGAAAGAATAAGACTTCACAGCAGAGTGGAGCACAGCTGCCTCTAAGCATCATCAGAGCCCCAAGGGGTGTCACATAAGGGAGGGAGCAAGGGATAAAAAAAAAAAAGCTCTGCAGCTGCTCACAGTGCAGGGGAAGTTGGGCGGGGGGACGACTACCTCTTGCTCAACTTTCTCTTTCCTCCAGCCACCCCTGCATCACCCAAGGAAAGAAACCTGCTAGCCAGGCTTGGTTGCATACGCCTATAATCCCAGTGGCTCGGGAGGCTGAGAAACGAAGATTTCAAGTTTGAGACCAGCCTCAGCAACTTAGCAAAGGACTAAGCAACTCAGTGAGACCCTGTCTCTAAATAAAAAACACAAAATAGGGCTGAGGATGTGGCTCAGTTGTTGAATGCCCCTGAGTTCAACCTCCAGTACCAAAAAAAAGGAAAAAGAAAAGGAACCTGCTAGTAGGAGACCTTCTGAATGGAATGCAGTTCCACACAGAACTCAGGGGTACAAGAGTTACACACCTAGAATAGAAGCAACATTTACTTCAACTACAAATGTGAAACGGAAAAAAGAACGAGTTCAATCCACTTGTACATAAGAGGAACTAAGTGGGCCCTCAATTCTATTAGTGTAGCTTCTTTATTCTAGCCTGACACTAGACAGCTATACTCAGCTCCCAGGAGACTCAACAAATCAAAAATCTATCGTTATCCTTTAAATGCCAAGAAGTTTTGGTTATTTGCTGATTTTATAACATAATCTGCTCTTACTTTGGTAAAACTGCTAAAGTAAAATGATCTTACAATAGCATGTACATGGCTATGTATTACTATTCAGTGAATAATCATTTAAACAGGTACTGAACATACATGGTCCACTTCTTTCTTCTAATACCTATACCTGGGGAAATATATCTGACAAGATTCTTAAAATCAAAACTACAGCTCCCTCACCACCCCCCTGTTTTTTGGTCTACTGTCAAAAAGCAGAACTAAATACTCTTATGTTTTTGAATAGATTAAGGAAAAAAGGTTAAATGTTAGTGAAACATCCAAACTTGTCTACATTTCACATTTTTGCAGCACAGCAACTTGAACAATAAACATTATGCTTAACAGATGATTACATAACTAAAGGAACATCTGTTTCCAAAGTTGTTCAATCTGAGACCCTTTAAAGCTAGCATGTACTGTTAATACCAAACTAGTGGATTTGCAAAGTTATCCCAAGGACTCTAATGAAAGACCAGATTTCTCCTTCTCACATGTTTAAGTTTAGTGATTTAAAAGAAAATTAAGAGTATTGCAAAAGTGGTTGGTACATGGGGGCCAATTATACAAATGATATTGTCAATACATTTTCCTATAAAAAGAGGCTGGTAAAACAAAGTTGAAGGACAGTTACTCCTCAGTATATATCTGGAAGCTGAGTTATAAAAAATAATAATATACAAGGAAATATTTAGCTTAAATTTTGTGAGGAAAGCCACCTATGTCAACAGTAGGAGATCTGAATAGATCTACTTTGGACATGTGTAACTTTGAAAACAATTATTAGTCTTTTCTGGCTTTTGTTACAGTATATGCAAAAAAAAAAAAATAGAGATTATATTAAACCTTACTGACAACACCCCTCAAAAAAATTAATCAATTTGAACAAAGTAACACAGATGTTCTCTCAGGATGGCTTAGGAGTAGTGATAATAAAAGATTAGCATGAGACACATTTTCTCACCATCTATGATTTTGGGGATTTCTTTAGTAATGATCCATTCTCCAGGCTGTAGTAGAGACTGTCCATAATACATATCAGACTCTGCAGCACTTGTGCTGGAAAATGCAGAGCTACTGGACGGTGTCAGCTCTTCGAGTCTGAAGAAATCCAGGCCAGTCACCGTGCCACCAAAAAACCTGCAGCCCCCGAGACAGCCACACTTGTTTCTGCACCTCTTGTTCTTCAGGGGATCATCAGGCCACAGAAACCACAACCTAACACAATCAGACAGACCCAGAAAAGAACACATTAAGAAAAAAACATAACTCTTATTAAAATAACATAAACACAAACGAAAAGGTTTAGTTTTTCTGTGGTATATCTTTTTAATCATTTGCCTTTCAAAAAAAAAAAGCAGTTTTACCACAGTGAGATGGAAATAAGTAGAATAATGATAATAAATATAGTATATATTTAAAAAGCAAAGAATTAAAAAAGCAAATACAAAATTAAAAAAATGAGACAATTAGCTCCAGGTTTAAAACATTCTCAAAACAACCACAATTTCTATTTTTCAAAATAAATTTAATTCAGTTTTTTAACTCATACATTTAAAAAAAATAAAAATTATCCCCTGACAGGCGAAGCCTGTAAGTAGTACAAGATCTGTGCTCGTCACAATTCCTGACAAGCACAGTTCTGAAGCTGGCCTAAGGAGCTGCAAGGAATACCCAAGGTCCCCAGGAGTCAGTTCCCCAGCTTCAAGGGCACCTGGCTCTGCCACTTAGCTTAACTGAAAACAAGCACTGCACCAGGTTGGCTTCCTGAGCAACAACCAACCAAGAAACCCAGGTTCTTTAGTTTTTGAGAATATGGACTGGGGATGTGGCTCAGAGGATAAACACCCCGGGGTTTAATCCTTGGTATCAAAAAAAAAATTGGTAAGAAAAATATCAATACTCAAATAAATGAACACAGACTATTAATAAGATATTGACAAGTCAAAACAGCTAACTAGTATGTGAAAAAAATTGTCTCAGAAGTAAAGAAATGTATAATAAGGAGAGACCTAACCTTTCAGTTATCATAAACCCTCAAAAGGTAGCAAAGGCACAGTGAGACAGGACTCTCCTAAAATCCAGGGGATGTAGGCTGAAATAATTTCTCACAGAAGTAATTTGGTAATGCATATCAAAAGTCTCAGTTTTGTAAACCGTATAAGATTAAAGTATAGGGCTGGGGATGTGGCTCAAGCAGTAGCACGCTCGCCTGGCATGCGTGCAGCCCAGGTTCAATTCTCAGCACCACATACAAACAGAGATGTTGTGTCTGCCAAAAACTAAAAAACAAATATTAAAAATTTTTAAAAAAGATTAAAGTATAAAGTATAAGTGTACATATATGAAGTATAAGAAAACTACACCTAAAATTCTGGAAAGATATACAACAAAATTCTTTGAGGTAAGGTTATGAATGTTCGAAACCTGCCAGTACTCAGCAAAATCCTCTGGCACTACCTGTTTACAACACTGGCATACACACTTTCATAAAGCAATGTCATAATAATTCAGTTAGAATTAAAAAGTAGTGAAAAGTTCTTATAAGTTCACTGAAGTGCAGCAGTGTCATCACGCCGAGTCTTTAATCCAAATGTCCTTATTCCACTCCTAAAAAAATTTTCTCTATAATTTTCTAATACTTTTTATCTGAACCTAAGATGGCTTCCATTCTTAAAATTTTCACTTACCTCTTAGTTCTGGCATCATGAGCTTCTAGGAAATGTCTCTGTGCCTCGTGTTTAGAATGATGATCAGCAGCCAATGCAATATCAACAGTAATAAGTCCTAAATTGGCTGACCCAGCTTCAAGCCAGTAGGCCCTCCGGAGCACTGCAGGCTGAAGTCCAACTCTGCAGCTATTGACTTGCTCAATGTACTGTCTCACTTGAACATCCTGAATTGCAGCACTTATTCCTTCCCCGACAGATGGATTGTGGAGATTACAGTTTGCAACCCGAATTGCACCCATCTAAAGTTGAATGAAACAAATGAAAAAAAGCTAGAACCTCTGTATTTTTAAGTAACCTAGCATCATCTACAGAGCAGGCAATCATTTCAAGCAGAGGGAAAAGATATTTAGAAGAAAAAAAGGAAAATACTAGAAAGGGGGGAAACAGAAAAGGCAAATTCACGAATAGAAGAGAAGCAGAGCTGCAATGACCGAGAGAGGACAGAGGCAGAGGAGCAAGAGCATCAAGGACAGGTGCGCCCAGTCGGTGGGCAGTGAGGAAAGGAGCCACAACCACTCAACAAGGCCATGCGCAACAGCCACCCAGAGTGCAGAGGTGGCAAACCAATGTCCCCAGGAGCAGGGCAAGAAACAGGAATGTTCGAAACCTGCCAGTACTCAGCAAAATCCTCTGGCACTACCTGTTTACAACACTGGCATACACACTTTCATAAAGCAATGTCACAATAATTCAGTTAGAATTAAAAAGTGGTGAAAGTACTTTAAAATACAATAGAGGAAGACAAAATGAATGAGTAAAACTCAGGAAGATATCTTCTAAAGTTATGTGCTAGTCTGTGAGATGACAAGCTATAAAGTGTGTTGTACCTCAAGATATAAAGGTTTGGCATAGTAAAAGAAAAAATTACACAGGCCAAGAAAAAGACAAACACTTGCCTTTATATTTGTAGCACAGCCATGCTCCACAATATAAATATCAGCTCCATCTACTGCTAAACGAGTCATAGTGTATTTCAAATCATCTGAAGTTGGGCAAGGCCCGGGAATACAACTCAACTAAAATGAAAAAGAATTGTATAATTAATTCATCACAAGCAACACACTGTTGTGATACTTAACTAAACTCTCCTTATTTAAACAAATGAAATTCTAGTTATATGTATTTTTTTTAATCAGTAGGTTAGCTGGGCAAGGTGTTGCATGCCTGTAATTCTAGCAACTTCGAAGGCTGAGGCAGGAGGATACCAAGTTTGAAGTCAGTCTTAGCAACTCAGCAAGACCCTAAGAAACTTAGGAAAATCCTATCTCAAAAAATTTTTGAAAGGCGGGGATGGGGGAGATGCAACTCAGTTGTAAAGTGCCCCTGGGTTAAATCCCCAGTATGGGGGTGAGAGTAATCAGTCAGTTAAATTTCTTTCTCTTACAATGATAAATAAAGCCATCAGCAATCTAAGTGTTCCCAATAGAACACTAGTCTCATATAACTGCCATTTTCATCAAAATTGCCAAGTAGCAAACCTATTTCACTTAATACACATAAATTTGTTGCCAAGACTCAATAAGAATAGTCCAAGTTTGTAAGAATTGTCTGAGAGTTTAGAGGTAGGCGGTCTCCCTGTGAGAATACCCCCCACCCTGCACACACTGTTTTCACACATCCACAGATAAAACAACTGTAAATATCACGGTGATACCTAGGACAATCCACACAAATTTAACTTTGTTTTGTTCCCAAAATACAGATTTGGTAATGCCTAGGCTGGAAGAAGCCTGCACATCACCTACTTCAATAAACCTGAGGAAATGGCAGACTAAGGGAGTCCTGACCCGCCAGCATGTAAACATGCTCACTACGGCACCGCCAGGACTGCAGTCGGGGCCTTCGGGACACTGACGCTTTGCCCTGATCTATCTGCTCCAGACAAAGGCAGAGAGACACAAAGGAAGTTTTCAAAATGACAGAAATGTTCTCTATTGTTACTGGTGATAATCATTACTAGCATGATTAGAACATTTGTCAAAAACTCAAACCAGTCAACTTAAAAAGGGTGAATTTACTATATGTAAAAATATACCCCAATATACTTGACTTTAAAAAATTTCATGTCACATAAAAGCTTTGAGTTAAAGCGGGGAACCTAAAGGTATGTGTGAATTATCCATAAGAACTAACTGCCTGACATATAAGTAAGGGGACGGTTCCCAAAAGGAAAAACACTTTATCAAAACTTAAAGAGCTATTTCCTTTATTATCAGCACATAAGCATAGTGTGACTTTTTCAGACATAAAATTAAAAGCACAATAAATTACTTTAATTCACAATAATATTACAGCACATAAATATAGCTTGTATGGAAAAAAATCCAAATAAGAAAGAAAAACTAAATTGTTAATAATGGTCTTCTTTTACACTTTTCAAATTTCCATAATTTCTAGGTTTTTGGAAATAAGTCCCCATTCCAAATTCACCAGGGAGAGTATTTACTGCACAAAACACCACACATTTCAGTGCCACTGTGTACATTCTAGGGATCACTGTCTACTTTTTTAAATCCTGAGAAGGAACCATAATGACATATATCAAGGCAGTTCCATGTCCTGAAAAGATAATGAGATCTGGAATCGGGAAATCTGGCCAATGTCCAACATTGCTAATCACATTGTAGGATATTAGACATGTTCCAGAATGGTCTGCAAATCAAGCCACATAAGGAATTGTTCCTTCCTGTTGCTTCAATTTCTAAATCTTCTACAGACACAGCCATATTGCAAATAATACACTAAGATAAAAATTTTAACAGTAAAAATATATATGCGTGAATGTGTATGTTTTAATAATTCTCTTATATTTTAGATATAGTGACTAAGAATTTACACAATAATTAACCAAAAAAAAAGCTAAACTATACTGTTTACTTCATGGTTATACACATTTTAGTTAAAGCTGAATCTTGATCTTCCATTTAAAAAAAAGTCATACATGTGTATATACTGCTAACATTTGTTAACATACCTTGGACTCACAGACTCGACGGTCAATCCCATGCTGACATATGATTACAGATTTTGGTCTTTCCAGTTCATATTCCCGGCACACCACGTGAAAAATAAATGTCTGTCCCCACTCCAAGAGACACGCCAGCTAAGATAACCAGGGACAGGGTGACAATACGGTTAGCACCTAAACAGGGTTTGGCACTCAGCAACCCGTGAAGAACATCAGCTGGCTTGAAAGAGCACAAATGCTGCTTTACACCTGCTGCTTGATAACCTGCCTGTTAGCAAGAGCTTCCTCTACCTCGACATCACTCGGAAGCCTGTGTTCCTCTTCATTTGTGAAAGGTAAAATGCATCACCAAAATGAACTTTATTTCAGCTGAAAAGTTCCCCTTCAGCAACTTCCAAAACAAACAATTTTCTTCAAAGTCATACATTCTTTGCACACAAAAGCACCTAAAATTCTGTCTCATAATAAACAACTTTGATGTAAATTTTTTTGATATTTAATTATCATTATCATACTGAGCTACAATTTTGGAAAACTGGGTATTTTGAATTACTATAAGGCACATTTGTTTATGTAATTAAAAGTTTAATGATATATCAATTCTTCAAATCTATAGTTTAAATTAAAAAGTGCTTTAGTTTTGTAACTGATTCAAGCTGTTTAAACAATAAACATACTGAGGAATGGTTATACATTACATTATAACCCCCAAAGCAGTTCATAATTTCAACTATTAGAAAACATGAATTTCAGATGATAAGACATTTAAGTGTCTACAGGTTCATGAGGCATGCAATCCATGACGAGAGTGCAGTGCAGAAAGAAAGGGTTATCTTATAATGATGGTTTATAAACACAGGAACTCTTAGTCCTCAGAATAAAACTGCATCCAGTTCTGTGGGTTCAGCATGACTTTATCCTCTCATCAGGAACAAGCTCCTCTGTTATATACAAGTTTGTACTTGAAGACTTAGGGACAAGAAACGGGGAATAGTAAGAAGAAGACAGTTACAAAGCCAGTAAGTGCTGAATGTTCCCTGTCATGCATTTTTGTATATATTCATTTCTTTTCACCCATTTGTTTACATGTCATTATATCCCAACATTATACTGAGATGTTATCCAACTCCAAAATACCACCTTCAACTTCATTCATTCTCCTACTATTTTTTAGGAGATCAGTGTCGCTGCCCTCCTACTACAGCTTCTTTGAGGTATACAAGGTACTTGGATTCTTGGTTTACCTCCCTCCTGCTACCACCTGATTCTTTGTTTCATACCTATTCTGTAACTTTTTACCAAAATGGAGTATGAACATTTATACCACATTCCAGTCCTAAAATACAAAGCATTCATATTATCATAAATACATGTCTCAACAGGTAAAACGTTACAGCAACACAGCTCTTCAATTAAAGTTGGGCTGTCTATTTCTAGAACTAAATAATCCTTAAGGCCTCTGAGCCTTGTAAAAGTCAGTCAGATTGTGTTAGGGATGAACTTATCCAAAGGGACCACACTTAGCTCTAAAGACCAAATTTACTTGTTAGTAAATCCATTATTTCAAAAACCAGTATCCATTAAGACTAGATCATATGCACAGATTATATGATCTTGCTTTGGGACATGACAAGAATCCTCAGCAACACAAGGGTGAGTTTCAAACCTTACTTAAGAAATATACTAGAAAGCAAAGTTCTTATAAAGTTATTCTATATACTAGGGGAAACCAAAGGTTATTTTAATTGCAGAGGGCCAACTAGTATAATTTGAAGAATACATTAATCTGGTTTCTAGAACAGTTCTCATCCTGAGTTTTTCCCAAAGAAAGTCTCAAATTCTTGTGACTATCTCTAGAACTACATAATACTGTCAATTATATCTAGCTCAGAAAGTGACCCTTGCCTCTGACTCAACTACTGCTAAGAAAGTCCTGAACAGCAAGGAGGACAGTCCACCAGCGCTCCCCCAGAACCTCCTCAGTGGAAACGCAGTGATCAGTGCACTGTCACACAAGCTGTCCTGGAGAGCTGGGAGGAAGGAGAAGGAGGTGTGTTAGGTCACAGTGCTGGGAGGACCGTACCTGTGGTGCAGTGACCTTGGCTGTAAGGCTTCCAGCCTGCACGTCGATTAGCCAGGCATACTCTAAGGAATCGCTTCCCAAAGGAAGCCCTTCTGCAGAGAACATAGCATGCGCTCTCAGCTGCAGACCTGACAGATGGATGTGCCCTTCCCTGAGTACGTCGTCCACGGGGGGTCGCTGCTGGAAACAAGAAGACGTTAAGAAGTACATCAAAACCTCCTCATGATTCATACTTGCTTTACCCTCCTGGAGCTGGACACTACTCTAAATCACGCTACCACAACTGGGGGCTCATAAAGATTGTCAGAAGTAAGCTACTTCTGACAATCTTTATGAGCCCTCAGCTACGTCAGTGACAGTACCTCTGAAAGCCCGACTACAAAAATCTGATAGCTAAGTCCTAATTGGTCTGATTGGTAACTGCCTCCAGGAAAAAGAAACTAGGGCACTAACAAGGAATGCCAGAGCCCAATGTTTTGTGGGAAGGCCAGGAATCATGAGATTAAAATATCAAGAGAGTAAAAAAAGGGAAGAATAAAGACCAATATGACCATAACATGAAGAATGCAGGGGAGGGTCACCCAGATCCATGAAGATTTTGAGGACTATGTAAATAAAAGAATAGCTTTTATCTTGCAGAGAATACTTGTATACTTACTCTATAGTGAGAGAAAATTTGTAAGACACATTTAGAAAGAAAAAGGATAAGTGTAACAGGGCATTCCATGGAATACTAGTTCCACAGACCACTGTTAAGAACACAGGATCAAGGACATTAGGCAATGCCTTCCCATTAATCAGCCATTTCTGTAGAATCTACCTCACAATTTGTTGTCTGTCTCAGCAAATACCCTTGACCTTCTTCTATCTGTACTGCTATGACTCTTTTTGCCAAGACTTTGACAAGCATTCCAGCATTCACTTCTGAATCTCGATGCTCAGTCAACAACCACAGGGGCTTTTCAAAAGGCAAGTTTGACCACATTCTTGTCTCCAAACAATTACATGCTTCCAAAGCAATGTCTACCTCTCCTTCCAGCACTTTTACACTATGAATTATTTATTTTAATCTCCATATTTATATTCTCCACCAGGTTCATTAGGTAAGGACCATTTCTGTCTTGTTCCCTCAGTATCTCACCTAACAATACTAAAAAGAGATGCTGCTGACTGAGGAGTCAGATTTTCTCACAAGTATTCTCAGGACCTTCAAGACACCATTCTACATTGAGACAGCTCACAGGTGTCTCTCCACCTAGTTTCATCTGTGTGCGGGGGCCATCACACAGGGTTAGTGTTCCTTGCTTTCAACACATTTGTGGAAATGCATTCTTTAAAAATAATTTATTTTGTTTTGTTGAATGTCCAATAAGGCCTTTTTTGAAAGTACAGTGGTTAAAATAAAAGTAAAGCACTATTAAGTACTCACAAACAAACCAACACTCAACTAAGATGCTCAGAACTCGCCCATAAGAGATTCCCCATTTCTCTTTATTAATTTCTTCAACAAATTAAAAAACGGGGATGTACTTCCTCTCAATACACTTGTCCCCAGCTCTTATAAACCACTAATTGCAGAGAAGCACAAGAGGTATTTTAAGGCTAAAATAAACTGTTATGCAAGCTTGGTATTATGAAGATAGAGGAGTTCACAATGGTGGAGTTATACAAACCTATACATGTGGTAATACAACCCGGAACTACAAACACATGCTGAACCAGTATCAATGTCCTTGGTTTTGATACTGCACAATGATTACATAAGAGTCTCGCGCCATGGGGAGCACAAGGTAAAGGGTCTACATGGTGTGTCTCTGTGCTATCTTGCCAATTTCCTCTGAATTTGTAATTACTTAAAAGTCAAAAAAGTTTAAAAGAAGGAAACACCCATTCTGTGGCACAACCAAAAACAATGTCTAAAACACACCATGTATTGATTTTTAGCTATCACAATCTCAGCTGTGTCCACATATAAATGCAAGAAAGTAAACTAAAATTATATCAAGAAAAACATAGCTATGGCTAAAGAGTGAAAAGGAATATGCTATTTTTTAAAAAATGCTCAGTTACCACATATAATTCACAATAATGACCACCTATTGATGATTTTGGACTGTCAGATTCATCTTCCCATTTATAATTTTATTTGTCTTGTATTAAAATTCATTTTCTATGCTGTACCATTGGTCTTCAGGTCTGTTTCAGTGCTATTTTTGTTATTAGAGCTCTGTAGTATAACTTAAGGTCTGGTATCATGATGCCTCCTGCTTCACTTTTGCTAAAGTTTGCTTTGGCTACTCTGGGCCTCTTATTTTTCCAAATGAATTTCATTATTGCTTTTTCTATTTTTATGAAGAACACTATTAGAACCTTAATAGGAACTGCATTAAATCTGTATAGCACTTTTGGTGGTATGGCCATTTTGACGATATTAATTCTACCTATCCAAGAACATGGGAGATCTTTCCATCTTCTAAGGTCTTCTTCAATTTCTTTCTTTAGTGTTCTATAGTTTTAATTATAGTGGTCTTTCGCCTTTTTTATTAGATTGATTCCCAAATATTTTCTTTTCTCTGAGGCTATTGTGAATGGGATAATTTCTTTTTCAGTTGATTCATCACTGATATATAAGGATGGAAATGATTTATGGGTGTTAATATTATATCCTGCTACTTTGCTGAATTCATTTATGAGTTTTAGAAGTTTTCTGGTGGAGTTTCTGGGGTCTTCTAAATATAGAATCATGTCCTCGGCAAATAGTGGTAGTTTAAGTTCTTCTTTTCCTACTTGTATCTTTTTTTAATTCCTTTTTTCTAATTGCTCTGGCTAGGGTTTCCAGGACTATGCTGAATAGAAGTGGTGAAAGACGGCATGCCTGTCTTGCTCCAGTTTTTAGAAGGAATGCTTCCAGTTTTTCTCCATTTAGACAAACTCACATAAACATAGTTATCTCATCCTAGACAAAGATGTCATAAACATACACTGGAGAAAAAGAGAGCCTCTTCCAACAAATGATGCTGGGAAAACTGGAAATGCATATGTAACAAAATGAAATTAGATCCCTATCTCTCACCATGCACAAAACTTGTCTCTTAAGTGGCTCAAAGACCTAAGCATTAGACTAGAGACCCTATGCCTACTAGAAGAAAAAGTAGGCCCAAATCTCCATCATGTTGGCTTAGGAACCAAATTCTCAACTAGACTCTGAAAGTGCAAAAAGTAAAATCAAGAATCAATAAATGGGAAGGTATCAAACCAAAAAGCTTCTTCACAGCAAAGGAAACAATCAAGAATTGAAGACAGAGCCTACAGAATAGGAAAAAATCTTTGCCACCTGCCCCTCAAATACAGCATTAATTTCCAGGATATATAAAGAACTCAAAAAACTTAACACCAACAAAATAAAATAACCCAATCAATAAACAGGCAAAGGAACTAAACATATGCTTCACAGAAGAAGAAATATAAATGGTTGACAGATATATGAAAAAAATGTTCACCATCACTAGCAATTAGAGAAATGCAAATTAAAACTACACTGAGATTTCACCTCATTCCAGTCAGAATGGCAGGTATAAAGAATATAACTAACAAAAAATGTTGCCAAGGATGTGGAGGGAAAAGATACACTTGTATATTAGTGGTGGACTGCAAATTGGTGCAAGCACCCTGGAAAACAATAGATCCCTCAGAAAACTTGGAATGGAACCACCATTTGACCTAGTTATCCCACTCCTCAGCATACACCCAAAGGACTTAAAATCAGCATACTACAGTGACACAGCCACATCAATGTTCATAGCAGCTCAATTCACAATAGCTAAGCCATGGAACCAACCTAGGTGCCCTTCAACAGATGAATGGATGATATAAACACACAACGAATATTTCTCAGCCAAGAAGAAGAATGAAAATACAGCATTTGCCTGATAAATGAATGGAACTGGAGGCAATCATGTTAAGTGAAATAAGCCAATCCCAAAAAAAACAAAGGCTTAATATTCTCTGGTATGCAGATGCTGAATCACAATGTGGAAAATGGAGGTTCACCGGATTGGTTAGGGGGTATGAGGGGAAGGAATGGGAAATGGAAAAGATAGTAGAATGAATTAGACATAACTTTGCTATGTTAATGTATGAATATATGACCAGTGTACCCCCACATTATGTATAACCACAAGAATTGGAAGTTTATACTCCATGTATGTATGATATGTCATAATATATTCTACTGTCATGTATAACTAATAAGAACAAATTTAAAAAATAGAGAGGAGACCAAAAAAAAATCCATTTCCTAAATCATATAATGTGAACAGAGGTAGGGAAGTTCCCTAAAATCAGTAGTAGGGGGCTGGGGTTGTGGCTCAGTGATAAGCACTCGCCTAGCACGTACAAGGCCCTGGGTTCGATCCTTAGGACCACATAAAAAAAAATAAATTAAATAAAGGTATTGTGTCCAACTACAACTAAAAAATAATTTTTTTTTTTTAAATCAGTAGTAGGTACCAAGAGAAGCTACTTGGCATTTAAAAAATAATTTAAAAAGTGATAATCCAGCCAGAGATATAATAATTCTCCGTTTGATTAATATCACTGGTTCTTTCCCAAAGGAGGTTCTTAAATATGGTGAAGAAATACAAAAATGTCTAATGTTAGATGAATAAGAATAAATCATTGGCCTGCAGCTACACGTGTTGTAAATGTTTATGGTACTGGTTAGAACAGGTAGTTTTTCCCTTCTACAGTAGAGAGTTAGAAAGTATTTTTTCCATTTCTAAAAACAAGAGATAAAATATGATTGGTGTCACATAAATGGGAGCAGTGAAAAACAGAAAAAGAAAATTGAGACTCTTGAAACAACTCACATTTATATTTTATACATGTTTTACACACACATACACACACACACAGACATGAGAACTCCTTATTACAGTCATAAATCTTTAACTGAAAGAGCCACCTATTCCAGGCACAGAAGCTAACACACTATTTTGACCCCCTAAGTACTAAAAATAAGTCTCTAATTCTTTACCACCTTTCCTTTCATATTACCTGATAGTTATCGCTGACAAACACATTCAGGGGTGACAAGACAAGCTGCAGCATGGTCTCCCGAAATCCTTTTTTCATTTCAAAGCATAGTCTTTCCAAGAAAGCAGTAGGGCACTCAGGACCATCAGTAGTTCCATGCTAACAAAAGTACCACAAGACAGAAGAAGTTAAAGAGGAACAGAATATTAGGAAAACAAAACCACTTATCATGATTAAGAGAATTTGCTTTTTCAAAGGGAAAAACAGTATATGTCATCAAAAATAACCATTCTGCACAAGCAAGGACATTTGCTGCCCTTGGCACCAGAGGTGCCTTCTCTGCTACACAGTGCTGGCATGTGAAATGGAGCAAATTGTTCCAGGGCATTCTCCTCCCTATATGGCCTGATCTCAATGCTCCTGGTTCTTGGGGCCATACAATCTCAGTCCAAGTCAGTTTCCAAGCCCCATGAGTGTCAAGGGCATTCTCAGAGTGAACCAGGATGCTGGGCTGGATCTACACCTCTGCCCAATTCATCCTCTGGGGTCAAGCCTGAGCTTGATTTTATAACAGGTTCACCATAAGGACCCAAACTGATGTGGGGTCTGAAGACAAGAACTAAGAAAATGTGATGTCCTAGACCAGCTTTCTAACAGTGAAAGGGATAAAGTCTAAATTTCTGTAATCTAAGCTGTGTCCTTTTAAATGTGTGTGTGTGTGTGTGTGTGTGTGTGTGCACGCATGCGTGCGCCTGCACCCAGGAACACACACGGAGACTCCTATGCTGAATGGATGCCCTAATAACTGTTAGGACTCTCTTGATCTATAAATACTTACAACAGGAAGACGCCCGTGAACTTTGTACAAATTAACCAGTACAGTGATGTCCCAAGGACGCAGGGTGAGAGGGTGAACTGGCTTGGCTGAACCTTCACTTTCCTTCTTTCCGTTCTCCATTCCAACAGCAGTCCATCCCGAGCTGGATGATGTGGACAGTGACAGCACAGGGCTGGAGATGACCTCTTCAAAATCCATGTACATGTCATCTTCCCCAAAGTAGTTCTCCTGTAAATATTACGAAAAAACAAGCTGGCATTACAAGAGCTAAGTAATACTTTCACTTGTGGGCCTGAATTTGTAAACTATGAACCACCCTCACCTAGTATATTTAATTAAAAATGAAAATGTCAGGTCTACTTTCACAATTTGAAAAAACATTAGAAAATAATTATTCAGTAGCACAAAAAGTAAAAGACTACAGAGTTTATAGGAAGTGTCACAACATAACTCCCCAATTATAGCAGAAAGCATAATTTAGTTCCTCAAGAGACCTCTGAAGATCTGTGGTGGGACGGAGATGCAGCTCCGTGGCAAAGCTCTTGCCTAGTACGTATGAGGCCCTGAGTTTCATTCCCAGCCCCACAAATAAGAAAAAAGAAAGTTTTTATGGCTCAATAACTTTCAGTGTTTACTCTATAGTGCCCAAGGCACTATGTAGGAACATCTTTTGAGGAAAGTGAAAATCAATTTGGATGACTCTTAATAAATATTACAACATACACATTCCAGTTGTAATATTTATCCAGAAATGTTTTAACAGTTTTAATAAGAATGTCTAATTTTAGTTACTGATTAAATAAATACATGTGTTATCAACAGTTATCAAATTTCCTTTCATACAATTCACTGGTTATTTAATGTGGAAGTGTGTCAACTATTTTGTGATTTCTTTTGCATCAGAAATTAAAATTTGACTTTTAAGAAACAGATTTAACTTCAACTGAAATCATCTTTTTCCCATTGACTATGAATTTATATTTTGTTTATTTAACCCATCAGTAGTAAAGTTGTTAAATAGCCTTGCTAACACTGTTTACTGTTATCTATTAAAGGGGGACCAAATCAGTATTTCAATAAATTCTGCAGCAGAGTTACTGACAAAATCGTTTTCTAACTAGGGTTATGGACACCAGGTTATAACATCTTTTCTTAGGAAAGGACGTTGAAGGTCTTAAAGTCCTACAACTAATGAGAATACTGTATTCAAACTCCAAATCCACTGACTCACAAAACCAGGAGTTTTCCCTGTATTCTTCTCTGCTGTCCACTGCTTAAAAAAAAAAAAAGAGAGAGATCTGAAGCCTGGACAAATTCAAGCACAAATATAAAGGAAAATAAATACTGATCTGCATCTTCAAACCCAACATATAATTTTTACAACTAAACAGAAATAGCCTTCCCTGTTGATTAAACTCAAAATAATTCAGAACGGGAGTCATCACTTAGATCATTTGGGAACCTTTTCAAAATGCACTCGTTATCTCTTGGTCCTGGAGACTGGCTCAGCAGGTCTGCAATGGGCATGAGTTCCAGAGGCAGGTACAGGGGAAAACATCCTTTGGTGACTTTACCTGCAAATGCCCCCCAAGACTACTGCATTGTTTTTAAAAAGGAAAGCACATTTGCACACACACCCTTAACCCCCAGTTACTAGGAACAAGTGCTGACAGGCTGTCACACAGAGGGGGCTTTCTGCTATAATTGATGGGTTATGTTGTGACGCTTTCCCTTCCTCTACTAAGGAAAGCTAGAACAAATTCCACCCAGGAAAGTAGTCTCAGTGTACTGTTACTCAACCCTGCCTACAACGGAAGAAAAGACACCCAGTTCTGACATGTTGAAAATGACTTCAAGTTGGCGCCGAGCGGCCATGCTGTCCACACCTGCAGCAGGCTCCATCATATCTTCTCAGATGTTAAAGCATGTTCAGCACACAGTCTTTTTCCAGAGCTCTTTGCCGAGGTAATGCCAGGATCACTTTCTCTGGTGGATTTTGGAAATCACTTTTTCAAACATAATCTCACAAATACAGTGATTTTATAATTTCTTTGTGTTTAATTTTGATAACTAAGTAAGTCTCAGTTAACATGGATTTTCAGACTCCCTTAGTTTTTCACCTATATATGAATTTCATCATAGAATGTACATGAAATAATGTACTCAAAAATGACACATATATATGCAAAATGCCTAAATTCCAAAGTTTTTAAATTCTAACACTGATACTAACTAAAACATAAGTAATACATTAAAACAAACAAATGCCCTTTGCCATCACTCGGTCTCTGAGGTCTCAGAGCCACCTTTCCTGCTTTCATGAATTCTAATGGAAAGATCATAGAATCCCAGAGTGACGATTTTGATGAATGCCACAACCGTGGAAGTCAGGATTAATCATCTGAGAGTGCTTCTGGCATACGACAGAGAAAATGCCAGGAGATGCCCCAGAAGCCAGCAAGGGAAGAGCAGGATCTGAAGGGAGGGCCAGAAGCAGCTGGCTCCAAACAGTCTCAGAGACAACTGCACCCACTGGGAAAGCAAGGACCTCTGGGAAGCAAAGAGAGGGTGCCAGGACCCAGGAAAGACGGGGGGTATCTGGAGCCACAGGGCTTGGGAAAGGAAGTACCTCAGGGCATAGGAAGAGATCAGCGACTCTGAGGAGAAGACTGCTCTCTTTAGGGGTGTGACCTGCCCGTGATGAGAAGCAAAATGTGGTGGCCTTTTGCAGTCACAGGCATGGCTGTGAACTCTGGAACTCCTGACCCTCAGGTGTATTAGCAAGTGAAAGGAAGAATTCGCAACATTAAAAACTTAAGCATTATTTGTTCTTACTATATGCTGTGTATTCTGTTAACACTGTTCTTGCTGTGTGCCCTGAAGTCTGTTAGATATTAGAGTTTTGTTGAGCAAGACATATACCTAATGCATTCATCTGTCTGTGTGTCCATATGCCTATTTTCAAAAATAAGTATTGTCAGATATTCTCTGTATTGACCAGCACTACCTTTCCTTTGCTCCAGGTGGGACTACCAAAGATGTAGGTATCTAATTCCAGACTTTTTTGCCTCAGTGCGCGCACGCGCACACACACACACAAACACAGAGTATCACTGTGGACATCTCTCCTCTACTTTGCCCCACTGCTAAGTTCCCTGTCGGGACAAGTTCCCTTCTATCTGTTTCCTGTTCAGCACATGCTCCATGCTGCAAACTCTCTTCCTTCATTTAACCTGCATCAGTCACCAACAATTAATAAACATTTGCAAATGTTTCCCTAAAAAAAAAAAAAAAAGAAAGAAACAGAATTTAAGGTAGAATAATATCACTATATCAGCACTAAATTTTAAGGTACACAAAGACAGAAACAAAAAAATTACATATATTCCTTATAAAAAGCAGAGTTCACTGGGCTGGGCAAATTTTTTGCCTATCATGTTTTCAATATATATTTAATATGTATGTCAAAACTTGAAATTTTAAATTTGCTTTGATAGTTTATACAAGTTCTAAATTAATTTGGTGAATGTACATACCAATATTCTTTTTTATATATATTTATCTTTTTAGTTTTAGGCAGACACAATATCTTTATTTTACATTTATGTGGTGCTGAGGATCAAACCCAGTGCCTCATGCATGCTAGACAAGTGCTCTACTACTGAGCCACAATCCCATCCCCCAATACATTCTTTAGCAAACTTTGATACTACTAAAAAGTACGTATCCAAACATAAGCAACTATCAACAGAAGCCACATCTGTAGAGTAGAATTTATAAAGAAATATAAACGGAGACATATACATCTTTCTTTATATTTTTCTTGGTTACAATCCTCTTATTTTTGGTAAATATGTATTACTATAAATCTTTTAAAATAAAAAATTGGCATTCAATGTGCACATGGCAATGCAAAAACAAAGTTAATATCTAATAATATTCAAAACCTATATTATACTGCAGTGACCACCCTCAGCCTGCGAATTAAATCATTACTTACATTTAATTAAAATATAAATCAGCCTCATTAGTGAGATTATAGCTAAATTTGTAAATAATCCTTTTATAGCTATTCATGTGCAATCCCAAGAAAGTCAGATATTGGAAGAAATATTTGAAGAATATTTTAGGTGAAACAGTGGTCATAAGAAAGAAAATATGTGTATATGTGTGCATTTTCCCCTTTGAACACACAGGTTTACTCCTTTAGGAATCTGTTTTTTAAATGCTAGGGAAGAAAGGGTAACCATGCAAAGCTCCAGGTTTCTACAAATCTTATCTACACGTTCCCTGCACCTTTTAACTTACATCATGCTATCTGACACTTCCCAACAGTTTTTAATAAATATAGTAACTCAAATGTTAACATTATGTGCCTCAAGCCCGAGTCACCTAGTACTTTGTCTTAAGAGCCCTCACCCACACCTGTGACTTGTCCTTCCTTGTCCAACCCTGACCACCCTAGTCCCTTCTCCAGAATTCATTACCACTATTACTGTATTATTAACTTAGTATTCAGTATCCAAATCTCTGCATCTGTGAAACTGCAACAGGATACAAATAAACAAGCAATGTAAGATTAGACCCACTCTAACATCCCTCCCATGAGTAACCCTACTGTTTATGGTGTTTTTAATCTCTTCCTGATCACAGATATGGTAAACAACCAACAGTTCAATGAAATTTAAAGCAAAGTAAAAGTGCAAAATTCTGGAGAAATGTAAAATTTGGTGAAACTGCTGCTAAATGATGTTGGAAAACTGCTCTCCTCAAAGCTTACAGTGATAAACAAGGATCTAGAAGAGTTCACTACCAAAAAGAACAGCAAAACAACAAGAACCACTGTGACACCAGGGAGACTGTTTTAAAGTGTGATCTGAATAACAGAAGAATTAAAGTAATCTTTGGAAAACAGGTGAAGACCTCAAATATTTCTCTAAAAATAGCCTCTCTTCATAATCATGCTACACATATCAACCTTAAAGTGCTATCACACTGTGCAATTACATAGTTTCAGTGGAAAAATTATGCCAAACGAATCAACACTTGATTTATTCTTTGTTCTAAGAAGTGGTGCATATTAATTCAGAAACTAAATTTGACATACTCTTGCAATAAACTTATTTTCATAGATTTGCTTTCATTTTTAAAATAAAGATCCAAACAAATCTTGGCTCATTATTTATCATGAAATGCTGTCATCTTTTTTTTTTTTTTGGTACCAGAAATTGAACTCTGAATCACTCAAACACTGAGCCACATCCCCAGCCCTACTTTGTGTTTTATTTAGAGATAGGGTCTCACTGAGCTGCGTAGTGCCTCACGGTTGCCGAGGCTGGCTTTGAACTTACAATCCTCCTGTCTCAGCCTCCAGAGCCACTAGGATTACAGGCATGTCCCACTGCGCGCAACTTATCATCCATTTTAAATAGATTCACTTAAAATAGACTTTTCCTGGTACCAATCATTCTCAATTATTCTCAGGTAAGTGTTAAAATTTGTCCACATATCTTTCCTACTCTATCAGATATACTGTCCAGATATCTGTTACCCCTCTATCTAATTTCCTTGAAAAAAGAAATATTATGTTAGTGCTGGCACACTAAATGCTTCAAACTAAAAAAACACTAAACTTAGGAGTGTTCTTTTTAATAACTGCAGTGGATTCCAGCACAACAAGTCCAGTGAACAGGCATCACTTATCCTCAACAATTTAAATCATCCATCAAGCTATTGTGAATCCCCTTAATTTTCATTTAGAAGGCTATTACAACATTGTAAAAGCTATCTAGGTGAAGCCCCCGGCCAACATCATTCTAAATGGACACAAATTGAAAGCATTCCCTCTAATAGGGATGCCGTCTTTCACCACTTCTATTTAATGTAGTTCTTGAAACACTAGCCAGAGCAATTAGATGAAAGAAATTAAAAGGATACGAATAAGAAAAGAAGGACTCAAATTATTACTATTGGCCAACGATATGATTCTATACCTAGAAGACCCAAAAAATTCCACCAGAAACCTTCTAGAACTAATAAATGAATTCAGCAAAGTAGCAGAATATAAAATCATAAATTATAAATCAAGGGCATTTCTGTACATCAGTGACAAATCATCTGAAAGAAAAAGGAGGAAAACTACCCCATTTACAATAGCCTCAAAAAAAAAACTTGGGAATCAACAAAAGAGGTGAAAGACCTCTACAATGAAAACTACAGAACACTAAAGAAAGAAATTAAAAAAGACCTTAAAAAGATAAAAAGATCTCCCTTGTTCTTGGATAGGCAGAATTAATACTGTCAAAATGACCATACTACCAAAAGCACTATTCAGATTTAAAGCAATTCCAATCAAAATCCCAAGGACATTCCTCATAGAAATATAAAAGGCAATCATGAAATACATCTGGAAAAATAAGAGGCCCAGAATAGCTAAAGCAATCTTTAGCAAGAAGAGTGAAGCAGGAAGCATCATTATACCAGACCTTAAACTATACTACAGAGCAACAGTAACAAAAACAGTATGGTGTTGGCACCAAAATAGACTGGTAGACTGAAGGTACAGAACAGAGGACACAGAGACTAATCCACATAATTACGGTTATCTTATATTAGTCAAAGGTGCCAAAAGCATATATTGGAGAAAGATATCCTCTTCAACAAATGGTGCTGGGAAAACTGGAAATCGATATGAAACAAAATGAAATTAAGCCCCTATCTCTCACCATGCAAAAAACTCAACTCAAAGTGGACCAACAACCTAGGAATTAAACCAGAGACCCTGCGCCTAATAGAAGAAAGAGTAGGCCCAAATCTCCATCGTGTTGGATTAGCCCTAACTTCCTTAGTAATACTTCTAAAGCACAAGAAGTAAAATCAAAAATCAATAAATGGGATGGATTCAAACTAAAAGGCTTCTTCTCAACAAAAGAAACAATCAGTGAGGTGACTAAAGAGCCTATGGAATGGGAGCAAAGTTTTACCCCTCACACATCAGATAGAGAGCATTAATCTCTAGGATACATAAAGAACTCAAAAATCTTAATACCAAAAAAACAAATAACCCAATCAATAAATGGGCCAAAGAACTTAACAGATACTTCTCAGAAAATAATATACAATTAATCAACAAATATATGAAAAAGTGTTCAACATCTCTAGCAATTAGAGAAATGCAAGTCAAAACTACTCTTAAGATTTCCTCTCACTCCAGTCAGAATGGCAGCTATTATGAATACAAACAATGATAAGTGTTGGCAAGGATGTGGGAAAAAAGGCACACTCATACATTGCTGGTGGGACTGCAAATTGGTGTAGCCAATATGGAAAACAGTATGGAGATTCCTTGGAAATCTAGGAATGGAACCACCATTTGACCCAGCTATCCCACTCCTTTGTCTATACCCAAAGGACTTAAAAACAGCATACTACAGGGACACAGCCACATCAATGTTTATAGCAGCACAATTCACAATAGCTAAACTGTGGGACCAACCTAGCTGCCCTTCAGAGTAGAAGAATAAATAAAGAAAATGTGATATATATACACAAGGGAATATCACTCAGCAATAAATAATAAAATCATTGCATCTGCAGGTAAATAGATGGAGTTGGAGAATACAATGCTAAGTGAAATAAGCCAATCCCAAAAAACCAAATGCCGAATGTTTTCTCCTTTCTCTGATATAAGGAGGCTGATTCGTACTGGAAGAAATAGATGAACGTCAGATAGGGCAAAGGGGAGGGAAGAGAAGGGACAGGGTATGGAGGTAGGAAAGATGGTGGAATGAGATGGACATCATTACCTTAAGTACATGTATGAAGACATGAATGGCATGACTTTACTTTGTGTGCAACCAGACACATGAAAAATTGTGCTGTTTGTATAATAAAAATTGAAATGCATTCTGCTGTCACATATAACAAATTAGCATAAATAAAATAAATTCAAAAAAATAGAAGTTCTTTTAAAATCATACCTTTATACATAAAAAGGCATTTAGCAGAGGCCCATAGAGAGTTATCTGAGAATCTGGGGAGAGCTCCATTTCTACATGAAGTTTATCAGGCGGAAGTTCTGCTGGGTCAACCGGAGGGCGTGCAGAAGAAGAGGGAGAGGAAGCCACTCTGTCTGCAGCCTTCTGGGCTGGCCTTAACACAGACAGCATTGTTTCTTCCATCTCTGACACTGGCATAAATGGAGGAAGAAGAAGAGATTAATGTTTAAAGAAGGAGAAAATGACCTCTTAGAAGTTCTTCAAGCCAATATTCAGTAAGACATAATACTTAGCAAATGCAAAATCAAATAATCTTGATAATATCTACAGTAATATAATACAACAGACCTGAGGGTCTAAAAATTAAGAAAACAAAGAATAGACTTCATTGAAATATGGAGGTAAATGCATATATCAGATTGCATAGAACCAATGAAAAGTTCCTGTTAACATAAGCAACTTTCTCATTAGGTCCCTACAATATAAATTTGAGTTACTATTAGTCCTTAAGTATATTCAGGCATTAAACTACAAAGCTGTTTTCACATAAATAACTGGTAAGACACAGAATGACATTATCAAGTCACCACACATGTAAACAACTGTCAACACTATTCTTTGAAATTTAACACACTGGGAAAAGAAACAAAGAAAATATCACTTGACTCTTGTTGTTTTTTGTGTCTCAGGTAACAGGGAAAATTACCTTCAGGAAAATATAAGTTACATGAAAGTTTTCAAAATGCATTAAAGAAACTAACACTTAACAAAATCGATTTAGGCATTTCAATTGAGGCTTCCCAAATACACAGATTCTCACACACCTTGTTTCCTACTCAGCTCTGCTGCATTGGAGTGGCAGGTCTTGAGAAAACTACTTGCCTTTTCTGAGCCTATTTCTTCAACTCCAAGCTGAGAATAATATCCACCTCATAGAGATGTGATAAGAATTAAATGAGATAATATAAGCCAGAAAACTACTTGGCCCAGTGCCTGATTATATAGTAAATGCTCAATAAAGGTTAGCTATTCAAAATTATTTTGCAGATTATAAATTTATATAATTATTTTAGAAGAATAAATGCACTTCCAAATTTTTTATTTTCTGTATTTTTAATGATTATCAATCATAATAACCACTAATTCAAAGTATAAATTACATAAAAGCACTTACATGATTGTTTCAGCTGTTCATCTGCCTTTTGCGGATAAATTGGATGCCAGGTGTAATCAATTGTAAGCAGTACACTTGGAACAGTCCAGCACTCAACCCAACCAGCTCTTTGAAGAATAAGAAAGTTTCTGGTCAGATACTTGTTCCTTTAATTGTATACAGACACTAAGTACAGATAATGAAACTTTATAATTAGTATTTTAAAGAAGAAGAAATGTCTCTCCACATGTAAGTACAAAACGCTTAGGTCTCTGATTGTCATATACTCACTTCTCCTGAGTGATATTGCGCCACTTTGGTTTAACTGTTTTCTGGCCACTCTGGCATTCAGCAGGAATACCAGCGTCAGGACCCATCTTACTCGGGTGACAATTCTTTACCAGCATAAATAATGAATATTTACTAGGGTGGCAATCTGGTAGAAACAAATGAAGATCAACATCTTCTCCCTAAAACACAATACATAATAACCCAAAGTAATAAATTCAGTACATACATATGTCAGGTCACTACTTAGAGCCAAAACTATAATAATCTTAAAAACAAATTAAAATGGAAATAAAATTTAAATGATAAATGCCTGGAATAAGGTTTTACATTATCTAAAACCTAAATACTTATTTAGGTTTTAGACAATAAAAAAAAAGAGAAACAGTATAGTTTCCACATAACAGTAAAGAGATCATCTTTCATGGTGACCCATGAATATTTTATCTGAAACTCACTTGGGGGAGAGGAGCTCACTAATACAGGCTCAAATGGAACATGTTCTGTAGTCTTCAAAAATTGAAAGGCAGTATTGTTATGGCTGGGTGTGAGGCATCCCTCAAGGCTCCTGTGCTGATGCAGGACTGTTCAGAGGTGCTGAGCCTAGACTTGAAGAGCTCTGACATGACCTGTCTTTCTAGTCTGCATGGACTGGCTGGTGACTGCACCAGGCAGGGCGTGGCAGGCAGGGGGGAAGTTCATCCTGCAAGAGTGCCTCTGCCCTGAGCCTCTTTCCTCCTGCTCCTTCCTGGCTGTCATGAGCCTGCTGCGTTCCTCTGCCTCACCTCAAGCCCAGAGCAATGGACTCAGGTGACCATGCACTACACCTCTGGAAAATGAGTCAAAATAAACTTTTCTTCCTATGAATTGTTCTTCTTAGTTATTTTGGTCATAGCAATGCAAAGCTAATTAATACAAATATCATCGCCTTTAATTTTTAATAAGTCTCTTCTTCAACTGATGTTGAATAACTCTTAATTGGCATACCAGAAGGATCATAACTGGGTTTCCCTTTTTTCTCTATATTGCCAGGGTTCAATATCCAACTTGGCAACTTACTAGCTACAGGACAAGTTGTATAAACTCTGTTTCTCTGTTTTCCAATCTATAAATGTAGGTAACAGCAATGACTATCTCAAAAGGCTTGTTCTGAGAAATACATGAGTTACTACAGGGAAAGAGTTCATATTATGAATGTAATGCACTCCTCTATTGTGATATATGTAAGAAATAATTTTTAAAAACGTTAAGAAAAAAAGGTATTTTGCTTTATGTCTTTCAAATAAATGCTATTTCCTAAAGAAAAAGAAGAAAAGAAAATATGGCATTGCCTCTGGAGGTGTGCTGTGATCCTGCCTTTTATTACTTGTTTTGACAACTGTACTTCTAACACTAACAGAATATGAAGGTGTTTGCTCATTTTGTATTTCATTAGTATTAAATAATGCATATGTGATTAAAAAATATGTATTAGGTGTAAACTGCTCCTATTAATACTGCTGCTACTTTTTTTTTTTTTTGCCACCATAACAAACATTAATACAACTTACTCCTGATTGTCCATCCCCTAAAATTAGGTCTTCCACAAAATCATGAGTTAAGAAGTACATTAAACCTGCCTTTGAGATAAAGGGAAGGAAGGAGCTTGTGGTTGTTCTCCCTGAATTCACAGCTACAATTAGCAATCAACATAGGGAAGCATAAAATTAGTGCCTAGACCTTACAGCTAGGAGAGGTTCTTAAGAGAATATAGATGAGCTACAGAGATCAGAACTGAGCACCAAGAAAATAAACAACTCTGGAGACTTTTTTTTTTTCAATTGGTCAATTTCTTAGGAGCTGTTACCTATAAAAATAAAATAATAGGAACTCCACAACACTCATGTTAGGGACGCTGGAAGAACACTGAAACGCTTTAGGGTGGCAAGAAGACAGGCAAGGGAGAGGAAAGGTAAGCCCTGGGGAGTCACATGTACTAATAAACCCGTGGAACTGTCAATGCAAACAGTGATACGTACTCTTAAAGAGAACCTGGTGTTACATGTAGCTGGAACAAAGTCCGTAAAAGGCAAAGGAAAATCAATGTTCAGTGTTTCCCCACAAGCTGCCAGATACACTAGAAAAAGAAAAAAGAAAGAAAAAGAAGTAGTAAATTTACTTTTAATGTCAATAAAATTTAAATATAAGTATTACTTTAACTGCATACCTAAACAAAATTAAACCTAAGAGAAGACACTCAGTACAAAGCATATTCTGAAATGGTCCTGAAAGTTTCACAAGATAATGAGGGGAAAAAAAAAACAACTCTAGTACCTATTAAAACTACAAAATCAATACTAATTTTCTTTGTTATTATGTATTGAAATAAAAATACTGACCCTAATTTTTTTAAATTTCTTACCATTTTCCTGTTGTTTAGTGGAACAGTCAATCCAATTGTGCTGATTAGCAGCCCAAATCATTTCAAATTGATGAAACATGATTTTAAAATTCCATGTATACGGAACAAATGAAAAAATGTCTGGAGCACTATCACTCGACCAGTCTTGAATTAAATCTAAGAACATTGGGGTACAAAACAAAGTTAAATAAAATTAAGAAAAAAACAAATACATACAGTCTAACAACAGTCAAAATGAATTTTTGCCCTCTGTAGGTATAAAGAATTTTATACTAAAATATTTTCACAAAATATATTAAATGAGTTACTAGTCAGTTTCAAATTAAAAATTTTATTCATCTAATATATCTATTTTCTCAAGAAATTTTTGAAAACAGAAAAAAATAAATGTTGCCTGATATTTCATAAATAATTCAATGCTGTAAATACGTTTCCTTCTAATTCTTTTTCTATATGGCTTTTTATACTATACTATGTTTTGTGTTGCTTTTTGACTGAAAAATACCTTCTCATGTTAATTTACTCACATTTACATAAATTTTGTTTATTAAAGAGATTTACCATTCAAGATTTGTTTTCCACACTCTTGGACACTTAGACTCTCACCAATTTTTTTTGCTACATATAACATGTCAGTGTGTACTTTTGTGCAAGGTGTTGTACATACTTAGGATTACTCTCAGAACAGATTCCAGAGAGGGCACCGCAGAGTCAAAACTGAGGAATTTTCAAGACTGTTACAGAGCACCGAGCTGCTTCCCCAAAAAATCAGCCACTTGTACTATTACCTGAAATACACACACGCTACATATTTCTTCATATGCTGTGCTGCATCCTACTTACTCCTACCTATGTCTCTGGTTTTTATCAATGGGGTAAGAGAGGTAGGTGGTCTTGCTATTTCATAACTGAAAAAATAAACTCATTTTAAATGAATTTCTTCATTACAAATATAGTTGAACATTTTTAATGTTTATTCACAAAATAAGTATCTACTCAGTATTTAGCTGTGTATAGGGCTCTACATGGTGTGATTTTAAAGGTGAATAAAACATAGCTAGGTTTTCTTAGAATTTATAATCAATCATTATTAACTGCTGATGAGTTATATGTCTTAATTTAGTTTGTAAAACTGTGTTCATACACTTAGTCTATTTATCTTCTGGTACCTTGTTTTCTTGTTTTTAACTGCAGAAGCAAAAGCTGTCTCTATGAAGATATTAGCTCTGATCTACACAGTGGTTTCCAAAACTCTTTCTTGTACATATCATTTACATATACTGTATACTCACAGCAATAATATCTTTTTTACAGAGGTGTCACACTCATCTTTAAAAAAAACAAAAACAAAAACAAAGAAATGGGTCCTTTTTAGTGACATGTATGTTAGGACTCACGTTCACATAATAAGAGTGTGGAATGTGATTTGTTTCAGTTCTGCCGCAGCACATCCTCCTTCCTTTCCCGCCTCCTCCCCACCGTACTCCTTCCTCTACTTGACTGATCTTTCTGCGAGTTACAAACAGTCTTTGGTATGGGGTATTTTTCTTTCTTTTAGTGAGTGCCTTGTGAATGTACACGACAGCGATCACATTTCACCCACGGACACAGTCACTCCACTTCTCTTCCCGTGTCTCATTCCTCCTCCCTCCCCTCAATCTCCTCCTCCAGTCCACAAACCTTCCTTCTATTTTTGATGAAATTCTCTCCCCTTTTCCCTTTCTCTCTGAAAAAGGGGGAGGGAATTCCATCGAGCTCATCTGGGTGCTCACACTGTGCCATGGCACAGTGTCGTGCCTGTGAACTCAGAACTTGTGTCTGTGGAAGAAGGAACAACTGGAAGCAAAGTGACGCCACACTGACTGTGAGGCCAGACAGTGCCGGGTTGAAGCTCTGCTCTACTCCACCAGCTAAGCAATCCTGACATTATGGGTCAATCCTATCAGTTTTCTCTTTTACGGAACAAGGACAACTTCCCAGACTTATTAGGAGAACAGAGATGATTTGTGTGACGTTTTAACAAAGTAACTAGCAAAATGTAAGCACTCCACAGTGGTAACATTTATTAAAGATACTTAAAGGAAAATTATAGTCTACTACTACTTAGTTTTCTTTGACTCTTAAGGGGAATCTTTAAACTGAAAAGCATGAGTGAAATTCAATAATGATTATCTTAAGTATATTTATCTTATGTATCATAGGAATCCATTTAAAATCTAGCTGCCACATATAGAACAGGTACATATATATATTAGAGGGAAATTCCTGCCTTATTAAAATCACAAAATAATACATTTAATATCAAGCTCCAACAACTTAATATTAATTAGACATAGTTTCACTATATCCATAATAAAAGGCATATGGCTTTAATCTATTCTACTGATAAAAATGAGAAAATTCAATTTATCCAATTTACCTTCACTTGATGCAACGTCATCCTTCACACGATGCTCACTTCTAACCCTTGCTTTTCAGAGCTGCCATGCCTGACTAACCTGGCTCTAGCCCACTTCCAAACCTTATTCTTTAGCATGGTACTTAGGTACTATGGCAATGTAAAATAATCTCTAGAATTAGCCAACTCCTCAGTAAAAGTTATTATTCATGAGGCTGGTTTCCTCACTTTTCTCCCTGGTAAAAATTTACAGTCTAGTACTGTTACTCAGACCTCTTATGCTGTCTAAAGTATAGTCAGCACATATCAAGGGGTTTTGCACCAAAGGATTCAATCAAGCACAAGTCAAAAAAAATTTTTAAAGACTACATCTGCACTGAACAGGCACTGAAACTGTTTTCTTGTCATTATTCCTAAACAATACAGTGTAATACTTATATAGCATTTACATTTTGTGCTAGGTATTCTAAGTAGCAGTGATTTAAGAATGATATGTGCAGTTTACATAAAAGGTGCCATTTTATGTAAGGTACTTGGGCATCCACAGATTCTAGTATCCACATGGGATCCTGGAACCCATCCTGCTGGATTCTCAGGATGACTTGTACTGCTTTCATATCCTCTCTGCTGAAGGAAAACAAGTACCTTTAACCTGAGCAAGAAACTACATACACCAGGGTCTGCAGTCCAAAAATTGTTCTTAAATGTCTCCTCCACTTCCTAGCTTCATGAAGTTTGCCCAAGTCATTCACTATTTCTGTGTGTATTCCTCACTGTTCACTCATGGATAATAACAACAGCTATTCCCTTGGAGTCATGCGAAGATGATACAAATAGCAAGATACCATGCTAATCTTAGTTAATTACCAAGTTCATTTACAAACACCATTTTGGACCTGAATACTCATCCTTTTTTTCTCCAACTTACCTGCAGCAGATGGTAATTTCCTCTGTGCTTAGGTCTCACATGCATTTATTAGATTCACCATTCACATCTACCCTAATCATACATACTGTCTCATAGTGTTTCATTTGTCTATGTCTAGTGCACACGCCAATGAACTTGAGATTAATAATATAACACAAAAGATGCCCATGAGTAACAGGCCCATAATTCTCTGTGGGCAGATGCCACGTTTAGTGCTTGTTTTGAACCAGTAGAATGTATACTATTACATTTCTCTACTTTACACTACTATTAGTTAACAGAATAAGATGTAATTACTAATAAACATAAATTGAAGTAACCTACTATCTCAGGAAACCAATGTAATTTTGTAAAGTTATTTGCCAATTACTAGTTTAACAAATGTTACTATTTTAATAACATCTGAAATTTTATAAAGATAATAGCAAATTTCTATGTTATTAAATCTTAATTTAATAACCTCTTTAAAATTTCAACAAATTATTCCATAATAGAGCTTCCATACCATATGGTTTTTACAGCATCCTTACTGATAAATTTTAAAACTATGATGTCAAAATATTTTTATTAGGAAACTCAAGAAGCAAGTCAACATGAATTTCTCTTTCACCAAAAGCTTCTTTCATTACCAAATGGTCTTACCAAATAATCTAAGGAGAAAAAGAAAGCACATTCTTCGTGACTACCCTCCTCAACTGTGCAAGGAGTTCAGAAGCTATCAAGATGGCCAGCTAAATGTTCACCTGAAAAACCCACCAACCCTGACTTCATGATTAAATTGTTAGGTTAATACCACACCCCATGAAATGTCAATCACCTGACATTAGAGCCTTGCTCATAGTAAATCAAATTTCAGTATTCCTGGAAGAGCCTTTAGTGTCTACCTTTGCCTCAAGTTATCCCTCCTAATACTCACTATTATAGTTCCCATAAAGCTATCTTTGAGAGTTTGATGAGAAAAAAGTCTATCTTACTGATAAGTGATTGCCAGAGGAACGGCTATCAAGAAACAGGCATGGGACTGGGGATGTGGCTCAAGCGGTAGCGCGCTCGCCTGGCATGCGTGCCGCCCGGGTTCGATCCTCAGCACCACATACAAAGATGTTGTGTCCGCCGAAAACTAAAAAATAAATATTAAAAAAATTCTCTCTCCCTCCCTCCCTCCCTCTCTCTCCCCCTGTCTCACTCTCTCTTTAAAAAAAAAAAAGAAAGAAACAGGCATTCCTTCATAAACCGATGGTTAACTTCTTTCCTGGTTAACTTCTTTCCTGTAGTTTTCTACTAATAGAGAAAGGAATTCCAGCACCATGCCCAAGCATGCTCACTCCAAGTCTAAGGCAATACTACTCCATAGAGTCACCCTATTTCAGAGAATAAGTTGTAGCTTTTAAGAATATAATATGACCAAATATTAAGCTATTAAGCCTGGAAGAGGAGAATTTAAATGATGATAATGTCTATTTTTGTTCCTTTCAATATAATTTTAAATTTCTCCAAATGAATCTTAGGAAAAAAATAACCAAAGGAGTGAATTTCAAAAAGGTGAAGCATAAAAACTGGAGTCACAGAAAGAAGATAATGTATGGAAAAATCTCCTGTAATTTAGAAAATGTGTACTTGGCTATTTAAAAATAACAAATATTCAGTTTAAATGAAAGTGCTACTACAAAAGAAAATTTTAAAATCATGAACAATATATTCACTAAGAGAAGGATTAGTACATGAAAATAGAAATCTATTTTAAAAGATTCATGGTTAAAACTACAAAATCTTGAATAAGAGGTGGAAAGGCTACAGTCAAAAGTAGCTGATGTAAGGGACCACTGAATTGGGACGCCGCTCAGTCAACCTTACTAGCTGTATGCTCTGAACAAACTGTTTCACCTCTCTTACTCATTTTCCCCGCCTGTAAATAAGGATAACAATGAAATTCATTTTGTGAGGACTCAATTATTTAATATGTACAAATTCCTTAAGACATTTTTTCATAAATATGAACTGAAGTATTCACTCAGTGTTCATGTCACTTGCAAAAGTTTAACTTGCCAGGGACTCTCAAAATTCCTACTTGAGTAGAACACTCCAGACACTGCCTCAAGCCTTCACAAACAGTACCTAACTCCAGCAAGGCAGAAGCTCTGCCTGTCCACAGGTGAGGCTCCTGTTCAAACAACAACAAGCACAGGGGACTCAGGACGGAACATGTTACAGTAGAAGACATTTTAACATGCCAAAAATCCAGCAATAGCAAAGTAGAATGGAAACTTTTATTCCTATTTCACAAATAAGGCAACTGAAACAAACAATGAAGTAAAGTAGCCAACATCGCCCTGGTAAGTAATGTCAGGACAGCACTAAGGATGCATGCCTTAATCTCTACCACACCCCAACACACCTACTGGCACTCAGCACAGACCATACGTTTATAAATGACTGATGGACAGTTGGGCGGATGGGTGGAACAAACAGTTAAGCAATATTAGGTTTCCGTGGGGTCACCATCAATCCTACCATTGAGACCAACCCTGTGGAGTTACTTATAGAGATCAATAAATGCTACTTATTTTTATGGAGTAATAATTATTACTCACAGACCAAGACTTGGTCATTAACACTCCCAAAATATGTATAGATAGCAAGAGGTAAAGAACTTTTTTCAACTACAGATAGCATCAATTTAAATACCAATGGGAAAGTTAAACAGGGACACTAAGAATAAAAACAACAATATTTGTCTATTTGAGTATACTATAGTAAGCTGCAATAATTAAAATGAAACAATGAAGCTATACTGATGCCTAATTGGGGAAGACAGAAAAATTGATTCACCAACCTCATCTTAACCCCTTACTAAACTGATACAAAACACTAGCCTAAATTGAGTTCTTGAATTTCCTTCTACACTCAATTTTGGGATAATATTTTTTCTTAATTGTGTTAGAACATAAAATGCCTATATTTAAATTTTCCCTTTTATATTCTCAGCCTAAAATTACCTGTAAAATAAAGTAAGAACTGTGTCATCAAAGTATGTATATTGAATTTAAAAGTAAAATGAATACAAAAAAGCTGTGATAAATTTTACTATACCTGTATTTACTAAGAAATACCTGTAAAGAAGTTCTTCTGTGCAAAGATGAAGTGGTAGGTGGCTTTATAAACTTCCAATTCACACTGCCACGTCTGTGGCATGTTCCATACTCGGGGGTAGCTGGCATTGATGTGGAACTGCAGGACAAATGTTAGCAACAATGTTAAAGCTTGAAATGTGACACTGTGTGCACAGCATTAGAAATGAAGGCTCACACGCTGATGAGTAATTAAAATTTATTTTCCTACTGAGCTGAACAGAAGGTCCCTTAGAGATTTTAATATTGCTGAGGCTGAAGGTCAGTGTCTCCAGTGACATCCAGTTCCTATGAAGCCATGAAGGGGTCAAAAAACTTGGACAATGGCAAATCAGGTTGAAGTTCTGACACGGGACTCTAGCTAAGCCAATGGGTAGCAACCATATCCTCCTTTCTCTCCCTCATCTGTGGAGTGAGAGGCTCAGAGAGAGGGCGGGTGGAGTGCAATGCACACTGTCACACTAATGGCATTAGTACTTCTCCTAAGGATGGCGTTTCTGTAAAGCATAAAGCTGCCTGCCTAGGAGCAGCACTGCCACATAACCTGCATTCTCTAGCAGCAGCTCAAGAATTCATAAAAATGCTAAATATGAAGTTTAATATATATTTATGGTATCTGAAACGGTCTTGGTATCTGGAAAATCTCCTTGTTAAGGTACACATGTCATGTATGAGATGTTTGTTTAAAGGACCTTCTGGGAATACCAACTGTCCTACTCCACCCCAGCTTTTGCTGTTGCAGTCATCATTCTCTGATTTTAAACATATCTGCGTGGTCAGCGAGTCCCCATCCTGCAATTTTCATCATGGGCATTTCCACCAGGCTTCTGTTCCCACATAGAGCAATCCAGAGTATCAGTAAGATTCTCCTCCTTTTGCCTTATTCATCAAGTGAAAAGCACAATGAACATTATGTAAGCCCTGAGGAAGAATCCAACAGGGCCAGGAAATGGTGAAAAATAACCTTATATAGAAAGGAAAATGAGGCCAGCCACAAAATCAAGTTTGAAAACAATATTCTAATGGCTCTTCTCCTTTTCGTTGCCTTCTTTTCACTTCCCACACACCAGAAGCAGAGCCACAGAGAGACGCCAAAGGAAGCCCAGCGCACTGGGAATCGACTTCTCTTCTCAAGGATGGGGTGAAGAACACCTGGTGGTCCTCGAACTTGAGGACGGGTCATTCAATGACTTCCTGGCTAATTAAATTTTATATTAGAAAATGAAAACCAAGTTTGCTCATAATCATACACTTCAGACTTACTGCTAACATTTCTGCTTCTAAAAGGGTCCGGTACTGCATGCTGGTGGTGGCATCAACATGTAACAGCTGTCCTTTAATTGCAGGGGTATAACCTAATAAACACAACAAACAATCAGTACAAGAAAAAAATCATGCAATTAAGAGTTCTGGACTAGAACCAACTCCTGCAACCTCACGAAGAAGAAATTCCTGAAAAATGGTGATCGATCACTAAATATACCCAATGACAGGGAGCTTGCTAACATAATAGGGGATCCTTCTCATTTTAGACAGCTCAGAAGAAACCTCCATCTCCACACAGTATCTATCCTCGCTCTCCTTTCCAGTGCAAAACCACAGATGACTCTTGGTTATCCACAGGAAACAGGTACCAGGAATCCCTGGGTACCAAAGTCTACACAGGCTCAAGTTCCTCATATAAAATGACATAGTATCTGCATGTCACCTACACTCACCCTCCCATATATTTTATCTCTAGATTACTTTTAATATCTAATATAATGGAAATGCTGTGTAAACTGTTGTTATACTATGTTGTTTAGGGAATGAAAACAAAGGGTCTGTATGTGTTCAGTACAGACAGAATTTTTTTCCTAATATTTTCCACTCACAGTAGATTAAATCCATGGATGCAGAATCCATGGACACAAAGGACTGACTATGCATGTCTATTCTCTTAACAACAGTCTCCAACTACTTACTATAACTGCAGCTCCGATGATTTTTGTTTTCCATTAACCAAAGGGTACACATTTTTATCATTTTCAACTGTTCCATAGATAATCATTTCCAAACAATATTTAATCCTGAAGTATTAACAATTTCCCAACAATAAACCCATTTTCAACAAAATTAGAGAGCATTACATTTCCTTCTTTGATGAAGTCCTCGTGGATGTACACTAATTTATAGTCATTAACAGATGGCTAGTTCCACAGCCATCCTGTTCTGAGTCTAGTTTTCTCCTCCAAACAAATGAATCTGATAACCATTTTGGACTTAATTTTTACATTTTCCTTTCCTTTTCCCTCCAGAGAGTCATCTTAAAAGCCAACTAACCTTTATAGCCAAAAACCTAACTGGGCTTTCCTTAGATAGCAAACTCAAAGAGTGCAAACCTGCCACAACCCTATGCTCAAGCACTGATCCCCTCCATCCTGGGTGACTCCCCTTACTCTGGTGTGTCATTATTCGTACCATTATTTATACACTGTACTAAAATGTACAAATACTATTTTCTATACAATCATCAGTTTAAAAACATAGATGCATTCCCTTAACTAAAGTGCTATCAATTCTGTGCAAACTCAAACTGCTTTCTTTCCTATCATATACCATAAGTAAGGTCTTTCTAACAGGTGCTTCTTCCTATAGACTCTCAGGCCTCTCCTTCAGGACTCAGCAGGATGTGTCTCTTGAAACTTGCACAGAATTTAAGATCTAAATTGATTAGAAAATTGTCCCCTTCTCTCTAGGCAAATAATTTAATTATGTAATAACTTAATAACCACGGGCACATCAAAATATTAAAATAGTCCCACATCTGCTAATGGGAATATAAATTAGTATTGCTATCACAGAAAATAATATGAAGCTTCCTCAACAAATTAAAAAGAACCACCATATCTTCCAGCAATCCCACTGCTGGGTACATATCCAAAGGAAATAAAATCGCTATGTCAAAGAGACACCTGCACACCCACGATCACTGCAGCACAAGAGCTAAGAAATGGAAGTTGCCTAAATGTCCACCAACTGGTGAACGCATAACAAAATGGTATTTCATTTTCTTGGAATGAAACACACAATGGAATACTATTCAGCCATAAAAAGGGATGAGATTCTGTCATTTACAACAACATGGATGGAACTGGAGGCATAAGTGAAATAAGTCAGGCACAGAAACATAACTATCACATAATCTCACTCATGAGGAACCTAAAAAGTTGATGTCATCAAAGTGGAGGGTAAGATGATGGTTACCAGAGGCTATGGAGAGAGAGGGCAGAGAGAAACAGGGGAGAGGAGGATGGGGAAAGATGTATCAATGAGTGCTTCATTATACACAGAAGAGGACTAAGAAGTTCTGATGTGCAGTTACACAATAGGGTGACTGTAGTTAATGATAACGTACAGTATGTTTCAAAAGCTAGATGAAAGGATTTTGAATGTTTTTACCATAAAGGAATGATAAGTGTTTGAGGGACGAAAGGATTTATCCTAACTTGAATAGTACCCAATAAATGCATGAAAACATCACACAGTACCCCTTATAAATACAATCTTCTGTTTTTACATATTAACTAAAAAATAAAGTTAATTAAAAGATAAAAACATTAAAACGTTTAAAATTAAAACCTATTAATATCACTCTAAGAGGATTAAAAACTATTATTTATATATTACTTTTCTAATCATTTAAAACTAAAAATAATCATAGCTTACCATTTTCTTCAACTGTCATTGGAATATTAATTTCTAAATATGAGCCAGCTCCTACATTCACATGTACAGCATTTGTTTCCTGCCAAAAGAAATTTTAACTCATATAAAAGATTTTCATTATATTCCCATCATCTTTACTTTTTAGTTATTATCACAGAAGAAATAATTATCAATTGATATGCAATAAAAACAAAAGTTCAAATTTATACTAAAAATACACAAAAACAATTCAGCCAGATTTTTCATTCGGCTAATGAATGAAAGTTCAGATGGTTCATTCAGATGATGAACCAGAACAGAACATGCAGCTTGACTATCATCACCATCATCGCCATCAACTCTTCTAGTTTGGGCATGCAGTAAAATTATGATGAAAGCAGCACACATGTAACTATCTGGGGGGAGAAGGAAGAAGCTCATGGAAATAAATCTAAGTATAAAATAAGTCAAAAGGAAAATATTCTAAAAAATAGTTTTCAAATTCTAAATAAGATTTTCCACTTCATTATTACAATTATTACCCTATTTTTAGTAAACAGCAAGTCAATTGTAGCATCTGCAATAATATTCATTCGTAGCTCAAAAGCAAGAATCTGTCTTGGTCTTCCAGGCTGTGCAATTTCAGAGACTTTCAGAATTTGATAGTCAGGTGGAAAGAAAAACTTCCATAAGCAATCCCTATATGAGAAAGTAGAAAGAGCAATGTCCTGTTATTCAAACAACATAGTCTCCGAGAAGGGACCCAAATCAACATTCTATCTTTACATTATCATTGCTACCCTGTTTTAAAATAAGACTGTTTTCTTCAATGTTTTACACTTCCAGAGATCAATGAGCTTTCACACTTAATAAATATTCTATGACCCAGCTGAGACACAGGCAAGACCAATTTTGACTATTCAATTGTTATGAGCAATTAAAAACATTTTACAAGTTTTTCAACTGTTCAAATGGTTAAAAAAAAAAAGAAAGAAAGAAAAGAACTGACAAAGGATAGCTTAATTAGAATGATTATTTCACCCTGGATTCATTACTTAATCTTTCTGAGAAGCCCTGACCTGCTTCTGCATCCTTAACACAGGAAAAACGTAACAGACCTTAGAGTGGTTTTGAACACTAAATAACTACATCATGGAAAAGACAGAGCAGTGTGTGGCACATGAAGAGTTTTTATTATTTCCATAGTCACTGTTTTTAATAGATACTATAAATAGGATGAAGAGCAACAAATTTCTTTAAAAAAAAAAAAAATGAAACCCAGGCTCTAGTTATTTGTCTACCCCTTATTGTCTGATGAAAAATCAGTGTCTTATGTTACCGCACTAACCTAATGCTGCTAATAACTCAGAGGAGATAGGAGGGCTGGGGAAGGAGTCAGCAGTGACAGGAAACGGTACTTGGAATAAAAGACAGGGGAAAAAACAGTTGAATAGAACAAAATTAAAATAGAGACTCACAAGACTCACATCACTAGATGAAAATAAAAACAAACTTACGTTCTGCAAATGTTTTGACTAAGGCACACAAACATACAAAAACAAAAACAAAACTTCTAGGTGACTGCGCACTCCAGGAGGTAACAGAAGGACAAGAGCAGTGGGCAGTAGGATGATCAGCTGATCTAGACCTCAATTTTTGAGGCTGTTGCTTCACTACTTTCCCCAAACCACTTAACCTCTCTGCAGCCCCACTTTCTCACAGGTTTGATGGGATCACACATCTGTCCTATGTATCTCACTAGGTGATGAGGATCTTGTGCGGAAATACTTCAATGAAAGCACTTTAAGTAAAAGCACTAAACAGCCAATGTCAGGAATGCTTACATTGTCAAAATGATCACCTACAAATTAAGTTTCAATCTAATAGGCTCTATCTCAAACTGTCATGAAAAATTCATAAGAAGAATTATCATAAAGCTGAATAATACCTTGAAGATTCAGAATCACTGGTGGTAGAATTAACATCAAAATCTATATGCTAAATCACATACAAAAATATATTAAAAAGATAGGGAACCATGATCAAGTGGGATTCATCCCAGGGATGCAGGGTTGGTTCAAAATACAAAAAATAAAAAATAAATAAACATGATTCATCATATTAATGGACTTAAAAACAAGAATCATGATCATCTCAATAGATGCAGAAAAAGCATTTGACAAAATATAACTCAGATTCACGTTCAAAACACTAGAAAAACTAGAGATAGTTGTCAAACCCAAGGCCAGCATCATTCTAAATGGAGAAAAATTGGAAGCACTCCTGCTAAAAATAAAAACTAGAATAAGACAAGGATGTCCTCTTTCACCACTTCTATTCAACATCATCCTTACAATTCTAGCCAGAGCAATTAGACAAAAGAAAGAAATTAAAGGGACACAAATAGGTAAAGAACAACTCAAACTCTATTTGCTGATGACATGATTCTCTATCTAGAAAATCCAAAAAATTCCACCAGAAAACTTCTAGAACTCATAAATGAATTCAGCAAAGTAGCAGGATATAAAATCAACATCCATAAGTCAAACACATTCTTATACATCAGCAATGAATCCACTGAAAGAGAAATTAGGAAAACTACTCCATTCACAATAGCCTCAAAAAAATAAAATAAAATACTTGGGAATCAATCTAACAAAAGGTGAAAGACCTCTACAATGAAAACTACAGAACACTAAAGAAAGAAATTAAAGATGAAAAGATCTCCCATGCTCCTGGATAGGCAGAATTAATAGTGTCATATTACCAAAAGCATTATACAGATTTAATTAAATTCTTATTAAAATCCCAATGACATTCTTCATAGAAATAGAAAAAGCAATCATGAAATTTATTTGGAAATATAAGAGACCCAGAATAGCTAAAGCAATCCTTAGCAAGAAAAGTGAAGCAGGAGGCATCACAATACCAGACCTTCAACTGTACTACAGAGCTACAGTAATGAAAACAGCATGGTATTGGCACCAAAATAGAACTGTAGACCAACGGTACAGAACAGAGGACACAGAGTCAAATCCACATAAATACGGTTATCTCATACTAGACAAGGGTGCCAAAAACATTCACTGAAGAAAAGATAGCCAAATGAAATTAAACCTCTATCTCTCATCCTGCACAAAAATTAACTCAAAGTGGATCAAAGACTTAGCCACTAGAACAGAGACCCTGAGCAAACAGAAGAAAAAATTAGGCCCAAATCTTCACCACGTCAGCCTAGGATCTGACTTTCTTAACAAGACTCCTAAAGCACAAGAAGTAAAATCAAGAATCAATAAATGGGATGGATTCAAATTAAAAAAGCTTCTTCTCAGCAAAGGAAACAATCAATAACATGAGGAGAGAGCCTACAGATTGAGAGAAAATCTTTACCACATGCACCTCTGATAAAGCATTAATCTCTAGGATACATAAAGAACTCAAAAAACTTAACAACAAAAAACCAAATAACCCAATCAATAAATGGGCTAAGGAACAGAACAGACACTTCACAGAAGAAGAAATACAATCAATCAACAAAAATATGAAAAAAAAATGTTTATCATCACTAGCAATTAGATAAATGTGAATCAAAACAACTCTAAGATTTCATCTCACTCCTGTTTGAATGGCAATCATCAAGAACACAGGCAACAATAAGTGTTGGCGAGGATGTGGGGAAAAAGGTACACTTATACACTGCTGGTCACACTGCAAGTTGGTGTAACCACTATGGAAAGCAGTATGCAGATTCCTCCGAAAACTTGGAATGGAACCATCATTTGACCCAGCTATTCCACTCCTTGTTTTATACCCAAAGGACTTAAAATCAGCATACTATAATGACACAGCCACATCAATGTATATAGCAGCTCAATTCACATTAGCTAAACTGTGAAACCAACCTAGGTGCCCCTCAATAGATGAATGGATAAAGAAAGTGCAATATATATACTCAATGGAATATTACTCAGCTTTAAAGAGGAGGGAAATTATGGCATTTACCAGTAAACAATTAGAGTTGGAGACTATCATGCTAAGTGAAATAAGCCAATCCCACAAAACCAAAAGCCAAATGTTTTCTCTAATATGTGGATGCTAATTCACAATAAGGTGGGGGTCCCTAGGGAAGAACAGCGTTACCTTAGATTAGGTAGAGGGAAGTGATGGGAAGAGATGTGAGGATAGGAAAGATAGGTGAATGAAACAGACATTATTACTGTATGTATATATGTGACTACATGACCAGTATGATTTTGCAACATGTACACTTAGAAAAAATATATCTCATCTACGTATATCAAAGTGCATAAATGCATTCTACTGTCATTTAAAATTTAAAATTTTTTTAATCTATATGCTAAAACTATGCCCTATCAGAGATCAAGAACTCCTCGAAACTCTGAGCAAATGATTCAACAGCAAGACTGCCAAAATTTCTTCCTATATTTCTGACATACTTAAATGGTAAGAAAATGACAGTACTAGTCACTGTTGACTGCTGATCATATTCAAGTGGAAACTCAATATGGGGAGGAAGAAAAGCAGAGGGCTCCCTGAGGACTTTGTACATGCAAGTGAGGAAGCACACTTCACTCACACCAGTGAACTAAAGTATGTGAAAAACGGATCCTTGTCTTGAATAAACTTGAGTGCATTTGCTAAGTTCAGGTTATGAAGTATGTTGCTGTTCTCTCTTAGCAGAGGAAGAATATATACTGAAGGGAGTTGAGAAAGCAAATTTCTAACTCATATTAATTTTCGTTTTATTTCTCCATATAATACAAAGACTTTATGTAGCCAAAGTGAACTTAATTATGTATTATAACAATTTTAGTTAGGGTTTTTATGTAAATATGCACTATTCATTTTTTAAACATATTAAATGTATTTTAGGAAGAATCACACCTCATTCTATTGCTAAAACTATAAAAATGTTTCATATGTCTGTGTTAAGGCATTCTTCTATTTTGTTTTCCTTTCAAAAATATATAACTGTTAGTCCAGCCAAAGAAAATGAATTTCCCTTAAGATTTCTGCATGCAATTGAAATAGCTGTAGCTATTTTACTTTCTGGAATCTGAAATCCTTCATTTTCAACTGGATACAAAGCAAATACAGCATGATTTATTGTAGGAAAAATTTTGCCATTAAAGGAAAATTAAAATCCAATAATGTGAAAAGTATCTGCTAACTGGAATTTTAAGCTCTGTTTACATTCAAGTTTCAACCTAACCCAGAACTTAGTGAATTTACTCTGAAACTTTCAAGTTTCAACCTAACCCAGAACTTAGTGAATTCTCCATTAGCACATTCCAAGAGTTTTCAAATAACAAACTACTCATTTATCATACAACCTTAATTAACTACTAGTGAGGCACACAACCATGTATACTAGAGAACAGTAAGACCAGGAGGACAGAGCCCTTGCCTTGTCGTGTGCAAGATGCTGGTTTGACCCCCAGCACCAAAACAGTAAGTAAAGGAAGAGCATATTCTTTGACAAGGCATATCCTTCTCACTAAGAGTACATTCATAGCATAATCTGAAACTTTAAAAAGTATTCAAAAAAACTCAGAACATCAAAAATTGGTATCAGTGGTCTTTCAAATCTTTCATTAACACATCAATAGCCCAGTAAAAACTGCCTTAGTATGTGACTCAACACATACTTTTCTATTCAAGAAAGCTAACTCATGTAGAGAAAAACATTAAGCAATGTCTATTTGAATTAATTCCTAATTAGTGAAAAATGTCCCTTTGTTTTCTTTAATAAGTGGAAAAACATTAATAATATATTAAAAATAAAAAATTATTTTAAGGTAATAGAATGATTAATAAAAATCTTTGAGTCAGATGGGCACAGTGGCACAAGCTTACAGAATCAGCTACTCAGGAAGCTGAGGCAGAAAAGCAGTTGAGCTTTAATCAGGAGTTCAAGGATAGCCTGGGCATTGTAGCAAAACTGTCCCAAAATATAAAAATTAAAAAAAGAAAGAAAAACGAAAAACTGTGAGACACTCTACATTATTCTCAGTATACGATCCCTACTTCTTATTACTACAGAACTCCTTTACCTGTAGAACACAGGACAATTCTCCACTTTTCTCATGTATTTGCCTCAATACTCAGTCCCTTCTTTGCCTAGCAAACTCTAAACTGCTACCTCTACAAAAGCCTTTTCTAAGTCTTCTCTCCCCAATCTTCAATATGAATTATGTACCTATGGTAAGCTGAACTGTACCCTAAAATTTCATGTTTAAATCCTAACCCTAGTATCTAAAACAGAGCTGTATTTGGAGAAAGGGTCTTTAGAGAATAATAGCATTAAAATGAGGCCACTGTGGTACATCCTGATGCAGTATGACTTGTGTCCCTAGGAGAAGAGGAAGTCTGGCCACCAACATACACAAAGGAGACCACATGAAGACACCAGGAGAAAGCAGCCACCTACAAGCCCAGGAAAAGGCCTGGGGCACCTCCTTCCCTCCCAGTCCTCAGAAGGAACCAACCTCACCACCACCTTGATGGAGAGCCTTTGGCCTCCAGAACTGTGAGAAAGAAGCTTTGGTTAAGCTACCCCATGGGCAGTGATCAGTTTCGGCCTCCCTGGGAAACAGATGCAGTGCCTTCCTGGGCACATCTTCAAGACCCTTTACTTACCTCTATACAGCCCTTCTCACAACTTGCTTTCTCCTCCCCCACTAAAACTGAACTGTGTATGTATGTCTTTTATTTTTAAACCCCCATCTCTTCATTACTCTGCTACATAGTAGAGAGTTAATAAATAAATTGTTCAATAAATACAAAAGAAAAATCAAAGAAATGAATAAATATGCTGTTAATGAATCTTTCTGATAAATGAGTTCCTCCTTTTGGAGACAACTTGCTTGAGGTTTCTCCATAAAACAAGTTACTATTGGATCAAAATATTTAGTGACAATTTATTCTGCCATCATAAGACAGCACATAAAAAAATAAGCTACTATTTCAATGCATTTGAAAGACTTTATTAGAGATATAATTTACTTAAGTACCTCTGCCTATCAGCCCAGGGTCCGTAATTAAAATCTGTTCCTTTACCACAGACTATATCGAGCCCCCAACATGGAGGTAAGTCTTGTAATTTGCAATCTTCACTGCTTATTTCTCCTTCAATGCTTTCTTCTGTTTCTTCTGGAACAAGTCCTGTATTCCAGAACATACAATTTAAAAGCAGTTACTTAAAAAGACCATTAGGAAGTTTCCTTAAATAAGCAGTTCTAAACGTGTTGGCTTCAGGAACCTTTCTTTACATTCTTAAAAATCAAGAACCCCAAAAAGGATCCCCAAAAGAGACTAAAGTTAAGCCCATTTAAGGTTCTATTCAAAATAATAAATTTTTGTTGTAAACATTAAGTAATTTTATTTTAAAAATCAACTCACTATATATCAACATAATAAAATACTAAATAAAAATAGTATAAAAATGAAAAATAACTATTTTAATGAAATTGGAGTTTTCATTTCATTCTTAATGAAGAAAAACTATATTTTCAAAACCAAAATAATTTAGTGAGAAATGTTGGTATTGTTCTTCATTTTGGCAAATCTCTGTAGTGTCTAGCTTAATAGAAATCAGGTGGATTTTCAAAGCTGCTTCTGCATTCAATCTGCTGTTGAAGGACTTGAATAAAACCTGGCCTCGACAGACATGTACTCAGAAAAGGAGCAGCATTTCAGTAGACTTTTCACCTAATGCTGGATGATATTCTTCTTTGACATGACAGCAAAATTCAACAAGTGGGACCTTCTTAAAGATGAGTCGCAATGTGTAATCTGAAACTGGATCACTGCACTTTTGGCAGTCTTATGCTGGTGTTGCATTCTGAATGCATCTCTTGTCCACACATGACCCTTGCAAGCACACACTGGTCATGTGGAAAACAGCAGTTCACATAACCACGCTGATCTTTCACAAATGTTGATAAACTCACTCTTAAACATTTTTATAATCACACTTGTTAGTGTCACTGGTAGTTTCATTAGAAAGCTATTAATTATTGAGTTACTGCCAAATAGTCCTAAATTTTCCAAAATTCTAACTTCTCATGTCAGCTCAAAAACAAAGTCTCTGATTCATCTTTCAAGATCAGTCGGTGTTCCATGTAAAAAGGAAATGACTGGGTGTGCAACTCCATCACATATATGCTTCTCTTCAGGACACCAGAATATCTGGTATATGGCAGAAGTGCTTTGTGTTTAACCCACTATATCGTACCAAATATTAAGATGACTCTAGTCAAGGGTCAATACTTGATAAAACTAATAATTTTTACTGCTTCATCAAGGGAAGCTCTACCAGATCAGCCAGTCTTCTGTCTGGGAGAGTGTGGCAGCAGAAACTGCAAGGCCGGCTAACAGGACAGAGAGCTGCAGCTTCCCTGCAGGCACCCACCCTGCTTCTGCACCATCAGAGCCCACGTCAGCTCAAGAGACCAGAAAGTCCCAGAGCCTCAAAAACCCCTGAAAGGTCGGAAAAGCTGAAGTACAAAAAAGGGCTTTAAAAGATCTAGCACTGGGGCTGTGGTTGTGGCTCAATGGTAGAGCACTCGCCTCACACATTTGAGGCCCTGGATTCAATCCTCAGAACCACATAAAAATAAATAAATAAAGTTATTGTGTCCATCTACAATTAATATATATATAAAAGATCTAGCATTTAGCTTTTATCAAATGGAAGCACGGAAGCCACCTACAAAGCACAGTCACTAGCAAGATTTTGATCTTTCAATCCTAACAGCACCCCCTAAAGGTCTTCACTAGAGGCTGCCTGCATTCTAGATTGCTGAAGTCTATGGATGAAAACAGAGTCTGAAGTAACATACTATATTGTTCTCTTTAGTCTAAAACACTTCTAAGAAATGACACATATTTTTAGAGACATTCCCATAACCACATTTATCATTTTACTGATCCCTTTAATACCATACCCTAAGAAAGAAGATTAGAAAGATTATCAGATATGTACATTCCACAGAAGAGAATCATCACTATGAAACATACTTGCAAAAACACAGTACCTGGCTCATCCATGTAGTAATAGATGTCGACATCGTTGGACTGCATCACCACAAAGCCTTCTCCCATCAGTCTTGGTGGTCTATAAGAAGCAGAGGTGAGGGCTAGCTGAATACACCTCCGAAAAGCAAAACGTTCAATATCCTACTTAATGGTGGTAAAAGGTGAAAAACGGAAAGGAATAGCTACAAAGCACACCCAAGAACCATCTTAAAAAGGGAAAAATATCCTTCACCTATACAATTATCCAAATAACTGTTCCCAGGTACATGCTGTATTATGGTAAATAATAAAATTGACCCTGAAAATTTATTGGTAAATTACTGGTAGCTCAAGAGGGGAAAAAAAATTAGTTTTCATGTGAAATAAAAAATTAAAATCATTGCTATTAAAAACAAACACAAAATATCATTTTATTTATCAGAATAAGCTGTAATCATTCAGAAACATGAAAAAAGAAAATAATAAAAATAACAACTTAATATTGCTTATTTCTAAGAATATTTAGTTGAACAGCTTGAAATAAATTTAAAGCAAACACCTTGAACTTAACTCTGAATGAATGCTTCTCTATCTTCAATTTCCCACAAACTTTAACAACTTCTGTCACATACTATAATATCTTCTTCATCAAAATTAACTTCTCAATCATAGATAATATATACAAACTAAATTTTCTTCTAAATATGTATTAAATCAAAAAGATTAATGATGCTCCACACTTTTGAATAATGAAAAATATAATTTTAAACCTCTTTACACAAGTTACTAATAGCAGAACACTTTCTGATCTCACTCTCCAGTAACTTGGGGGAAAAAAATCCAGATTTATTCAGTATTATACCTGTACCCAAAAACACAGACTTGATTGCACTCCAGAAGAGGTTTAACCAAATCCATGATCTTGAAAAGTATGGCCAGGCAGACCCACGGCCACCTGGGATTAGAAAAGGAAAAACCCTCTCTCTATCATTTTAGATAGTTCTTGGGAAATGTAATAGCAAGGAGGTCAAGAGTAAGAACTAAATGGAATAACTGTGTTTCTTGTAACCTTATAAGACTTCATATTGCCTATGCACAAAAATAAAAGGATAAAAGCTGAGGCACTACAGTGTTTCTACCCAGAAACACTTAAACCACACATATTCATCCAAAGGCTCCTGCACAAAAACAAAGAGCGGCTGAGAAAAAACAAAGGTCATAAAAGCCCATCATCCCATCTATGGACGTATGGCCTGGCGTCAGGCAGGAGTCATGAGTCTGCGGCTTCCTCAGGGACCAGTCCAGTCTAGGGTGGGCATCTCACCATTGTGAGGTGGGTCTAGTGTGCAACATCCACACAACATGTCTCTTAAATACACACTGCTACTTTTCACTGAATAATACAAAATCACACCTCAAAAACTAGATGGAAAACAATTTGGGATGTAAGCGTCATATGGGTCTCAAAACCGCACCACCCTAACTTGACTAATTTTTCAAGAGTAATTCCGATTCATTTTCAACATTCACTAACTCAAAAATGGTACTCCAATCTCTTCAATTTACTTTATCCATGCCTTCTGAAAAGAAAAATCCACCTGTAATGTACATTTCTTATACAAACATCAGGGCTTAACTGCCCAAAATAAATTTCCCAACTACAGAGAGAAGGAGAAGAGCTATAGCTATAGGCAATACAGAAGCATATCTGAAAGCACACGTTACTGCTAGACAGCATATCCATTGATCCCACAAGGAAGACCTGTTCACTGTTTAGGAGACTGAGAAATGTAGCTATTATCACACAACTATAGCAAGAAAATAAGGGTCACCGAAGATTCCAGGTGATGCCCATCTTAGTTCAAAAGAAGTTACTATTTCCATCAGGCTTTCTTACTCATCATTTTGAAGACCAACATATCTTGGACTAGGAACAAGCATGACTCGAACATTTTCAAGCTTTCCTTTCACAATATGCATGAATTGGTCAAGGTGACTTGAAGGTGGTTTTGTGGTGTAAGTTAAGAAAGCATCATCAAAGTTGATGCACAGAGTCTGAGGTTGGTAATGATTTCCAAAGGCCAAACGTCCCTAAAAAAAGTACATAAAAAGACATATATTACACCTTTTTTCTCCATTAAGCTGACCTAACAGCAAACATTTTCAAGAAACAAGTAAATGATTCCAGCTCAGCACTATATGCTATTTAAATCATTCTGCTGGTCAATGTATACCAGTATTTGAAGAAATTTAAAGTGAAGTTCAAACTAGTTTAAACTCTTGTAAATAAATAAGCTTTACAATCTAAGAAACTTATCCTAAAACAGTATTGGTGCTAAAATTATTTCACAACCTAGAGAAATGAAAGTTATATTTGCAAAAATAAAACGTTCTATGTTTTGAACCCACCAAACATTTAACTATAACACAATTTACTTACTGTGCTCACATTGACTTTTATGACTGGAATAAGTGATCGCCATGAAGATGCAGGGTCTTGAGATTCTGTTTTTACTTTAACTCTAAAGAGAAGAAAAAAACTAAGACCAAGAAAAGCTTAAATACCTGAAGGATACTCCCTCAGATATACTTAACATTAGCTGTGCACTTCCCAGTATACAATGAGTGCCCAGCAGGCAAAACAAAATGGACTTACATATACAGATAGGTGAAGTTAAAGATACACTTCTCCATAACAAGCAAACTACACACACTATATGTGAAACATATGATTTTCAGAAACTCACAAAAAAAGGTCAAATATTTGCATATGAACCTTAAAACATTCATGTAAATGAACTCAAAAACATAAAAAATTAATATCAGTAGTTTTTAATATGGAGTGAAGTAGAAACCATTTGTAGGGAAACAACTTTTTTGACATTATATAATTCTGTATTATTTTAATTTTAAATGATTACATAATTATTTTAAAAAACAAAAAGTTTTTAGTTAAATTAGAAAGAAAGATTAGATTGTGTCTAGGTGAACAGTTATCAATCACATTCTAACAAAGGCAAAGGTTTAAATGCTAGAAATTAGTAAAATTCAGGTATGATTTTCAACCTTTCAATTTTAGACTGGGTTCTTGTTCTCCCATTTTCCCGGGTTTTATCATCATCTTTCTTAGGTGGAATTATTGTTGGCTCCAAACCAAACAACTCTTGAAGGTGTCCATAAAGATCCGAACGGTTGTAGACATGAAATTCAAAATCATTAACTGTGATGTATAATCTGGTTTCTGCCTTTGGATCTAAAGATACCAATTACAAAAAAAGATTTCAGTTAAATTTTTAACAATTTTAGTCTAATTTTTTTTTCACAGTTGAAGTAACTCAAATTATTGTTTTAAATATCATTCTATAACACAGAAACACATATTAAAATACAAAACAACAGCAACAGAAAGAAAAATGCTGATATCATTGTTATAATTTAATACTTTATGAACAACTAAGTTTCTAGATTCTGGTTATATAGTGACAAAATTTAAAGAGTTTATCCTAAGAAAAATAAAGTGCCCCTTACGGAGTAAAGCTGCCCTTATCTAGCCATTTTATATTAAAATATACATAGTAAATAATTCTAAATACATTTAAATGTCACATTACTATTTGAATTTTTGCATAAGATCTAGAATTTTTCATAATTTTTTTTTCAAAAACTACACAACACTAGAACATTTTCTGAATGATAAGACTGAGCAATAACCTTCTCAAATAAAAGACATAATTACATTAAGTCTCAACAACAATAGATGGAGTATCCCTTACCCTAAATGCTTGAGACAAAGTGTTTTGGCTTCTGGATTTTTTCAGATCTGGGGATATTTGCGAATATATGAGAAATAAATGTGAGCTGGGACCCACATCCAAACACAAAATTCCCTTGTTTAATTTTCACCTTATAAACACAGCCTGGAGGCGATTTTAGACAATACTTTGTGCATCTGCACTTTGACTGAAACCCACTACTTGAGGTCAGGACTTCATGTCAGTGCTCAGAACTTTCCAGACTCAGGAGCATTTCCAATTCTAGGTTTCAGACTGGAGTACTCAACCTGTTTTAATGAATGAGTCTGCCTATACCATGATGGATGGCACTGTTTTCTGCTGAAAGCAGTGTATCGCAAATCAAATGAAGAATCAGGCACATTTTCTGAGACATGATTTTTAATCATCCATTTTTGCCTCTACCAAATTCAACTAAAAACTGACTGAAATAAGATGACCAGTCAGAAACATTCAATTTTGAAACTCAGTGAGCTGTTATGGACTTTCAGTTTAAGCAGTTGAAGTAGTGACTTAAACGAGGGGGACATACCCTTCAAAAATACCAAGCTTCACCAAAATTAATAACTTCTGGGAGCTATTGCAAAAGATATATGATGTGCCAAATATTGAAATAAATTTAAATTTTAAACTAACGAATTAAAAAGAATATACCACTTGTTTTTAAAATAAACTAAGGAAAACAAAGCAGCAGCGCTATTTTCCAGACAGTAATCCTATTACCTGTACTCCAATCTAGGTTATTTCATCACTTCCTAGAACAACCGAGGAAAACATGACAAACCCAACCCTTCAAGAAACTAAGGCTCAGGAGCTGGAATCTCCCCAGTAATTTCTTAAGTAGTTCTTTGACCTATGGTCCTCCTATTTCTTCAGATTTACCACAGGACTAACAGCCAAGCCAACCCCTAAACCACATCAAGCATTTCATCCCACTACTTGCTGTACGTCAAACTCGTTGAAATACAAAGATCAGTACGTACACTGCTTGAGAACAATGAATGCCATCACCCATTTTTAAGCAAGTAAAACAAACTCCATCACCCACTGGGTTCAAACCCTTCCTCAGATGCCAGGCCAAGAGCCCAGCAGCAGACTGACTCAACATCTCCAATTCTGCTTCACAGGTTCCTCACACCCGCACACACCTGACCTGCTTCACAGGTTCCTCACACCACCACACACCTGACCTGCTTCACAGGTTCCTCACACCCGCACACACCTGACCTGCTTCACAGGTTCCTCACACCGCCACACACCTGACCTGCCTCACAGGTTCCTCACACCCGCACACACCTGACCTGCCTCACAGGTTCCTCACACCGCCACACACCTGACCTGCTTCACAGGTTCCTCACACTGCCACACACCTGACCTGCTTCACAGGTTCCTCACACCACCACACACCTGACCTGCCTCACAGGTTCCTCACACCCACACACACCTGACCTGCTTCACAGGTTCCTCACACCCACACACACCTGACCTGCTTCACAGGTTCCTCACACCCGCACACACCTGACTATCTCGCATACCCCCTCCTATCAGCAGCCAGTGGGTTCTCTTGCTGGGGCCCCAACACCCTGCCTGTCTCCTTCGCTGCTCAGAGGTCACCAGCCACTCTGGCCGGCCAGCTTTTCTTTCAGCCTACGTCCAGAATGCAGCCACTCTCTGCCCCTGTCTCCCTCAGCTGGTTCACTAGCCCTGCTAGTGGCCCTCTTCTGCCTTGCTCCCTCACCTAAACCTAACACACTAGCCAGAGTTTTTAAAACCTGAGATTATTTTGTCCTCTCTGCTCCCAAATTTTCCAGTGGCTTTCCCATCTTATGACAATCCCACGTCGCCTGAGTGATCACAGAATGCTAAGGATCCACGGTCCTGACTCCCTGCGCTGCCTTCTACTCTGAAGGCTCTTTCCCTGCCTCCCTGCCTGCTTCTCCTCAACTGGGCTTGACCACAAAGCCCACCATGGCTTCCCCATCAAGCAGCACCTTCCTGACACTCCCACCCAGGGGCTCATCAGCTTTGTATTTTCTCCTCTGCTGTACTCCCCTCCTGCACTCTTTGATGCTAAATATGCCATTTACTTATTATCAGAATCCTCCCAACTTGACTTAAGCCAGCTCTGACAAGGACAGGACTTACTCTACCCACTGCTGGATTCTCAGTCCCTAGAACAAGGCTTAGTACACAAAAGGCTTAGTACACAAAAGCTCACAAAGAAAAATGAAGCATCTTCTTATGCATCATACTCCTAAGCAAAACAAAATGCCAACAAATAGATCTGACAATGTATAAAACCCAACAAATAGAATATTCTAATTTATTCCCAAATAAACCTATATAAGTAGGAATTATTACAAAATTCTTCAAATTTATATACAACCGAACTTTACCTCAAAACTCATTTACATCATTTGTTTTCAAATTTACTCACAGGATAGTTTACTAACAATCCCAGAATGACCTGATCATTAAGAATGTGCTCTAAAGGGCAGTGGACAAGATGGAGAAGCAGCAATGGGGACAATTAAGAACCTAGATTTCCCCTAACTGGACCAGCAATGATGAATAAGCAAATGGGGATTATAAAATAGAAACAGTATTACTCTCCATTTCACCTCTAATTTGCTGTACATGCACAAGACTCCCTCCTTTCAATGAAACAGGAATAAGAAAAGAGCGCCATTAATTTACTAAAAGAGTGTACAGAGATAAGTGTATCAATTTTGTAATGTGTTACCTACGGCACACTGATGTACACTAAGTACTGGATACCAAAACGCTGCAAGATACCATCAACATTCCTTACCACGTTTTTCTTGCTTCTTTTTAACATTATTTCTCATTTATTGTCACTTCTTCTACTGGAATGTAAATTCTACTAGAGAAGTCCCCCCCCGCCCCCCCACCGTTAAATTCACTATTATATCCCTGGTGTCTAAAATAGTCTCTGGTACATAGGAGATACTCAATTAATATTTGTTGAATCACTGAATTTAAAATGGGCTTGGAAATATTAAATAAGATTGAGCAAAATGTAAATTGTAATGAACCACTTCAAGTGGTCTAGAGATCACTCTTTTCTTTCAAAAATTCACTTTGGGAAGTATCAAATAGCAAGTTTCTCAATATTTATAATGTACCCTTTGGTCTTATATTTTAAAGAAACATTTCCCTGAGTTGACATCACACCTTTTTTGTTTGTTATATTGCATTAGTAATATTCCAGCCATAGAGCTGTACAATTAAACAACAAATCAGATCTCCAAGCTTGACTGATCTCCAAGCTGACATGGCTGCTGTTTTTTGCAGGGTCTCTTCCCAGGACCTTTTCTGTCAATGTACCAGGCTTCCTGCCATCCAGGAGTATTCTACTTGGAAATGCCCTCTCCAGCCCCCCAATACTACCCCAATATACACAGAGAGATGCAGAGACAGGGTGTCTGAAGATACCCACACAGACAGAAACACAGAGAAAAGAACACATGTTCAGAGACTTTCTTGCACAGAGTGGGCAAGTACACACGGTATACTCATGTGCAGACTCAGAAACTAACAAAGACAAGCACACACATGCACATACTCTCACAGAGCCCGCCATGTATGTTTGCAACTATCAGCACTCTCAGCTCCATTCTCACAGATGAACACAAAGGCCCACGACAAACAGGGCACCATCCCAGAACAGCAAGAACATGACCCCAGCAGAGTGCAATGTACCCTCACAGACTAACCACCACTTCTTCCAAAGGCATGCATCTCCCACTTAGGAACATGCACACATGCCTAAGTGTATACACACACAAATACACAGCTCTTTTAAAAACAGTAAGTTGGGGATGTTTGCATTGATTCTCCAGGAACTAAATAAAGAGGTAAATAAACAGTAAAAGGAATATATGATCATTTACTGATGCTGTGACCTAAGGCCTCATTTTTCTCATCTATGAGAATAAAACCAAATGCCAAATGTTTTCTTTGATATAAGGAGAATGATTCATAGTGGGATAGGGAGCAGGAGCATGGGAGGAACAGACGAACTCTAGATAGGGCAGAGGGGGTGGAGGGGAAGGGAGGAGGCATGGAGTAACTAATGATGATGGAATGGGATGATCATTATTATCCAAAGTACATGTATGAAGACACTGATTGGTGTGAATATATGATGTATACAGCCAGAGATATGGAAAACTGTGCTCTATATATGTAATAAGAAGTGTAAGGCATTCTGCTGTCATATATATAAAAAAATTTACATTAAAATATTTATTAAATAAAGATACAATTACCTCTTTGAAATCTCATCCCTACATTACAAGGCTAGAGTGATCTACCTTGAAAACAAAAATCTTCTCGTATTTCCTATCATGTAACATGATGGCATCACATAATGGGCCCCCAAAAAATATTTGATAAATAAAATTCCTAAATACGAAAGGATATATACACATAAAAAGTC